CAGGTGTTTTCTACATTTTGACTTGGAAATGTGCTTCGCGCCACAACGGCGTGCACTTTTTCGACATCTCAACTTCCAAAAGTCGTCCGACACTGAGGTGTTTTGTACATTTTGACCTGGAAATGTGCTTCGCGCCACAACGGCGTACACTTTTTCGAGATCTGAACTTCCAAAAGTGGTCCGAACCCCGGGTATTTTTAACATTTTGACTTCCAAATGTGCTTCGCGCCACAACGGCGTGCACTTTTTCAACATCGCAACTTCCAAAAGTGGTCCGAGAATGGTGTGTTTTGTACATGTTGACTTGGAAATGTGCTTCGCGCCACAACGGCGTGCACTTTTTCGACATCTGAACCTCCAAAAGTGGTTCGAACCCCTAGTGTTTTTATGTGCTTTTGACATTTTGACTTCGAAATGTGCTTCGCGCCACAACGACGTGCACTTTTTCGACATCTCAACTTCCAAAAGTCGTCCGACACTGAGGTGTTTTGTACATTTTGACTTGGAAATGTGCTTCGCGCCACAACGGCATGCACTTTTTCAACATCTCAACTTCCAAAAGTGGTCCCACAACGGCGTGCACTTTTTCGACATCGCAACTTCCAAAAGTGCTCCGACCATGGTGTGCTGTGTACATTTTCACTTCGAAATGTGCTTCGCACCACAACGGCGTGCAATTTTTCATCTCTCATCTGGCCAGCTGGCTCGGCACCCGCCGCTTTAGCGAGTTACTTTTCGACCCTCCGGAGCCCCAAATCATTGGAAAAACACAGTGTTTCGCGACTTTCCTACCTTTTCGCGCATCTGCATCTTCTTTCTTCTGACTCTTTCTCTTCTGACCTTCTCTCTTCTAATCTTTCTCTTCTCTCTGCCTCTGCCCTGCTCTGCTTTTCATCTGTCCATATTGTCGGAAGTTTGACTTCTAAACTTCCTTCGGGTATACATACACTGTATATATAACGTAGTTGGTGGTTGAATAATGTTGAGTACAATCAATCATGTGCTGTACATACATTGTCGCATGACATTGTGATCGCTGATTATCATTAATGTTCTGCCTCCCATTTCTGTTTGTACATGTATTTCATGTCATGTATCCATCACTGTGTGCAAAATAATATGTATCCTCTACTACATAGATGTCTACAATCTACAATATACATATCTTTAATATACCCAGATGGTCCATCTATGGAACAGTTACCGGCGGGTACTTGTTTAATCTTATAACACTATTGGAACGGGCAAATGTTGGTGAATATTGCATGTCATGTGGAAAGTCCAATTTCACAACCTATCCCCATGACATGCAATGGGTGGTAAACATTGTCCCCAGATATGGTAGGTTTCTTCTTTTTGTTTACCACGTAAAGTTTACCACATATCAAGACATATCAATACATATATGATCAATGTTTTCATATTCATATATACATGCATAATTTACATATTTTCATATCTTGTTATATTGGTTATTATCATATATTGATTATCGTTATATATAACTATATAATTATATAATATCAATATTATCACTTCAAATCATATCCCTTGGTTGATCCGCCAACTGTTCCATATTCCCAGGCAACAGGTGCGAGGAACTCTTCGCAGTGTCGTATTAGGCCAGGGTCAGATGCCTAATGCGAATCGCAGAACTGCTGGGACAACCAAAAAGGAAATGAGATTTAAGGGGGATTTAATTTGGATTTAATGGGATTTATATATTCGGATTTTAATGGGATTTATATAATTTACCATTGAATCCGATTATATTTAATTTGGATTTATAGAATCGGATTTAATGGGAACGTCATATAATTTGATAATATTTGATATAAGTTGGGGGATAAAACTGGACCTAATTATGACCTCATTTTATGTGCGAATGTTTGTTTTGCGTGTTTGTAGGGGCAGTCAAAATGACCTTACTTTCTCCAACAGAATTACAACAATTTTTGATGTGTGTTTTTTCTATTGTTGGTCCACATGTTCAATTCTTCTTGTTTGTGGTTTTGCACAGTGTCACTTTTGGCAGCCACACGTTTCAACCGAAGGACAAGACATGAATCAACATCGAGAACATAACTCTGACGGAATGTTATCAATCAATGCACTAAACAAACCTCAGCACCGCAAATTCCGCCAAGTTTTGTCATAGTTATTCAAACAAACACATCAACACCATACAAGTACTTTGAACAAAAAAAATCCGACCATTAAACAAGCAATCAACACCGTTGCTTCCACGAGATTTTGTCCAAGTAGCATCAGACCATCCATAACCCGACTTCCACACCTGTAGTCACAACATCAGATCTACACACCCCATTGACAACGTATCATTGGTAACGTAAGCAACTCGTCATCAGGAATGTGAGCAACATCAAGCAACTCTTTCCGAACGTTGATACTGTACCACTCCCCCAACCAACCCACTCAACAACCCACTCAACAACCCACTCACCCACACCCCAAACAACACATTCACAACTGAACATCAATACAGCAAGTTTTCAAGTGCAAAGCAAGCATGTCAAAAAATGTTTAAAAAGGGTCCTGAAAACCGGCAAGGGTGAACATGGGTGAAAACCATAACCATGGTTTCAGGTTGAAATATTCCCTTAAATAGTGTTTGTAACTCTGTGCGCATACCGTACCAAGTATAAGTTGTATGTATATATATAATTATTAATATATAGAGATACATGCGCAGAACTTACGCAATTGTGAACATATGAATAACAATAAATTTACATATGATGTAAGATTTACGTGCAGATAGGTTTGAATCACAGAGACATGCTGGGCACTTGACTCTGTTGCCACTGCATGGTCTTGCGCGTTTGACAACCGGTGATCTTCAAAATTGACACATATCTCAAAACAATAACAGATACGATATGAACAAATACAACAGTGATTTGTTGGGAATTGATCGCAGTGTTTGTCCTGCAGAAACTACCGCGCCTAAGAAGACAATTTTAGGTAGACAAAGTTCCAAAACAAAGGAATACGTTCTTCATGACAAAGTCCGAAACACCGTCCGAAATAACTACATACATCGCCAAAATACCATGTACTGACAAGCCCAGATAGCGGGAACCATGCAGTGTGGAATGGAAGGAGATTGCAAATGACGATGTGTGTCGGAAAAATCAAGTATGCATGGCTGATCAGGCTATGTATCCCCACCCCCTGCTGAACTTCACTGGTAAATGAGACGAAGATCGCAAGTTGAAGAATCACATGAGTTTTACACCTCTGATGGTGCACACAGAAAACACACAATCGTGGCTATATCGAAACCTATGAACACAACACGTCTTACAATATAAAATGCACTACATACAACCATGACAATGGATGCAAAACTCGGCAAATCCACCAGAGCATTGCGGCATGGCCAAGGGTTGCCTACCTCCAAAAGGCAAATCACCGCCCAAAAAAAGATATAAAACCATTGTGGGATACAAACACAATGACTGCAGCCAACTCCTATGACCATGGAAAGCATTCATTGAATCAGTGGCTGAGCATTGGACAAGACTAAACACGACCCAATTCAAGAGGGAATCGTTTGCAGGTACCTACGAAAAGTATGACTGAATGGGAGAAACAAATGCATACACATGTTGCAGAACATTGCACAATCATTTCAATGACCATTCAAATATGTTCAAACATTGAATATTCAAGTATTTTGTGCTTTATCATAGGGATGCATATTAAGGGATACGGGCTACTTTGTCTGTTAGCTTCTATCAACTAGGCACCTGTATGCAATACGACTGGTTGTACGAATCGGTGTTTGGTTGATTGGTTATTTATTTCGTGTTTGCATATTTCATTCGCTGCTATGGCTATGTTGTGAAATCGTTCTCACCAACTTACTTCGGGTTTGCAAGCAAAATTTGACGGTTAATCAACAATGTCCTCCAGTATATAAATGACCAATAATGACCATATATTAGGGTACATACCCCATTTTCGGACGCACCCACATGTGCCCCCAGCAATTCATTGGGATGTTGCCAGAGGCTCCCCACTACGACCAGATTCTGACACATTCTGCACGTCCCTGTTTTTGTTGGCACAGGGCGTAACGGCGCACGGAGCTGCCTTGGCAAATGGCAAAGCCAGAGTGCCAGCAGTGTTTTGCGAATCTGGATATTTTGTGGCTGTTGCCATAGGTGCTACATGTTTTTCCGCAAATGGAGTTGTTGGAAGTAGACTTGATGGGCTTACGACAGTATTACTGATTCTCTGTAGATCTTTTGGGAAGTTGACTTGAATGGCAGCCTGTGGACCTTCAAATATCCAGTTCAGAACGGCCACGTTCACTGGACCCCGGCGCAAGAAAAATAGAAAAATATGGCTTCAGTAGTCCAGCTGAAGAGTCCAGAAATCAAAGGGTCTCAGGAACTTGGTCAATTTTGAGGGCTCTCCTCAAAGTATTTTCCGAACCACCAGGATCACCAGATGAAACGATTACATGCTGCAGAAGTTTCTTTTTTTGGGGTGGGTCTCATGGACATTACCCTGGTGCCCTGGTACACTTGTTTAGTTTGTTTTATCACTAATCTTCATGTGGTGAAGTGTTGAATATTGAAAACCAAACTTGATGCAATTCGTTGTTGTATCTTGTTGTTTTTGTTTGTTTTTGTTGCTGCGCAAGTGCTCATCTGGTCGTTGCCTGGGCTTTGTTGTTAGCGGAAAAAGTTGTTCGCCATGAGGTCATCATGGTTGCCGTTTTCTCGGGGGATGATAATCCTCCTTGATTCACATTTCCGGGGTGGCTTGGAACATGTTGAAACCATCAATAAGATCGGATCCGTGAATTCTACGAGGGTTGTCTCAAAATCTTGAAGAGCAAAATCCATAGAAATCCAATGTGCATAGTATGTCCCCCTCTATATCCCTCTATAGAATTGTCATAAAATACTTGAGACAAACGCGTTGAGCTGTTGCGATGGCGCGCCATTGAGCTGTGGGTCCTGCAGGTTCTGAATGAAGATGCGCTCGTGCGAATTTGTCGCTTTCTTCCTGCCCGGCCTTTGCTGGACTGTTTTGAGGGGAATTGGACATCGGATTTACACACTGTGGGGTAATGGTGGGTGGAACGTTTTAATGATGTCATAGGTTTCGCCTGCTTTCCTGGGTTACCTGGCAGTATTGTTGCAACGGACACGGAATCGCGATCGAAGAAGCAACGTACAGCTCATGAACAGAAACAGAAGGTCAACAGTTTAAACCATAGCAGGTACGTAGGTCAGGCGTCCCTGACCTATATCCTTACCACATGTCACCCAGCTTCGTTGGCAGAGGAAGTGACATGGGCACCTCTGCCCCCTGCTTTATGAGAGTTGTACGAGTGCGATATATAGAACTAAACCGTTTGTTATAACGGTGTACACACACACTGGCCCCGAAATGGGGCAAGACCGCAAAGCGCCAATTTTGTACCTAGAAACCCTAACCTAAGGAGCCTGCCTCAGAGAATGAATACCTGGCCTAAAAAGAACTTAATGACGATGACGAATGATGTGAGAAACAACATGTGAAACCATGTTCTATAAGTCGTAAATCCTGACATTGCACAAAAGTGCGTGTGCAATTGCGTTACGTTTTAGTTCAAAGTTGAGACGATGCACAAGATTGTTTTTTACCTAGTAAATGTAACCTAAGGAGCCTGCCTTTAAGAGACTGAATACATGACCTAAACAGAACCTGATGACGATGATGAGCGATGTGAGAAACAAAATGTTGAACCATGTTCTATACCTAGTAAATGTAACCGAAGGAGCCTGCCTAAGAGAATGAATACATGGCCTAAAAAGAACCTGATGACGATGACGAGTGATGTGAGAAACAAAACGTTGAACCATGTTCTATACCTGGTAAAACAAACCTAAGGAGCCTGCCTAAGAGAATGAAAACATGGCCCAAAAAGAACCTGATGACGATGACGAGTGAGGTGAAAATGCTATTATTTGGATTGCTGAGAGTCAGACCAAAAAGCACTTGTATTGCACCCGTGGTGCAGAGAACTTCGACTTATGTCTACTTTGTCCTAATTGGACGACACTTCTGCCTTATGGCTTCTTCGCCTTATGGCTGCTTCGATTGGATTTTACAGTATAAAATCTTGACTTCGTCAGATGACGCTTGAGATGCACTCGAAGTGCATACGGCTTCGGAGATTCATGCTCCACTCTGAATACGGGAAAATGCCCGCTCATAACTTTTTGATTGGTCGAAACCAACCGACGGTGCGACCAATTGAGGTCAAACACCCGTAACACACTGTGGGGCAATGGTGAGTGGAACGTTTTAATGATGTCATAGGTTTCGCCTGCTTTCCTGTGTTACCTGGCAGTAGTGTGGCAACGGACACGGAATCGCGATCGAAGAAACAACGTACAGCTCATGAACAGAAACAGAAGGTCAACAGTTTAAACCATAGCAGGTACGTAGGTCAGGCGTCCCTGACCTATATCCTTACCACATGTCACCCAGCTTCGTTGGAAGAGGAAGTGACATGGGCACCTCTGCCCCCTGCTTTATGAGAATTGTACGAGTGCGATATATAGAACTAAACCGTTTGTTATAACGGTGTACACGCACATATATTTTATATATATATATATATATAGTAATTATCATATATATATATATATATAGTAACTATCTATTTAATATATATATATATATATTTATATATATTTATAATACTTCAATAAAAATAAATATGGATACACATATATATTATTTATATATATATATTATATATATAATGTAATATATATATGTATATATATATAAATTTATCAATATATAAATATTTAAATATATAAATATAAATATATATATATATATGTATAAATGTATAGCATGTATTACTCATTAATTATATATTCCTGCATCGTTTGTAAAATGCATGTGTTTGACGCACGTATCAAAGATTGCCTATACTATATGGGTGTGGTGTGTATTGGTTTGTTCCGGTACGTGCCTAGTTTGTTACTGTTTTTGATATACCAATTTCTCAAGAACATGATCAGTTTGTTTTTGGTAAGGGCTGCTCATTTTGTGGCGGATGCTGTTTTGGTGTTTTTCGCGTCAAAATTCTGAACGCCAGCGTTATTTTCCTTACTTTTTCCTTTTCCGTTTTCGATTGCTTTGTTTTTCTGTTTGTTTGTCTATGATTTCTTTTTATTTGTCTATCTAAATGTGAACCGTTAGCAAAACAATGATAGTGGGCATTGAAGCATCAAATATTTGACTTTGACCTGGACTGCTCATGACAGTTGTTGTTTAGGGGTTATGACAGGGAGTGCCACACAAGTATATTAGGAATGAGGTTGGCATGTTGTATCCGTTGTCACTGGCATATGCTACTGCCATGGTAGTGTGCTGCAGATCGCGTTTTGTTCACTAATTTGATCTTGCCAATTTGACTCTGCGTACTTTACCACACAAATCAAGTCTGATGTATGGCATCAGGTTTCCCATGGCCATGCATTGACATTCATGAGTTTCCTGCAACATCCCAGAACCGATCAGAAGCGCGAGTGAGATTTCATCATGTTCCCCATAAGCACAGAACCATGACATTGGATATCATGGGCCATTGCCGCGAGGAGCTGGGCAGCAGCTGCTCAGATTTCTATCATCGGGCTAGGAACTCCAAGGAGTTGTGGAAGGCGATGGACCTAAGGGCCACTGTGGACTCCAATGGGAATGTGGTAGACTTGAACAGTAGGCCGATCATTTTCTTGCGCTATTCAAAAAACAAAACATATCTGGTTGGTGGTTTAACTTTATTTTCCATTTCGTATATGATCATATATGGGATCATCCTTCCCATTGACGAACTCATATTTTTCAAGATGGTTATTGCACCACCAACCAGATATTGTTTCGGTGGATTCCATAGCCAACTGTCCCTAGGGTTTGTGCTCCTTCCTGCTGGGTGACACCACGCTAATGCTACATGAAGCGAGCTGGTCGTCCAGCCCCTTGAAAAAGAAGGGGCTGAGGATGCTGAGGCCTGATGAAATTTCATTGAGAATGTCTTGTTTGGATGAAACATGTTCTGTGGGATATGCAGATACGCATTATCTCTCTGATATCTATATGCACTCATATAATGATTAATGATTAATGTGTATAATTATATATAATATATATACATGGTAGATACATATGTATATATATATGATATATATATACATTTATTTATTTATATGTATACATATGTGCACAGGTGTCAAAGCACATGGATATCCTGAGATATGATCATGGGCGTGTCGTCTTGCCAGAATGGGGTGATGGAAAGATGTGAAACAACCCCTGTAGTTAAAGGCAGTTAAGGGTAAACACCATGGAAAACACCATGATGTGTGAAACTTTTGCCTTAAATCAAAACATTGAAATCCTGAATCCCAGAATCTCGACATGTCATCCATAAATCCCAATGTTTGCTGGTTGCAGATCTCAAGATCTTAATTTCTGACCTGCACCGAAGCGCCGAGGTTCGACGCTAGGTCCGGGACTCAAGTTATTGTACAAAGGAATGGCAGGGCTTTTGAACACTGTTTATTTGTCATGGCAAAAAACAATCACTGAGACCTGTAATTTAAGCAGGCTTGTTTTCCAGTGTTTTCCAGTGCCTGTTTATCAACATTTATCAACTGTTTCTTTGTTTAGCAATCTGTTTCGATTGCTGGGCAGATCGCCGAGGTTCCACAGCGGAGTTCTATCGGCGCCTTTTTCGCGCAGCTTGGAGTTGCGAGGACCTGGGATGAACAGCTGGACGTTCCCATTTTGATTGGTCCACATCACCACATTCTTCTCTTGCTGTTCTTGCATAGTTGAACTGTCCTTGGTGCTGTGGCGCTCGGTCCTGGCTCAGGACTTTTGCTACGACCATCGCTTGCGGCGCAGTTTGTTGATGTCTTTACAGAATGAGGCGGAAGGAGAAGGATCTCGGAACCAGTGCCTGAGCTTCAACGGAGCGAGTGCTCCTGGCCAAAAAACTAGCCCTATAGCCCAATTGGGGCCCCCGGGCTAATTGAACTGGCTTTCTGAATCTTTCTGGGAGGTATATCTAGGAGTCGAGGGATTAACCGATTAACCTTGCGTTTGTCTTGGTGTTCAATGATTAATGTGCTGCAAGTAGCCTACCCTGTGACTTGGTGCGCGGATCGCCTAGGTCCACGGAGCTCCTTTGCATGTCGGGCCACAGCTCTGAAACCTTAGGACCTTTAGTGATCCAGATGCTCAGCTTTGCTTGCGAGGTGTTGTGACATATTATGACATATTATGACGATGCCTCTGCATATGCCTGAAAATGGATGGTGATGTTTATGATGTTTGGGTTTTTTTTGGCATTTAAATAAATGTGCTCAACATGACCAGTTTAGTGGGCCCGTTGGTGCCCAAATTTTGTAAACCCTATAGCCTTATTAATCAATGTTTTTGAAGGTTTATGAAGAACTCATCGGGAACATGTTGTTCATGATTTGAGGATTGGTGGCATGCGCAACTCCCTGCAGCCAGACGATATTGTTCACGTCACTTTGCTTGCAAAGAGACTGTTGGATTTATTTGAGTGAAATTCGGCAGGAAGCCATGGTTTTCACCATCAGGATTTTATGTAAATTGTCTCATCATCCAATTCTTGGATTCGTGTATCGTTGAAGTGAATGTTCACCGCGACAGTTCAAAGGCCTGGACTGCTGAGTTCTTGCTTTTCATTGTCAGTGACAGCAAGACATAGGTGATGCGATGCATTTGTTTGTTGAATTTATCACATGCCATACCTGACATGGTAAAATATAGTTTTACAATGTTTTACATGAGTTATTATAATTGGCTATCGGCTATTGTTCGTATAGGGATGTTATTACTCGTAGTTTTATCCCCAATATTTTTGTTCCTAGCACGATGCTCCCCTTGGCCAACTTCGGATTGTGGCAGCCATTGGGGCACCCCAGTATATCCCGTTGATCTTGATGGTCCATGGAGTCCATGCGGAAAAAAAAAACGTGGACGTCGTGGACCCTCTGGTTATGTCAAAATAGCTATTGAAAATAGCTATTGAAAATAGCTATTGAAAATAGCTATTGAAATAGTGGATTTACCCATGATTTACCCAGCTAGAAAATGGTGGTGATTTTCCATAGCTATGTAAACGTTTAGCAGAGGTTAATAATTTTGGCTTTGAGTCCCTGATTTCGGGAACCAAAGAGCCGTAGTTTTTTAGATAATTTGAATACGGGTCACCACCAACAGTCACCAACAAATTGATTTACTGCCAAAATGACCACATTTGTGAGGTTGGTGGGTGCCCCATTTATGAGCCACAACCAGTACTGAGCTTAGGTTTGTCTTAAAACTAGAGCGCCCCTCAATTCGTCACATGCGCGAAGTCACGATGTTGACTCTGTGCTTGATGACCGCATGCTCGCCCCTGCCTCTGGCAGTCACTCGATGGGGGGAGAGAGAGAGAGAGAGAGAGACAATTCGGACTTTCATGATTTTAAATTCGCAAAATGACATAGAAGTGGTGACATGGGCATCAAAATTCTAAACACAGACCTATCTTTATTGAGGTGTGCCTGTTGCATGCCTAGCGGGAGTTCCGCTGGGAGAAAGAATGAGTAGCCGAGATATCGTTATGTTTTATTTGCTCATTGGTCACTTTTGCTGGCAAATCCGTTGTGTTTTAGGTATGTGCTTTTTGTTGGAAACATGTATTTGAGGAAACTGTAATTTGTTTGTGCGGAGTTTCGTTGGCAAAAGGGCTGAGGGCATCTAGATTTTAATAAAAGGTGCAACTCCTTCTTCCTTCTTCCTTCTTCCTCCTTCTGCCAGCCTGCCAGCTCGTTGAAAACCCTGTAATTATACAGTCAGTGCTAGAATTATAGAACGGAGCCAGGAGGACAAAAGTACGGTAAAATACCGTACCTTTGTCCTCCTCCGGGTTCCGATTCGGAGCGGAGTCGGGAAATTTAATTATAGAACGGGGAGGAGGACAAAGGGACGGTATTTTACCGTACTTTTGTCCTCCTGGCTCCGTTCTATAATTTCTGGCACTGACATGATATTTACTGCATATTTGTACATATACAATCTATAAAATGAAGATTTAATGAGGATTTAATGAGGATTTGATGAGGTGAAGATAAAATGCAGATGAAATGAAGATTTGATGAGGAAACGAGGATAAAATGAGGATAAAATGAGGATAAAATGAAGATAAAATGAGGATTTGATGAGGAAATGATGATAAAATGAGGGAAATGTGGGAAAAATTGGGGAAAACAGAATTATAGAACAACAGCGCTCCGACAAGAATTATAGAACGACGAAAAAAGTTAGGAGTAAATTCAGATACGTTTTTTTTCTACCTTCCGAGGAAAACAGAATTATAGAACAACAGGGTACGGTAAATAACCGTACCTTCGTACTCCTCAACTTCCGTTCTATAATTCTGTTTTCCCCCATTTTTCCCACATTTACCAGGTGATTTTCTTAGATTTCATGGTGCTTTTATAAGATTTCATGGTGATTTTATGGGATTTCATGGTAATTTTATGGGATTTCACGGTGATTTTCTTAGATTTCATGCTGATTTTATAGGATTTCTGGGACCCCGGAAGAGGTTCTATAATTCTATAATTAATTTTTCCAGTGCCAGAATTATAGAACGGAGCCAGGAGGACAAAAGTACGGTAAAATACCGTACCTTTGTCCTCCTCCGGGTTCCGATTCGGAGCGGAGTCGGGAAATTTAATTATAGAACGGGGAGGAGGACAAAGGTACGGTATTTTACCGTACTTTTGTCCTCCTGGCTCCGTTCTATAATTTCTGGCACTGACATGATATTTACTGCATATTTGTACATATACAATCTATAAAATGAAGATTTAATGAGGATTTAATGAGGATTTGATGAGGAAATGAAGATAAAATGCAGATAAAATGAAGATTTGATGAGGATAAATGATGAGGAAAAAGAAGATTTGATGAGGAAACGAGGATAAAATGAGGATAAAATGAGGATAAAATAGGAAATGAGGATTTGATGAGGAAATGATGATAAAATGAGGGAAATGTGGGAAAAATGGGGAAAACAGAATTATAGAACAACAGCGCTCCGACAAGAATTATAGAACGACGAAAAAAGTTAGGAGTAAATTCAGATACGTTTTTTTTCTACCTTCCGAGGAAAACAGAATTATAGAACAACAGGGTACGGTAAATAACCGTACCTTCGTACTCCTCAACTTCCGTTCTATAATTCTGTTTTCCCCCATTTTTCCCACATTTACCAGGTGATTTTCTTAGATTTCATGGTGCTTTTATAAGATTTCATGGTGATTTTATGGGATTTCATGGTAATTTTATGGGATTTCACGGTGATTTTCTTAGATTTCATGTGATTTTATAGGATTTCTGGGACCCCGGAAGAGGTTCTATAATTCTATAATTAATTTTTCCGTTCTATAATTAATTTTTCCGTTCGACGGAAAAATTAATTATAGAACGGGGCCCGGGGAAAATTAATTATAGAACGAAAATGGGAAATGTGAGAAAAATGGGGGAAAACAGAATTATAGAACAACAGCGCTCCGACAAGAATTATAGAACGACGAAAAAAAATTAGGAGGAAGATCAGATACATTTTTTTTTCATACCTTCCGAGGAAAACAGAATTATAGAACAACAGGGTACGGTAAATAACCGTACCTTCGTCCTCCTCAACTTCCGTTCTATAATTCCGGCACTGACCATAAATTATTTTACTGTAATTGATATTATATATGTATTATGAATGCATATGTGACAGCATGGACAAATCCGCGAACTAATATCAACACACATCAAAATACCATGTTTTTCTTTAGCAGAGGGCAAGTGAGTTTCCATGACTCTTCGCAACTGCCAGGTGACCGTCATCAACCTGCAGAATCGCCAGATCCTTCGCCCCACGCTGACAGAGGATTCCCTGAAGCCGCTGCAGCGCATGCGTCATGCCAGCTGCGTGGTGATGCCCAACTCCCTGCCACAGGATGCGGAAGCTTCGCCGACGGGGCCATGGGGATGGTGAATGAAATGGCGAAAAAAAGACCATACCCCAGTTATGAGGGATTGAGAGGATATATATATAATATATACTAAGTATAGTATCATAATATTATAGCAATGATTCATGGCAATGATGTTAAACTCACTTCGAATGGGATATAAGCCAGGTCCTGCTAGCTGAACGTGTTGATTCCATCAAATTCCACGGTGCATCCAAATGGGAAATGTGTCGTTGCATCTCAACGGATCCAGAACTATGAGGAGAAGAGCATGTCCAACAGCTCAAACGATCATGGCTGGAATAGTTCCATTCTTGGAGAACTGCAAGACCTTTGAGTGTAGAGAAGCTTGGTTATTCGTCACTTCTTTTTATGACCTCTCCCACCTCAGGGTTTTCCGTGTCTGAAAGGGGGAAGAGTCTGACTGCTAATGATTTGGTCTGGGCACGTGATATCACGTGATGTCTCCATGCAGACCTCGTTGCAGCTACAGTCGTTACTTCAAGGCTGTTCGCTGCCATGGACTTATGAGACAAGCCGAGAGCATGTGGACATACTTACGTACTGCATTGGATCACCAGGAATCACCCATTGTTCTGCTCGCCTCTCATTTTCTGATAGGAAACGTAGGCCGCCCTCTTTCGACCTTGAAATGATTTCTATATTTTTCCTATAGATTTCTAGCATGTTTGGAATGATTGAGTCACATGAATTAAATCATATTAAATCTCATTCTGCTGCAAATTCCAGCCCGTTTGGGCCTAGGCATTCCCTGGAGCCATTTTGGTGCTGGGGGGCCATGATGCGAATACCCGAGCGCCCAGGCGCCCACGCTGCTTTCACCATGGGTTTCTGGGGTGATGGGACTATATCTAAGAGTAAGTTTATACATGTCATATGACATATATGTATGCCTTTTTTCGTCTTCTGTGTTATATATATATATAGAATTATATATATATATATATATGTGTGTATCAGTATAGTTCGACTAAGAGTTCGCCATTGAGAGGCAGTCCATTCCACAGAGGTTGAACACGGACGTTATTAGGCTGGTGCAACATTGCGAACGATGACAACTTCTCTGAAATCGATGGCAATTTACTTAAGCACTGTCAAGAACTCTTGACTGAACTATACCTGCATGTATATATATATATATATATAGTAGGTAACAGGTACGCACAACATACATACACAAATAATCACTAAAATGTAAATACACACACATATACATACATACATACATACATTACATTACATTACGTTACAGTACAGTACATTACATTACATAACATGCATACATACATACACGCATACACGCATACAGTACACGCATACACGCATACACGCATACACACATACACGCATACACCCATACACACATACACGCACACCCACATACGCACATACACACATAGACGCATAGACACATACATACATACGTACGTATGTATGTACAGACAGGCAGACAGGCAGGCAGGCAGACGGGCAGACGGACATACATACATACATACATACATACATACAGACAGACAGACAGACAGACAGACATACAGACATACAGACATACAGACATACAGACATACAGACATCCAGACATCCAGACATCCAGACATGCAGACGTGCAGACGTGCAGACATGCAGACATGCAGACATGCAGACATGCATACATGCATACATGCATACATGCATACATACAATACATACAATACATACAATACATACAATACATACAATACATACAATACATACAATACATACAATACATACAATACATACAATACATGCAATACATACAATACATACAATACATACAATGCATACAATGCATACAATACATAGAATACATACAATACATACAATACATACAATACATACATTAGATACATTAGATACATTGCATACATTGCATACATTGCATACATTACATACATTATATACATGCATTACATGCATTACATACATTACATACATTACATACATTACATGCATTACATGCATTTCATGCATTACATGCATTACATGCATTACATGCATTACATGCATTACATCCATTACATACATTACATACATTACATACATTACATACATTACATACATTACATACATACATACATACAAACATACATACATACAAACATACATCCATACATACATACACCCATACAGACATACAGACATACAGACATACAGACATACAGGCATACAGGCATACAGACATACAGACATACAGACAGACAGACAAACATGCAGACAGACAGACTTACAGACATACAGACATGCAGACAGACAGACTTACAGACATACAGACATTTAGACATACAGACATCCATACCCGCATACACGCATACACGCATACACGCAGACACGCAGACACGCACACACGCACACACGCACACTCACACACACGCACACACACGCACACACGCACACACGCAGACACGCAGACACGAAGACACGCACACACACACACGCACACGCACACACACACATACACATATACACACATACACACATACAGACATACAGACATACAGACATACAGAAATACATACTTACATACCATACCATACTATACCATACCATACCATACATACCATACATAACATACATACCATACATACCATACATACCGTACATACCATACCATACATACATACCATACATACCATACATACCATACACACCTACCATACATCTAGCATATATATATATATATATACACCATTTCTACATACCTACCTACCTACCTACCTACATACAGATATACAAATCTTCTATTAAATACATTTTCAAGAAATCAGTTGGCATCGCCAGGCTAGGAACGCCGCGCCCGGCCATGCGGCGCTTGATGTTCCTGCAGGTCACCAAGGACGATGGAGCCTTGGCTGCGAACGTTGCAAGGTTGCGATTACCAATGGAGAGTTCATGGGATATACATTTTTGGAATTTAATACAGGGATTGGTAAATGTCCCATTTTGGGGCTATTGGACATCACCTTTGAATGGCAATTATAGATGAGATACCTCATGGTTGGGTGATGTTCAGTGTGGTGACATTTAATGACCCATGTAATAGGACGATTTTAATATTATGAACTTTAAACAATGTTAGTCAACGGGGGGTATCGGATTTGATTCGAAAATCTCAATAACAAAAGATATTGATGTTAAATATTTATCATAAGGAGGTAAAGGGGATGAGAATTGAATTGTTAATGGAATGTTGCTGAACATTAATAGGGATATAATCGGGATGTGTATATATATATATAAGGGTAATGTGTGCAAACCCAACACCATAAAAACACAAAACACATTCGTGGTAATCTCGGGGCTGGTCTACTATTGGGTTTAGTTTAGTTCATTGATACTATGATATCACATGGTGGCCAAGACATTGTCACCACTGCTATGTGGGTTTTGAAAAAACTTGGGGTCAATGGTCAATGGGATTTTTCTTCTGTAACATATACTCACAATTGCTAGTTTGTTGTCGGTGAAACCTCTAGTTTTTCATGCTAAAATGCTTTCCAAAAGTGCCGAAGAATATTGATGGATTTTAAGCACGCTTGACCCAGGAAAACTTCATAAGCAACACACCTGGTAGTTTCACTGGTAGAAATGGGGCAGGCAGAAATTGGTTTATTGTTGGCAGTCTCTATGAACAGCATTTTTACTGATTAAATCAAATCCCTAAATGCTTAAACATCCCGGCGGGTGGGAAACCGCGCTGGCGGCGGAGCATGTTCTAAAAAAATGGCCGTCGTTGCGCCGTGCACATTTTATGATCAACTTTGCCATAGAATTTGCCGGGCAAAATCAAGTCATGTTCAAGTGATCACATGGTATTTACAGGGTTTTGTGGGTTTTTGGGATGGTGGTCGCTTTTTACTTCTGCCATAGCCGCTTCTGTTTGCCAAGCGCTTGCTTAGGGCTTAGGGCGTGTTCGGTAACACTCATGTAGTCCTTGGAATTTCCATGGTGCCATCTCCATTGCCAAATTCGAATTTCTTGAAGCGACCTGAGGATTAAGCCGTAGCGTGGCATCACTTCAATGTGTGCAAGTAGTAACTTGAACGTTATTTTCCCAGTCCCCGCATAGTGGAAAAGTGGCACGACACGCGCAGTTTTCCCGGTAAGATCGGTAAGATGTTGGGGCTCAGGATCTCAGATCCGATGGATAGAACGACAGGCCGCACGGGGTGGCGTGAAGGGTTCATAAGTGATGTTTTTATTGGTGTCTCTGAATGTTTCTGATGAACTTGCTGTCTTGCTATACTATGATTTAATATGTTAGTTCATTTTTGGGTAAGATAACATGTTCACACGGATCCACAGCAGTATCCACACGGATCGTTTTTTTCATGCTGGCATCTCCAGCTTCAGCATCCAAACTTATGCCAGGCATTTGGCACTATCCCTGAGTACATGTACAACCTCGCTTGTGCCTCCTTTGCCGATGGTAAGAAGGTTTCTAGGCGAAAGGGACCTCCACGTGGTGACATCCAACTCAGGGACCTGTCTCCCAATGAGTTTCCGTAGATGAGTAGTGCTATAGCAACTTTCCCATTTTTTAGATGATGCGTTCCAACCTTCAACCCAGGTGTGCGTCTTTGGGGGTGACATCCCTACCTCCGAAGAAGAGTACGAGCGCATTCAAGATCGAACGTGTTGCAGCTTTGTGCCACTGGGTGTAAGTAGTGGGTACTGTCATGGGGATTCAAACGCTAGGAAGGTGACCCCTCAAATAATGATTGGGCATATTCAGGGCTTATTCGTAGTTAAGTACATGCTTATCAAGGGTTTATTGAAGGATTGCAGCATTAACCACAAACAATCCCGTTTAGAAGGGAAATATGAACCAAACCATCCATTGCAAGGGGTCACCACACTGCGGAAAATGACTTGATGTCATTAATGAGTCGTTTGTCTATATCTGTCTGAAAATGGTGTGCCCAAAATTTCAGAAGATGATCATTATGTTTCCCTTTTAAAGCTGCCACTTTGGGATGTACCTCGTTTTTGGACACGCCCAAATCGCAATGATATGCAATAATCATATTAATTCTTGGGGGGAAAACATACACTGAAAGTTGGTTGATTCTTTGAACGGAAATTCCCAGCCATAATGCCCACATTCTGTGGAGCCCAGGTATGTTTTGGAGTTGACCACTTGCACCTGGTCAGCCATACGTACGAGGGGCCTGGCCCCTGACTGGCGATCCTTCCATGCTGCTGTGAGCCACACATCGTGACACAGCTGCAGCGGAAGATCTGGGGAAGTGATGGGATATGGTGGTTTCCTAAAATGGGGGTACCCCCAAATTATCAATTTTAATAAAGGATTTTTCAGTGTGAACCATCCATTTTTGGGTACCCCTATTTAGGATTCCACCATACATCATATAAGTGGGCATGAGATGGGAGTGGGGCGTGGATGGTAGTGGTAATATCCAACATGACGGAGATAGAATGGAAGACAATCTGGCCAAGCGTTGGTATGGTTTTAAGCTATTTTGCAGTCACCCCAACTTACAAAAGACCCTGAGAATCGCATTTTTTTAAAGAGGAGAGTAGTCTTCCAGCCTCCATTCGGATCATTTGGTAGGGTTAATCTTGGATAGGAGGATGTGGTATAATAATAACATGTTTTCTCACAAATGGGAGTTCAAATTGCCCAGCTATAGGTTTTATTTCCGCAGAGTATCTGAGATTCGGCATCCTACCACTTCATATCGTGCCTTATTTCCTACAAACTCATATTATTGAGACATATTAAAACTGAATCAAAGCCCATCGGTGAAGGTTCACATTACACCCATATGACGGCCCTGAATGAATCAGCTTTGGGACCATGGCATTTCTCCAGGTTCAAGGCGTTTATGAACTTGTTGACACAGCATGCTGCAAGGCTAAGGTACAAATATAGAAATAAGGAGCAGGGCAGGAAGTTCTCAGGAAGTCTGGCTCCCCATTGCTGAAGCATGCGGCTCGTACCATCTCCAACCTCTAGGTTTTTGGATGGCAAGGACTATCTGATCACCTTTGGTGGCAGCAGTGAGCATTGCGAGCCCTTGGCAGGCCATGGCGGCTCTGAAAATGGCGGAAAACCTCAAGTTTCATGGCTTTGTGATCATGTTTCTTCTGAAAGTCACCAGCTGATCATGTTTTTTTCTTAAGATATCTTAAAGTCACCACGTGATCATATTTTGTCACTTAAAGAAGAACACTACAGAATGAGAGGGCATACCAACATTTCCGGCCCCAAATGTCTGGTGTGTTTGCACTGCGCGCTTCGCGCAGGTGGACATTTGGCCGACATGCGCGGCTACCAGTTGGACCTTCATGACTTCAAGTGCTCAGACGGGAATCGGAAACAATGCCCATATGTTCATTCTTGTATATCTACTGTATACATCCCTATACATATCTATGCATATCATTACATATCTATACCTTTCTAGATAAATCTATACATATATATATATACACATATCTTCACATATCTATACATAATTTGAACTATATCTATAAATATATGTCCATTTGTCCATATATGTCTATATGCCCATATACCTACATATATATATATCTCTCTCTATCTCTCTATTTCTCTATCTCTCTACCTCTCTATCTCTCTCTATCTCTCTATCTCTCTATCTCTCTATCTCTCTATCTCTCTATCTCTCTATCTATCTATCTATCTATCTATCTATCTATGTATTTATGTATCTATCTATCTATCTATCTATCTATCTACCTATCTATCTATCTATCTATCTATCTTTTTTTCTATTCTATTTTATCTTCTCTTATCTATCTTATCTATCTAATCTATCTAATCTATCTAATCTATCTAATCTATCTATTCTATCTATTCCATCTATCTAATCTATCTATGTAATCTATTTTATCTATCTAATCTATCTAATCTATCTAATCTATCTATTCCATCTATCTATCTATCTGTCTATCTATCTATCTATCTATCTATATCTATCTATATCTATCTATATCTATCTATATCTATCTATATCTATCTATATCTATCTATATCTATCTATATCTATCTATATCTATCTATATCTATCTATATATCTATCTATATCTATCTATATCTATCTATATCTATCTATCTATCTATCTATATCTATCTATATCTATCTATATCTATCTATATCTATCTATATCTATCTATATCTATCTATATCTATCTATATCTATCTATATCTATCTATATCTATCTATATCTATCTATATCTATCTATATCTATCTATATCTATATCTATATCTATATCTATCTATATCTATCTATCTATCTATCTATCTATCTATCTATATCTAATCTATATCTATCTATCTATCTATCTATATCTATCTATCTATCTATCTATATCTATCTATATCTATCTATCTATCTATCTATATCTATCTCTATCTATCTCTATCTATATCTATCTCTATCTATCTCTATCTATCTCTATCTATCTCTATCTTTATCTATCTCTATCTATCTATCTATCTTCTATCTATCTCTATCTATCTCTATCTATCTCTATCTATCTCTATCTATCTCTATCTATCTCTATCTATCTCTATCTATCTCTATCTATCTCTATCTATCTCTATCTATCTCTATCTATCTCTATCTATCTTTATCTATCTATCTCTATCTATCTATCTATCTACCTATCTATCATCTAATTTTTCTTTTCTTTCTTTTCTTTCTTTTCTATCTATCGATCGATCGATGGATCGATCGATCTATCGATCTATCGATCTATCGGTCTATCTATCTATCTATCGATCTATCGATCTATCGATCTATCTACCTATCTATCTATCTATCTGTCTATCTATCTATCTATCTATCTGTTTGTCTGTCTATTTTTCTGTCTATCTATATCTATCTATATCTATATTTATATCTGTATAAGCATATACACAAATGTTCATTATCCAAGTCCAGTTACTTATTGATATATCTATGTGTTCAGAAGCCAGGCAAATTGCCAGAGTTGAAGATGTCCCCGTGGCTGTAACAGGCCTTGGAAACATTATCACCCAAATTTTGGAACCTCTGATCATGGCAATGCCTAAAGCGTGCCATGTGCGGATATAACCAGACGCTTAGAAGTTGTTGTGAGAAAAATAACATCTCTTCAGCCAGAAGAGTGCCTGACATGTACCTATGGAGGTTTCCTAAAATGGAGGTACCTCCAAATCATTCATTTTGATATAGGATTTCCCATTTCAAACCATCCATTATTGGGTACCCCCATTTTAGGACACCTCCATATAGCATGATGTAGCCAAACATGGCCAAAGCCATGGTCTGTCAGAATGCCGTGCTCCGCGGCCCAGGTGGCAGATGGGTCCCGCAGAGGATCTGCCAGCGCCCCGTTTGCGCTTTGGGGTGGCGCGCTGGGGTCGACATCTCTTGGTTCATGGAGGCACCTCTTCACATCCACCTTTGGATCGCTGGCTGGTTTTGATATTTTTTGTTCCTGTTTTATGCCTGGATTTAATGAAAAAATTGATGCGAGCAGTAAATTGCAATAATACACTCACAGACCCTGGTGCTTGGCATCAGTTGAATAGTGTATAAGGCTGTATAGGGAATGTGTGAAAGATGTGGTATGTTGTAGCCGCCATAGGTCATGGTAATGGTCTCCACCAGAGCGTGACACGGTTGAATCTGCACACTTTGCAGCTTGGCAGCTGACAGCGGTCACCAGTTGATGGCGAATCATTGCAGAAATTGTGTGAAGATCAATGTGTATCTCAGATTTTGTTTGTATCCTGGCGTGCATGTGTATAGAGGGATAGGTAGAAACATATCATAATAGATCTAGAGAAAAGAGAAAACATATACTGTACAAACACACAAAGAAATCAATATATACGTCCAAAAATCAGTAGAAATCACTGGAAATCATAGAAATTGATGTGGATTGCGAGTTACCCAATTTTGGTCAAGTTGTGGATCTTCCCGTGGCGCCGAGGAAGTGGGGTCGCCTGAAGTTTACGAATGCTCCACCCCCTTTGGGAGCGTCCGCCTTTGAGACTGGCGCTCCTCAGGCGCAATGCAGAAAATAAATACCTATAGATACTTACATTATAGATGATACTGAATATATATATAATATATAACATATATATATATATGTATAATATATGTATATATATATATGTATATAATGTGTTGATATGATATCAATTGTCATATGCATATGTGTGTGTTTGTTCTATCGTTGACAAATTAGCACCAAAACTATCATCTCATACACATCTTCTGCCGGCCTAGAGGCAGGCATCGTTGTTGGCGGCGCCCAACAGACGGTGCTAGGCCCATGTTGTGGGATGGGAGAGATGGGAGGCTTATCTGATTGAATGCCAAAGGCAACCCATTTGAAGGGGAAACCTGATTGTTTGTTCTCATGCACTACTGTTTTGTCAGAAAGGGTAGGTCCATACTTACTGACCAGCCAAGAAATGCGCAGGGGATGTATGTAATCTAAGACTCGCCATGTTCACAGATCGTTTACTAAATATCCGTATATATTTCTCATTAAGAATATCAAGATCCCGTTATTTTCCAAAAACATCCCATTCAAAACAACCGTTCGTGCTGGTTAGAGTGTTTCACCAGTTTTCATGGCGACCCTTTGGTAAACTAACATCGCTATCGAAAATCACCCAGAATTAGTAAATCATCTAGACATCAGAGATCTAATCAACAGCAGCTGTTTTAGTGATTTAACAGAAAATCACCCAGAATTAGTAAAATGTTCCCTTTCCAATTTACAGCAGAGGCAAAATCCGCCTGGTGACCATCCCCCCAGGAATCACATGGAATCACCGGCAGGTCCACGCATCCTGCAACGCTTGGTGGTGCTGCGCTTGCGGGATCACTTGGTGGAGGAGGATGGAGCGTTGGCGCCGGAAGAAAGTGCCCTGGCGCCCAATCAATGGCCATGTCAGGAACCGATTTATTGGAGGTAGCTATCAGAAGGCCTATGGAAGGGCTAGAAAGTGGTAGTAATACACAATCGGATCCACCATCCAGAAATTGTATTATAAATGGGCGGTATAACCATGAACAATCATGAACGTATGCCATTAATCGCATCAGGTAGCAATGGGATATATGGGACGTATGTCTAAATATATCCTGGGAATAATGGACTAATGGGATAAACTGTAATAATTCGCAATGTGTAAAATGTAAATCATGGTATAATATACCCAAATATTTGATACAAATCCCATCCTCCTAAAATCAAATGGTATTGTGCAGTTATACTAGTATTGTATAGGGATATGATGGGATACTGGGATACAACACATATGTATAAGTAATCCCGTGAGATATCAATGATAATCCCATCCTCCTAACATTGAATCGTATTGCATGTTTGCATGGATAAAATAGGATATGATATAGGAATATACAGGAATATACAGGAATATAATATTGGCAATGGGTGTTTGACCATCAAAAATACTCGGGCTAACATGGTTTAACCATCCTGAAATTGGATCCAAAAAGCCAATACAAAATCGAATACCTGCCAATTAAAGGACCCAAAATGAATAGATCCAAGGCCAATCCAGGATTACTCGGGTTTCGGGGGGGTATTTGCTATTAGAGTCATTAGAGGAAGGGGATCTGCATGTATATCACACTGAATTATGTGCCCAACAATTTTGGTTGCTGTCAACCCTAGATTGTCACGCAATCCCGAATCTCGTCTGTGGATTAGAAGCACCATAGAAATCGAAGCGATCTTGGGTGCCCACCGGAAACCATCAGGATGCCGTTGTGAGGTCATATAGCCACTGGTGATGATGAGAGTGGGGGATCTTGGCTACGGAACCCGGCCCTGGACATCCCTGGACAGCAGCACGTGTCAATGTGTAAAGATGCTGCTGACATAGATGCATGCCTGCGTGAGTTTTCATGAGATATGCTGCGCTATATTAACACTGTATTTGATTCTGTTTAAGATCCCAAACTCTTATGGAACATGAACAAACTGCAGTTTGTCGAGGGTTAAACACCTAGATTCCCCTGGTGGAGCAGGAAGATATCAACATATTGAATCATATTTGGGTATTAATTTTACAGAAAAATCATCTCTTTCTCTCTCTGTATAAATATATATATACATTTATTTGATACATATATATTTTTTATATTTATCTACAGCTACAGTACTATATTTACAATAGCGAGAGGGAGAGGGTAGTAAGAATCAGTGTTTCTTTCAGCAGATGTCCGCTTACAACAATTCATTGAAACCATGTTGTGTTTTTTGTGTTTTTCCCAAATTGGATTTGTTCAATCCCAATTTTCGCTGCTTAAAATCCCATCATATCACCAGCAAGCTGGTGAGATCCGACCCGAACCAGGGGGTGAAGCTGACATGGCTATGACTGAAGTTCGACTCCAAATCCAAACCGCCGGAGGTGGAGATCTGTGGACTCTAGCGGTGGTTGTGGCGCATTGATTGTCTTTTTTGGGGTGATTTTATGAGGATTTTTCTTTTTATTTTTTGGGATTTTATGGTGATTGATTGGGATTTAACTTCAAAATTGGGGATGTGAATGAGATTTACCCGGAATTGAAGAGTGTGCGATTGACAATGCCCATTTAGTTCGATGACCCTTCATGGTGATTTTCCAGTTCGCACAGTGTAATAAACAATCAGAGGGTGTAGGTAGATGGATGGATAGATAGATTGATAGATAGAAAGGCAGACAGGCAGGCAGGCAGATAGATAGATGGATGGGTGGATATGTTGTATTGTTTTATACAATATTATATATATGTTTAATGCAACTTTCAATATGTTCTGTATTGTGTCATATCCATGTTTAATTGTTTTTATTTCATATTTACTTATATATATATATGTTATATTTCATATATTATATGTTATATTTGATATAGTATATGTTATTTATTTCACACTATCTATCAAACATGTGTTTTTAATGTATATATATATTGTATATTATATACGTTCTATATTCTTTACAGATCAATGAAACATAGTGTATTAGTTTCCTACAGTTTCACATGACTAATCTTTAGTAACTTCACTGGTGACGACACCAGGCCAGCGCCGGGTGGTGTCGATCCCTGTGTCCATGTTAGCGACACTTGGGAGTGCCATGAAGCGATGAAGCGATTGGTTGGGGATGAAGGGCCCACGGGCACGGGGGTAGAGGGCCCAGGGCACAAGCTGTTGCTGGATGATCATTTGTCATCATCTATGATAATTTATCATCATCATATATATATATATATATGTGCGTGCATATGAATATGTATCTTTATTATATCATTGTTTATCAGCGTAATTTAACCAAGATAAACCATGATTCACCATCAAAAGCCAGCAAAAACCATCAATAAACATCATGCACCCTCATGATCCTCATCATCATCATCCTCATCGTCCGCCACACAACTTAAACAACTGCAAAGGTAAGCAAACAATAATTGTAATAGTAATCATAAAATTCAAATGCCACTATAATTAATATACAATGATATTTAATTATTGACATAATCTAGTAGTTGTGGTAGTAACAAAATCATCAGCATGTTGTTTTCACCACTTCAACGGCTAATGTCCCCCCCTTGGATCGCTCGGATTAACCATCCCTTGCCCCGGACAAACGAGCATGCCTCCAAAAACCACGCTGTAGTGACTTTAGTGATATCAGATTTGTTCATTTCTTGGTCCCATATCAGGGGCGAATTGTTGTGGGTATGGAATTAGTTTGCACACGCAAAAGCAACGAATTTGGACGGTATTGAGTTTTTTTCGCTCACAAGACACAGGCCTCAAACCCCCGAAGCGTTGGGATTTTCAATTGGTTGGATGGGATTTTGAAAGTTTGAACCTCCAAATTTTGGCCACCCACATCGCATCTTCCAGGTGATCAGGCGGGAGCCACTGGATTGCTTCGCTTGCTGCAGGCCGTCGAGGCGCCGTCATGATGATGCCTATAATGTGTTTGCCCCCAAAGTTGCTTTCTTAAACATAGATAATTAATTATAATTATGTGACAATAAAATGATTAATAGATAATATATATATATTAAACAGAATATCTAATATATATATATATATACATATATATATCATGTGTGTGTGTGAATATTGAACATACTGGGTATATCATTATATATGTATATGTAAATGTATATGTATATGTATATGTGTGTGTATGTATGTTTGTTTGTTATGTTATGTTATGTTATGTTATGTTATGTTATGTTATGTAATGTAATGTAATGTAATGTAATGTATGTAATGTAATGTAATGTAATGTAATGTAATGCAATGTAATGTAATGTATGTATTAATGGAATGGAATGGAATGGAATGGAATGGAATGGTATGTATGTATGTATGTGTGTGTGAAGATTAAATATATACATGTATGATTAATGTAAATTTGAAATATACACACACACTCACACACACATATATATATATACATACATACATACACATAGTCCAATGTTCATCAAATTTCCAGGTAAACAGACAGCAGGTCATGTTCCATGATTCCTGGGTGTTGCAGCTCGCCAAGGACAACGCTGACGATGCGGACCCCGGGCCGCGCCCTGCGCCGTGCCCTGCGCCGTGAGCACAGGAGTTTTCAGCACAGAAAAGTCGGCCGTTCAGAGCCGTTTGGGAAGCATTTAGGTTAAAGACGTTTTTGAGGACCTTGGATATTTAGACAATATCCCAAATGTCGTTTGTTTTTGAGTTTTGTGCCAACAAGACAATTCAGATTGAAACCATCGTGCATTCTGATGCATGTCATTTTCCTTTGACGGGACGTGCCAATGTTTGAGTTTTTGCATGCCCACGTCCACGACCTGAGTAGGTTTTCCCACGTAGTTTTCAATTGGTTTTTCCACATTTTTAATAGGTCTTTCCACAGGTTGTCCAAGGGCAGCACTCTTCCCGAAACAGGTCTTAGGATTCACATGTAGAATAGCTAGTTCTTTCACAGAAGACCTATACGTCTATGCTGTATCCCCATTTGTTCATGTTTCAGGCGTACGCCTGGCCAAGTTCAAGAGGTTGGAGCCAATGTTCAGGGGGGGCAGCTCCGCCACGTGCTTTTGTGCAGACAGCTGCTTGTAGAGCCGAAATTGTGGGTCAAAGCAGCCGACAGTACCCAAACCTAGCAGCAAACCATGACCTGTGACCTGATGATTATAGGACTGGGCTTCCAGATCAGTGGATTTCAGATTTGTTTGCACTATTTTGGATGGGTAACGTGACAGTTCCCCATGGTTTGTGAAAGGGCTGGCCACTCAAGCTAGTAACTGGTAAACAGTTTGCAGTGCATTTGCAACTGCTCAGGGCTAGAATGGATCTACAGTAAATGGGTTACAGATGGTTATAGATGGTTCTACTGAGTTCCGCCCGGTTCAGATCCTTTCTTTGTTGCAAACATTTGCAAACTATTTGCATAATTCCCCCAACTACTCTACAACTAGTGGGAGGTTCCAGCATGGAAGCTTGACGGGGCCGCCATGGTGCCGCGAACGGAAGCAGTGCGCCCGAAGCGACGGCATGGAGTGCTGGTGATTTGGCTTTTTGAATGTGTCGGAAGTCTGAAGTGCTTACGGATTTTTTTTGTGATTTTATGATATTTTATGTTGATTGAAGCTATAGAAACTATAGAACTTGGTTATTTTATAGACTTTGTCAATTTGCGGCGTGTTCTTTTTTTACGCTTTTTGTGTCAGCCATCGCTCAGCCTTTGTTACATCGATGGCCCCAAAGGGAGTCCCCATGGGCTCCCTCAGGTGATCGCATGCTGCTTGCCTTCGCTGTGTTTCGTGCCCTCCCTTGGGAAAGGCCGCAGCGAACAACGTTTGTTTCTGCGCTCGCAGATGGAACAAAGGCAAGTGGAGACGGAAGAAACTTGACAAAAAAGATGGGAGGAGTCGGATGAAGAGCCAAATCTTAACAACCTAAATATATATATATATATAATATATAATATGTATATTCTAGGAATTACCCAAATATGGGCATGGGTCAAACTGGGTGCTCTAAAATACTTGATGAAACCAGGATGGTCTTGATATATGGCTTGATGCCAAACATGACAAAAATCAGTGGTCTTGTGGGTCTAATGTTTTGAACCATACCCAGGGGATACGGATACCAATTGTAATACCAATTGGGCTATCCAGAATGTATGCATTGTTCAGCATGTTCAGCTGCAAACGGATATCAGTATGTTGCCCATTCAGCAACCAGTACGCGTTGATGAACGCATTCATTCGTTATGTTTTTTCTCATCGGTAGTCGCCTCATTGTTGAACATTATGTTGATTATATATATAAATATAGAGAGAGAGTCATTTAGTGTTTGTATATGGGAAGGGATTTATTCAGTTTTTTTTTTTTCCGGGTGAGTTTGTTTCTGTTTGTTGTCGTCCTTTTTGTTACTCCTTTCATTGCTTTTTGCTTTTGGGTGCCTTTTAGGGTCATTCTTTCGCTTTAATCAAATTGTTATGTTTCTCTTCTTTTTCTTTGCTTCTCTGCTTGTTTGCTTTTCTGCTTTTTTTTGATTGCCTCTTCTGCTTTTCAGCTTTTCTGTTTCTTTGCTTCTCTGCTTCTTTGCTTCTCTGCTTTTCCGCTTCTTTGCTTCTCTGCTTATCCGTTTTCGGGCTTTTGTTTTCTTTTTGCTTTTCTGCTTTTTGCTGCTTCTTTGCTTATCGACTTGTTTGCTTTCGTTTTTCTGCTTTTCTTCTACGTTTTTTTCTGTTTTGCTTTGGTGTTTGTTTTATTTCTCTATATGCTTATTTGATCTTTTTTGTGTTTAATGTGCCATGGTTAACATGGGTTACTTTCCCATATTTGTCATGAATCCATTCACAGGGATTTGTATACCCATGATAAGGATTACCATTATTAGATGGATGATCATACATGATATACCATGTGTTGACCCTGGCATATATGGTCCTTGTTTTTAAACCCCTGTACATCTTTAATTTTGCTGGCCTCTTTGTTTCTTTCCTGTTCTTCGCCTGCTCTTGGATGCTTCTCTCCTTTTTGTTTGGGTGCTATCATGCGATGTGCTCGTCTCTCTTCCTCTGTGTAGTCTCTGGATGAGATTGCCTGAGTTTCTTGCTCTTCTCTTCTCTTCTCTTCTCTTCTCCTCTTCTCTTCTCTTCTCTTCTCTTCTCTTCTCTTTTTTTCTCTTCTCTTCTCTTCTCTTCTCTTCTCTTCTCTTCTCTTCTCTTCACAATCTTCACAACAAGATCAACATCAGCGTCAGCATCATCACCTTCAAACCCTTACCCCTCCACCCCCTATACCCCCCCCCACCTAAAATCCTAACCCCCCCCCCATCCCAAACCCTAAAGGTCGCAGGGCACATGCCCCTCTCTTCTCTTCTCTACAACAATAACAAGAAGACGAACAAGAAGAACAATAACAACAACCACAACAGCAGCATCCAGGCAACCACCATAGCCGCCACCACCACCACCACCACCAACAACAACAACAACCACAACCACAACCACAACGACAACAAGAACACCAACACCAACACCAACAGCAACACCTTCATCACCTTCACCTTTAACACCTTCAACACCCTCGACAGTTTCAACACCCTCGACACTTTCAACACCTTCAACACTTTCAACATAAGACCCCTAACTCCCCCACCCTCCACACCTAAATGCCTAACCCCCCACAACCCCCTACCCAACAAGCATAAGAACTGCAAAATACCACGTGAAAACCAAGGTTATAGTTTCTAAATGCTGCAAATATAAGGTAACAGGAATCAAACAAACAAAAGCAAAAATCACCCGGAAAAAAAAAAAAAAAAACTCAAATAATTCTCCACCCTTGGTATAATCCCAATTTGATGCGTCATTCAACTGTCAGGTGCCCTTGTGCCGTAGTCAACGTGTCGTAAATGGGTCATCAATAGACTGTTTTGGCTGGATCATGAAATCAATAATCATATACACATATCATATTATCTATATATATATGTGTGTGTGTGTAATTAATCATCCTTATATAGTTTTAGTTCATATATAGGTCATTTGAGTGGTTAGTGGATCCCAGTCGCCGCTACAACACTTCCCTGATCCAATGAGCATCACCTGGGTGAGTCTGGTTTTGTTATCCTGAGCCTCAGGAAATCTCCGAGTCAAACGTCTCCCAAACGGTCAGCACTTTGGCTCCTTTGGGATGTACGTTTTGCTCTTATTTTGCTCTTATACCTCCTTGGGGTTCTCCAAGAAAGCAGTCCGTATGAGCTGAATATGAGTCCATTGGAGATAAGATTTGAGGATATTTGGGATCTGCATGGACCCTGACCCTTGAGCAAAACCATCAACATGCTGCCGTATTTAGCACTTATTAGCTGCTATGCCATGGAAGGTTAGCACCACCAACTGCTCCCGTGGAGGTCCAGAGCCCAGTAAGCCATCGTCAGAGGAGGTGGGCATTTGGACGTACATCTTTGGAAAACCTGGGGAATTTCGGAGAGACCTCAGTGCCTTGGAGCCATCGCCCAGGAGGGCTTGCGTGCATTAGAGGAAACAAACGACTGGGCGAAGAAAAACATGGACCATCCAAGCACTTGGAAGGGCGCCCTTCTGGGGCGCTGAGAGCTGAGGTTTGGTTGGCACCTCGCCGGAGAGGATCATCATCACCAATTTCTTTGCAATTCTCATAGGCCTTGCCAGCAACCTTTGGGGGCAGACCGAGCCACAGCTGCACTAGCTGCACATGTTGCCGTTTGGATCGTTTGGTTTTCCCTGCTTTGTGACATGGAGTTTTTGGCGATACATCCACTCCGAGTGATCGTCCATGCTGCAGAACCAGGAATTTCTCTTCCGCGTCTTCCCAACCATTGGAGAAAAGGCGCCTCAGCTTAGATCTTCAGTGTCCTGCAGAAGGTAATCAGTGATTACCATAAAGCATAAGCATTGGCTCCTGAAGAAACTGTTCTGGTCCTGAAGTGCTCCTCCCAAGTCCTTGCTGGAAGTACTAGAACTTGACAAGCCAGGTACAGCCAGGCATAATATACAGAGAGATATATATATATATTTATAATATGCATAATTATACGTATTATATACAAGTATATATATATGTATATATATATGTATATATATATATGTATATATATATATGTGTGTGTGTGTGCGTATTCATTTGCAATTTATTTATATATATGCATACATACTATACATTTATAATATCATATTTTAAATGCAATATTGTACATATATAGGCATAGGCAACATCATTGAGCGCCATTAGCTGGTTTCATCACAAAAGCTAGCGGTAGCTGCTAGCTATAGCTAGCTGGAGTCTTTTTGTGTTTCAGCAAGGGGTGGGCAGCTTTGAGTTCAACACAGAGGTTTCTCATGTGAGCCCATCTCTTTCTTACCCATCTTCCTTCCCCTGTCCATGGCCATGGGCGTTTCACGGCAATGATTCGCTCCCGTACGGAGGCTCGGGAGGTTCATTTGGACTCCCTCTATGCGGTGGATGGGCTGAAAACTGCCTATGAGGAGCAATATCAGGCACGATATCCGAGTACCTGGCTCCTAGATCAAAGAGTAGCTCTGCTGAAAGCTCCTTGGCACAAGCTCTGCCACTGGGTTAAGTCGTTCATGCGGGTTGTTCGGTTCAGTAAAAGTGACATGGTTGTGATTGTTGGTTTATAGCTTTGGTTTTTCTCGAGAAATTGTGCTGGTGAGGTTACCTTTGGGGTGGCGGTGGCAGTGGGAAGTGCCATGATGTTTTGCAGTCTTGCGATTTGTTTGATGGCCAGCATGCGCTTGTATACCTGCTCTCGTTGTTCTCAATGAGTTGGAGCTGACCATGACGAAGATCTTCACATTCAGATTGTTTATGATAATCATATGCCAAAAAAAATCAAGTGTCAAGCCAAGCATGTATCGACAGATGTCAGCAGTGAGCATCAGAGACAACATTTTTCTTGACTATCACATACTATCACTATATACTGAGTTTTGAACATGTTCCAACACAAGTATAAATCATATGTTCCAAACCTCGAAACTGAATTATTTGGGCCAACATTAGTTGTATTACATGTTTTTGTTCCGACAGATCGGGGGCATATATATATATATACCCTAGTCTTCCTCGACTGTTTCTGTCATAGCCTAGGCTATACTAGGAATGAACGACTATAACGGGTTTTGCTCGACCATAACGGGATTTCTCGAACGACCATGGTGGGAAACCAAGAACGACTACACCAGGAAAACACTCTCGCCCATGCTGGGAAATGGCTTGGTTGCTGGAGGGGCGAATTGGCGTTGAATTAGGGTACCTCCTGTCCACGTCCTGTCCACGTTCCCAGGAGGTCGTTCCACGTTCTCACATGTGCGTTCCACGTGTTGTCCACGGTCCATCCTTGTGATGTCCCAAGCGCCTATACCAGGAAACATGCAACGACTATACTGGGAAAGCCTGAACGACCATACCAGGAAAATATCCCTGCATGTCCTAGCAAACCCTGGTATGTCCTCTCTGCGAACGACCATGCCAGGAAAGGTCCATGGAATCATAGGGTATATATCTCTCTCTCTCTCTCTCATGTCCTAAACAACTACAACCAACTAAACAGCAAATCCAGTCCAAGATTGGCCATGTTATGAATCGCCAGGCTCGGCAAAGCAGCCCCGATGACCTTCTGGGTGTGTCAACGCGCCGGCGCGCGGCAGTAGACGCACGGCGAAACCACTGGGACCCTAGGTACCCTAAAATAGCTGGCTAACGGATGGTGAATCGCCCAAATATGGTAAGAATAAATCGTGACCCATCCCCAACTCACAAATAACCTACATGAGTGTAGGTTGAACCTGGTTGAACCAGCTTAAATTTGCTACAGTGGGGACCATAATTAATGATAATAGAGAACTGATGGTATATATAATTGGATTTACTGCCAACCATCGAACTAATTAAAACTTGGGATTTAGCGGCGCATAGTGGGATTTAACAAGCAATCATGTGGAATCAGTTAGATCTAGACCGGAACAATGTGGGATTTTTGCTGCTATGGGTCAAAGGAACATCTGGGGGCCCCAGAACCTCCTGTAGTTTTGCAGGGTTAGCTATTGAAACCATAGCATCGGTATGCATCTGTTGTTTTTTTTTTTTGGCATATTTTGACATATCCCCATCATATCCCCTAAACTAAACTTCAATATTTGGTTTTCCTCTCCCTGTCTCTCAATATTTTCACCGGCCCATTTCCTTCCTAGTAATTCCTCATACCTAGAGAATCTTCTGGCAAATATTTTTGCCTGTTTGGATTGTGTACTGGATTTATGCCCGCACGACCTGGAATCGCCGCGAACTGAAAAATACTCAACAAGATCGCCGGCACTATCCAAAATTGCCGGAATTGATACCATGTGGTAAGTTGGAACATACCATTGACATAGTCAACACCCAGTAGGAATTGTGAATTGGAATGTTACCAGCAAGTAGTACGATAATTTCCCCCCAACTAGCCATTTATGGTCCCATGGGTATTTCACTCGCAGCAGCCTCCTCGCCACACTCAACATTGCAGACAAGTAGCATCTTGGCAAAAAAAGCCAGGGAAAAAATCCTTTAAGCATGGTGGATTAGTTTAACATAAAAATCCAAATATACAATATACAATATAATATATAATTCGTGGGGGGTCTTTGCAAAGGCACTTGATATCAATTGATATTACCCCAAGATTAAATCAGAAACATTGCAGCTGCAGGGTCTACATTCCAACAAGGAAGAACCATTCCCTGTGCCAATGGCTTCCCCATTCCGTGCTTCCTTTTTTTCAGCCACGGCAGCTATATCAACTCAGCAGGGGCACCCAGCTTCAAGACAGAGTTTTTGAGGTCAACGCCTCATGTGTTCAGTTTACTTTTTTTTCTTTTCTCCAAGTGTCTCCTGAACAGCGCTTTGGATTTGAGTAAGTATCTTTGAGCCAGGCGCTGGCCGAGCGTGCGTGTAGCCAGTTTTCGTGAGAGTCGGGCCACGTGCCCGATGTGGTCTTCATTCATCTCACATGCCCAAATCAGCACATTGAGCAATCTCGGGGTCTTTGTTTTCAAGCCTTTACGGATTTCAAGCGCCATGTGAGCTAGAGCATGCAGTTTAGGTTTCAGTCTGTAGCCCGGCAAGTGTTTCTCTAAGCAGTAAGCAGCAATTTTCTTGTACCCCCGAACCACGACCATAATGTGAAGATACAATCTTCGAGCACAATGTCTCCGTAAGAAAAGGTTGTGGGAGTACACCAAATCACACATGGAAATGCTATTGTGGATGACATCACGCACGAGCTGCAAATGTAAGGCATGGGGTTGAACTGCATCACACGGGCTTGACAAAATCAATCCCAGATAAAACCGCAACCAACGCAGTAGTATCATGCTATCACTTCCTTTCGAGTTAGCCCAAGCAGAATCTGCATACACCCGAGAATTCATGAAATGTTTTGTAAAGCTTCGTAATGCTGGGGAATATCCTTCAGTGAGGGCCCACAACTTGAACTGGGTGTGGGCTCTTTCCAGGCGGTCATCTAAATTTTGAGTTCCATCTTGAAGATCAAAGCAGCCCAAATGGCAAAGCCAAATAACGGTGGAACCAATGATATCTCTGGCCAAGCCCACTTTGAAGCAATGGAAGAAATCGAGCTTGTAAAGCCGTTCTGGGTGTAGATGATCATGGGGTACCCGGGTGAAAGGTGGCGCATTGCCCTGTTCCCATGGACGGTCAAAATACATCGTGTGCTGCCACCCAGGTTCCACATTGACATCCTCCATGGGACAGTCTGGGTCCCCAGCTCTGCAGAGTGAACACATTCTGATTTGGTTTATGGTTCCCATGTTTGCATAAGAACGCGTCATGGACGCAATGGTCTGCGCTTGAAACTTCAAATCACCTTTGGATCCGATCAATGCTGCATAGAATACATCATCGTCTTTGCGAAAGCCAGTGTTGAATAGATTCACAAGGTCATCAGCAATCACTTCCAAATGTTTCTTGATGATACCCGGCTCAGTTTCATATACGAACCCGGGCAAGCCAAAGAGGAAGTGCCTTTTCAAGTAAGAATGGCCACGGTAATTGGTTTCAATCCGGTCTACAGAGTCAAGATGGGGAGTATCCCGAATTTGTGAGGGTTCAGCTGGTAGCCAGTGAGCAGGCAATGACTGCAAACAGTCATGACAGTCACAAGTGACGTCCTTATCCCACAGCCCCAGCGGGCATTCGATTGTCCCCTCCAAATAATGGCTCCGCCGTGGTCCTCGCCCTTCATCTCCCCAAAAGCAAAGGGGAAAGACTTTTCCAAGGTGCTGGTTGTGGATCGCAAAGACGGGGTGGCAAGGATGGTGAAACCGATACAATTCCCAGAATCCGAGCAATGTACTCTCAATGGGTGAAGTTCCACCAGCTAGCAAGAATGAGTACTTCCGCACCAATAGTTTCAACCAATCTGATGGGTTGATGTACTCTGTGACCCCAGTTCCTCCATCAGAGAGTGTGTGCTTCAATTGTCTAATCGGTATCGCCAAAGAAAGACCAAGCCTACGGAAATGTTTATGCAGATCCCTTTCGGCATTGGTAACATTTCTGCGTTTTTCCTCATCCTCCATGGCCTCTGCCTTCCGTTTGCCGCTCAGGTCATTGATGGCACGCATGGCCATGTTCCGCTTGATCTTGCAGGCATGGTCCTGGGCAGCCATGCATGGGCAGAGGCTTGACCACAAATTTGAGAAGTTTCTTTGCTGTTGAAAATGGTAATGGGAGGACAACATTTTGTCTATGGTTTGATCACCCTCTCCAAAACAGAGCCCCATTCGACTCCAAATATAATTCAGCTAGGGCACACCTTCCCCAAGGACTCTGCCCAGTTCAACTGCTCAGGGTCGTCTGACTCACAGGGGATGCCTGCCCAAGAGTTGAAAGAGCAAAGTCGGCCATTGTTGGTGGCTAGGTGTTTGTGTTCTTTAAGACAGCGATTCATGTAACACCAGGTCCAATGGAGGCTGCATGCAGCAGTGGTTTTGGCGGCATTTTTGTCAGATCCGCAAAGATTCAGAAAGCAAAACTTGAAGCACATGTGACGCGTGCCCCCCAGCAGCGTATGGAGACATACGCCCAAACATTTGATAAACCTACTGAGACGTATGCTGCAAGGCTTCGTTGCAGACGTCAGCACCCCTCAAAAGCAAAGGTTAAAATTGGCTACTGGCCCCCTCGCAGCTAAGCCTTCGCCTTGCCCTTTCCAGAAGCCTTTGCTTTGGGCGTCGAAGCCGCCTTGCTGGGGGCCTTCTTGCTAGAAGGCACAGAAGACGCCTTTGGCTTGGGAGTTGTCTTGGCCTTTGGCACAGTAGGCCCCTTGCTTTTCAAGACATGCCTCAGGAAAGCCAGAACTTGGCAAATAAATGCATCGATGGAAGGTGTTGGCCCAACACTGTAGGAGTGGAATGCTTTCAGACGTTCAAAGCACCATGTGTTGACAGGAGGATTGCGAATTCTCTCTGAGAATCATACTTCAAACGCTCATCCAGGGCATAGGACTCAATGGCCCTAAGCAACATACAAGCCAATCAACATTCAACATTTGAAGAGGAACTGCAACTATGGACAAGCCCAGAGTCCTAGAGACAAACATGTGAATTTCAAGACGACCTGAGTATTGGGCTTGCGCTTTGCCTCCCCAAACTGGGCTTTGATGACCTTCATCGACCTGAATCGCAGAACATGTTGATGTGTTTAGAGCTATTTCGAAACTTGGATTGAGGCATGGACGGTCGGTCAAACCCATCCACCAAACCCTTTGTGTAGCTATTCCCGATCTGTTCAGCCAGGCCGGCAAGATCCTTGATCAGCCCCTGCACTTTGGCGTGCATCCTCAGCACGGGGATGGCACTGGTAGCGACGATAAAGACAATGGAGGTAACTGGTTCATCTTGACTCTGGACTTCTCAAGTTCACAGTATTCAACCAATCGGATTGGCTTCAAAAAGGTTAGGGCCCCCACTGCTGTTGAACGGACGTTTGCTTCTCAACGGGCGGAAACTGGGTCAACTGAAGCTCCAGCTTTGTCAACCTCTTAGAGATGCACTTGTTGATTTTGGGGCACCAATCTGCACTGAAGCTGCCCGTCTCAATCTCTGGAAAGGCCAAAGATTTGAGTACCTTCTCTTGCTCCTTAGCGCCTTCGTCAGAGGAGGCTGTGGACTCGTCATCTTTGGGAGAGTCGGGGGATTCCACCGACTTGACAGACGGAGCAGCGGACTCACTTTGATTCTTCTTGCTCCGCTTTCCTGGCAGAGACAAGCCAACTTGAGACTTGTGAGTTTAGTAAGAATTGCATTCCAAATTTTCGGGACCTATAGGTAAACCCTGCACCCCACCACAGCATCCCCCATTTGGGCCTTCCAACAGGTCGAAGGAATCTCGCTTGACACGTTTCGGTTCCAGATTCGGCGCATCCTCTTCAACAATCTCCCGGAAGATGTTCCGCTTGGTTCGCCTTAATCGGTTGCCCCCAGTACAATGGATGTAAGCCAGGTATCTTGGTTGAAGTGACTAGTGGTTGATGGTCCAGTTCCTTCCCTAGGTCTAGAGTCTATAGTGCTGCCTTTTCATGTGGGATAGCTTCAGTGAGGAAAAAAATGAGGTTCAGGATTTTGAAGTATTGACCAGCTGCCGCAAAGCCACTTGAGAGATCCTCGCTTCTTTACACAAACCCAATACATCTTGCCTTCGCCATATTCAGACTTCCTCCGAGACAGGGAGACTATTTTTTGGTTGTTTTTCAATGCCGCTTGAAAATTTACGAAAGATGGTGCAATGGGAATATCACACGGGACAAGAAGGACCCCCCAACTCTTCTAAAATTGGCAGAGATGGGTGTGGAGAACTAACGCTACACAGAGAATCCCAAAAGCAAGTGCTACAATAGAAGAACCTTCCCAGCAACCGCTCGCAGACCCCGTGGATCCTGATGTAGCCTTCTTTCTGTGCACAGGTCTTCTTGATGCTCGCGATCTTCTTCCTGAGCTGGCAGCTGCGGTTCAGAAGGTTTGGCCAGGGGAAGGAAGAGCAGGGCTTTCAAGGGCTTGAATTTTCAAAAGGCTGGCCAGGGGTAGTGAAACTAGTTTGTTTTCTATGCCTCCTAGTATCTCAGAAAAGGGTGGAACCAGGGACTTCATGTCAGCTTCCGTCATGAACTCATAATCATCCTCGACGTTCTGTTCTGTCACTTCTTCGTAGATCTTGCAAACGCGCTTGCGGAAAGCTTCCTTGATCACATGGAAACAAAAGGCATCAGGCTTTCGGTGGTGAGGATGTCTAAGACTGTGGTGTGAGGTGTGTTCAAAATATACTTTAATATCTATCTATATATATGTAAATTTACGAAGATATCTTATAATATAATATCGGCTATTATATAATATGGGGATCAATAAAATAGCTCAACCATCTTGTCATGGTACAGGGCAATGCCCGCACTTCTGAAACATGCTCTTCAGCGAATCCCTCTTGTCTTTGTCCTTCCACATATCCACAGCTTCCTTAGGGACGAGGTAGGAGCCATCAGATCTCGGGGCCATCACACGCCTCAAGCGGGCTTCAGAAGCTGCCTTGGTCAGCTCCTCGGGAGGGGGCTGATGAGGCACAGCGTCGTCCTCATCCTCCTCACCCTCTTGGGTCTGATTGGCGGAGGCAGGCTCTGTTGGGGAAAGATCGGGGACCTGGGTTGTGGAGTCTTGTTCCCACAACTGGTACCTTCCGGTTCTTTCACCAAGTTCTCACTGCCATCATCATGGGGGCCATCAGCGGGAATTGGAATTTCTTCAAGACCTTTGGGGGTTGAATCTTCCACAGCAACAACGACATCCGGGGACTTCGGACCATCATGTTCTTGTGGCCCTTCAGCAGCAGGTTGAGATTCTGCTTCCTGAGCCAGGCAAATCACCCTAAGAAAATTACTTTACTTCGAGTTATCCCCACCATGACATCTATACGTTTTGTTACTGGCAAATCTTCTGGCATTCTATCTGACATATCTTCTGGCATTTTATCTGGCATATCTTCTGGCATTCTATCTGGCATATCTTCTGGCATTCTACCTGGCATATCTTCTGGCATATGTTCTGGCATATCTTCTGGCACTCTATCTGGCATATCTTCTGGCATATCTTCTGACATTCTATCTGGCAAATCTTTTGGCAAACGTTCTGGCAAACATTCTGGCATTTTATCTGGCATACTTCTGGCAATCTATCTGACATTCTATCTGGCATTCTATCTGACATATCTTCTGACATTCTATCTGGCAAACATTCTGGCACTTTATCTGGCATTCTATCTGGCATATCTTCTGGCATTCTACCTGGCATATCTTCTGGCATATGTTCTGGCAAATCTTCTGGCTTCTATCTGGCAAACATTCTGGCACTTTATCTGGCATAACTTCTGGCATTCTATCTGACATTCTATCTGGCATACCTTCTGGCATTCTATCTGGCATATCTTCTGGCATTCTATCTGGCAAACATTCTGGCACTTTATCTGGCATATCTTCTGGCATTCTTTCTGACATTCTATCTGGCGTTGTATCTGGCATATCTTCTGGCATTCTATCTGGCCGTTGAGGTCCAGCGGTGCTCACTGAGCTCGGAGGGTCCCAGGTTGAGGTCCAGCGGTGCTCACTGGGTCCAGGTTGAGGTCCAGCGGTGCTCACTCCAGTGGTGCCCAGTGCGCTCAGACCCTTGCAGTTGAGGTCCAGCAGTGGCCGCTGCGTGCGGAAGTCGGAGAAGAGCTTGGCGAAGAGTTGGCAAGGCGGAAGTGGACATGGAAGTGGAGGCAGAGGTGGTGGAGGAGAACGAGGAGGAGGAGAAGAACAACTCTGATAAAATCTAACAACCCTCACCTGGCAGGTGGGGAAAAAACTTTTGGGTAAACTTTTCAACCGTTGAGTGGAGCACAGAGTGAATCAAAAAGGCCGCCCCAAAAACATTCAGTGTGAGGATTCCATGTCTGTTGGATGAGAGAATCAGCCTACCTAAGGACATGCTGACCGCCAAATCATGTGTAGACATTGTGGTGAACCCAACCCCCAACTGTAAGTTATTGAATCAAGAATCCCCACAGCAAAACTGAATGACACAATACTTCATACCTAGCTTTGCCACCCACAAGTTTCAGTGAGAGCCTAGGTACGTACATGGATTCAGTGGGCTGGGCACCTGTGTCACACCAGGGGTATTCCTCCAAGTTAATTTCCTTTTTCTTCTTGGTCGCCCGTGAGCCATCCACCTGGGCCCTCATCAGGAGCTCTTTCTTCGCCTTGGCTAGAAAGGAGGACAGACCATCGGCATCTGAGGGTGTGGGTGGTTTGGGATACCCTGGCACGATTGTTCGTGCTAAGAGCCTTTTGGCGAAAAGCTTGATGTCTTTGATCGTGGGGGGCGTCAACAATTATGTATGCGCTATGCACATATTGTAAAATAGAAGGATTGCAATTTACAACCATAATGTGTTTTTAATCTACGATCTTGAAACTTGATCTGTACACATGAAACCATATATATATATATATTGTGCATATATAATTGTTATACTAGGGGGAACCACCATACATACTATTATCTAGAATAGATATACTTTACTTCTTTTAAGCATCACTAACATAAAAACATGTTTAGTTGATCAAGCTCGAACCAATGTGTCAAAAAACTTTTGAAAGAAAGTAGTATACATACAGATTTCAGACCATAAGAAAATATACGTCCTGGGAGAGATGGAAACTTTTGATGGTATACTTGAACACAGTGTAGGGGAAAACTGGAAAACAATTGGTCACAATAAAAGGTTGAGCACCCACCAAGTCACCAACAAAAGATCACGCTGTTCTTTGAGGGCTGCGTACTCAGAATCTCGTTCGATCGACATGGTTTGTGATCTAACAATCCCTGCACCCCGAAGTAAAGTCTCAGAAGATAGGGTCCTACTAGGAAGAGATTGCATCCCACCAACTTGAAGCCAAATCTAACAGATATAAAGGCTGTTTGCACTCCCAAAAAATTACCCAGAATCTGCCTACGGGGAATTACGCCGGATTAACGCGTAATTACGCCGGAATGACGGGTAATTACGCCGGCAACAGTTTCTGAAATTTTGTGAAAATCTCAGAAAAATGCAAAATGCAGGCATCTTTGCGTTCATGTCAGTTGTTTTTTGTTTGGCTGTTGCGCGCAGGCAAATGTCTCGGCTAATTGCTGCACTGCCTGGAGTCAGGCAGAATCTTGAATTTGGAATTGCAATTCAAGTGGTTTTTAAATAGAATTGGGAATGACAGCACGGTATGAATCTGGGAGCTTCAACAGCTTGGATCCACGGGCATAGACGATTGCCGGTTTGAGAGCAGCATCGATCCACTGATCTCCCCCTTTGTCCATGGAAGCTAGCAATTGAGGAAGTGGGGTAGCCTCATCGACCTGTACCAGGGACTTGCTAAGAACACACCCGCTATGTGTTGGATACAATAAACTTTAGATTTATCCCCAAAGGTGAAAATCAAACATCTTTTGGCCAGCTAAGGACCCGGGGTTCCCATCCACCACCTTTGGAACTTTGCTTGCCGTGCTCCGCAAGGCTCGTCGGGCACGAAGAACTGCAGCTGCAAAGAGAGGACTATACACCCTGGGCAGCAGCTGGGGAGGGGAAGGGATTGGTGTTTTCTCCAACCCTCCAATTTAATTTGATATTTTGGGGAGTTGGGTGAGTCGAAACATTTTCCAACTACAAATAAAGTAGTCACAGAAACCTTACCGACACCCACTGCTAAAAAGGAACTGTGTACTCTTCAATGCACCTGTGCCTTTCCACCGACGCACCCCTTTGGCATCCGTATAGCCCAAAGCAGTTTTGATTGTTGATTTTCGATCCTTCTTCTTGAGCTTAGCAGTCTTGAATACAGACACAGCCCATGACCAACTGAACAATTTGGTTCTTTTTGCAGTCTTTCCTCCCCAGTGCTTCATCCAGAAAGAGCACCGATACATCTTAGTGGGCAAAATTCGAGAAACTAAGCTGTTGACTATAATATTTTGGGGCTGGACAAAAAGCACAACAACCTAATAAACAGGGTTACAAAACGAACCCAATTTGTTTTTTAGACATGTGACTGGAAGCCCCATGCGTCGTAGTTTCCTAGCCATCCATCGGAATCTTCGCTGCTGGTTAATGAAGCTGTTGTCAGGATTTTCTATTAGCACTGTCCCGCGGCAACAAATTGTGAGAAGAGCCAACAGCATTGACCTCCAGGGTGTTTTGGGAACACAAGTAACTGACTAGCTCAACTCAAAAAAGATTAGGGTGTCTTATACTATACATGCCCCATCATCCAAAGCCCAAGTGTTTAAAAGCGGCTTCTGGGCTCTTGCCCTAGGCAACCTTTAACCGAGGTGAACTTTTTCAGCCAGCACCTGGCAACGAGCAGGTTTGAGTTGAAAACGGAAGGAAAGCGAGTAACACCCTCTGGGGTCAGCCAATCTCTTCCAGACGTACCCGAATTTATTTGGACGAACGAACTGCAAAGAATGCCCATCATCAGGGTCAGGAAAGAATACCTGGAGCTCAATATACAGTAAATCGCCAACCTTAGATGGCATTCCGACTTGTGGGAAAACATTCCAGTTTTGGGGGGTAAACCTGCCCAGGTAACAAAGTCTCAAAATAGCATTCAACTTGAAATAAACAACAATTTCCCGAAACAAGTACCAATGAAACACAAAGCCAGCATTGTCAAGAAGGTCGAAAGCTGACTTCTGACTGCGGTCGAAAGAGATATCATGTCCACATGTTGACAAACCAAGCGCTTTAGCCAAGCGAGTGATTCTGGCGGCTCCTGCATAGAGCTCCATCACTTCAAACTGCGGGTCGTCATCCCACAGGTCGAGGTATGAGGTAAGTACCACCAATACCACAAAAGCCTTAGCTGGTGGGGTAACCACCACCACTTTCACTTAACAGTACCAAGTTCATTGGTCAGACTCATAGCCACTCGTCATCCCTCATGTTTTGTGCTGGCAGGACTCCCAGGGAGCTTTGCAATGGATGAGGCGCCGAATGGTGAGATCAATTTGGGACCGGTTCATGGCGCCCCACCGAACTTCAAACTACCAATCCTTTTGGTGAAAAAACTGCAGGTGATGGGTTTACAGAAATTGCTCAGCATGGGAGCCAGCAGAAACCAACCCTCGCAACATCGGCCCACGCATCTGCCAGGCCAGCCTTCGCCGTCATCTTGCGAACACCGTGACCCAAGGCGGGCATAGACAGAGAGGATGGGCATGTGTCAGTACCTGCGCAGGGGAGCATGAGGCCAAAAGGAACAATTCAGTTTCATGGGTACGCCATAGTGACACGGTGGGGGATAAGCATGAATGTAAGTTATTTTGTTGTGAGTCAACCATCATCATCAAAACACAATGGGGCCTTGTTGCTTAACATTTTCCCCGGGCTTCACGCTGTCATCTCTCATCCAAAGGCACCGGTCCCGATGTAAGGACAAAATGGTACGACCTCCAACGCCCAGACCCCTGATTCTCAGGGCCTAGGTTTCCTTCAGGAATGCATCAAAGATTTTATGGAAAGCTAAAAAGCTAAGAAGGCAAACAGATAACAGTTTCTGTTTCGAGACATTTGAGAACTGAACATGATTGACTAAGGAGCTGTTGGCATTCCTTTCCCCCCAAGATTTCTGGAAGCCAGCATCCAGTTCCAAACGGGGCATTCTTCTAAGCCCATGGATGGTAGAGAGCGCTCAGACGCTGTAGGTGTTAGTCCACCTTCTGACCTTGACAGTGGGCTCGGAATGAACTTAGATTTAGTGATGTTGATACAGAGCGCTTGTCATGATTGAAGGAGGATTGGATCTCAGCCAAATGAAAAATAAGGGATGAACGTTTCAACAAAGACTGGTCCAAATCATTCTCGAAATCATGGGCCCACTGTGAGCAGCATTCCTTGTACCGACGGGGGCTCAAGCTCTCCTCATTCTCAAATTGCTGGTTGCAATAGATCAAGAAGGGCTCCTGATAAGCTGTGGCGATCAATATGTTTTAGAATTTTGTGATAGGTTTTAGCCATCCATACCAGCACCACAAACAAGTACAGTGAGGGCAGTCCTCATGTTTGCTGGGGCACTTCAAAAGCGGCTGGAGCTCGGATTCAAACACACCACGCACTGCAACATGCCAGCTCTTGGCTGGCTCTGACTTGGGACAATTGCGGCGGGCAAATGTCGCTTTAACCTTGTCCTTGGGCACCTCAACCTTCGACCCTGGCACCTCCTCTGCACCTTTTGAGGGTTTCACCTTCGCCTTCCCTTTGGCCTTTGCCTTTGGGGTGGCTGCGGGTTTGCAACTGGTCTTAGCCTTTCGTTTCTTTGTTTCAGCCTTGCCTCTGCCTCTGCCTTTTCCTTTTCCCCGCCCAGCCTTCCTACCCTTTCCCTTGCCCTTGGCTTTGGCCTTTGCCTTAGGCTTTGGAAACTCGGCGATCTGCTTGTGCCTCGAGACATCCACCTGATGGCAATCAAAGCGACAACCTGCCAAACAAGCAGTTGGAAACAAAACAAGAACAACCCACACCATGCCTCATCCTCCAACAAACCAGCAGATGTTTCGGAAAGTGGGCCTGCAGGCAGCTGCTTCCGGGCACGTTTTGGGATGAACGAAGGCGGCGGCATCTCGGGGGTGGATGCTGCAAGTGGGCCAGGAACCTTTTCCACATTGGGATCTTCAGGGGTTGTAGTCACATGGGATGCTTCTTCAATTTGGGCCACAGCAGCTTGAACTTCGTGGGCGGCTTCTTCATGGTCATAGGGCATGGTATCAGATTCAGGTCCACAAGCACCTGAAACAGGTAAGACAATAAAAGTGAACGATAGCTGATAACCCGTAGTTCATCACTGAGATTTCAAATGGCATCATCCTAATACCACACCTGAAGCATCAAGGTTCCAGCTCGATTTGGCTTTCTGCCCCAAGAAGGACAACTTTCGCTGTTCCATTTCATACCTTGGGTGCACTTTAAGATGTCACAGAGGAACAGGTAAGAAGAACCAACTGGAACCCTAAAGACTGACTTTGGGGGTATTTTAACAAGTGACCTGAAAAACATGTTTTTGTGCTCCAAAAACCTGTCTATAGGACACTTGTTGATGGCTAGAAAGTACCTTGGTTTGATTGGGATGGAGCCTAGATACTCAACTCGGGCAAGCTCTTTCTGGACCCATTCCCAACTGTCCGCGAGAGCACTTGGTGAGGTTGGCGATCCATGTCCAGGGCTTGGAGCCCAGGTTGGGCCAGGAGACGGGGTGGGTTTCACCATGGACTCACCCCCCATCCGAAATGCCAAAAGCTCATTCATGGGGTCATCATCCCCTTCGAAGCTCAAAGTTTTCTTGACTGGTGTGGTGGGGCAAGAAGGGAGTGCCTGGGGAGCATCACCATCAACAGGCTCATCATATTCATCATGAGTGGGCGGTTCGGTCTCACCACCTTCCCCACCTTTCTCCCCAACACCTTCCTCACCCTCTTCCTGGGCGACCTCTCCCTGAGTCACCTCTCCCCCTTCACTTTCCTTGAGGCCCTCTCCTACAGCCTCTTCCTCCTCTGCATCACCCAGTGCCTCCCTGGAGCGGCTGTTGTTGGGGCGAGTGGTGAAGAAGTCACCAAGGACAGCAAACAAGCTGGCCAGATCCCCGTCCTTAGAGAAAACAATTTGCATTCTATTTTTTGGCAAAAGGAAACGTATAATATACAGATGATATGTGCAATCTGTGGGATCAAGATGTTATGTATGTACGGGGTTTCCATGTAACATGGGATGCGATTCCATACTCACATTTTGGAGTCTAGCAACTCGTCGTTTCGACCCGTCATGCCGACGAATGAGCAATGAAACCATAGCTTTCAAGGCATGGGCTTCGCAGTGCACCAGCGCACCATTCTCCGGTAACTCCAGCGAACGACGGAGTTCACGAATCTGACATGGCAAGCCAAAAAGATCACTTCAGATTTGGGAGTAGAAACCATTGATAGTCGATAGTCACTGATGTTCCAAAGACAACAGCCCTGTCCGCCTGAGGCTTGACAAGCTTGATCGGAACCGTCTTGCGGTCCTGGGCTTGGGGGCACCAAAAAGAAAGCAAATGCTCTAGCACTTGGCGATTCAGTTTCAGCGTTGGGAAGTTCACCACTCCAACCGTCTCTTTGGTGGACCACCGAAGTAGCTGGCCCTCTTTGAGAACATATCGGCGAATAGATTTGGTTGATTCCCAAGCCGTACCCAATCCATGCAACGTTCGGTTCTCACCAAGTATGGGCACAGGATCCCCCATGGCAACAGGTTGACTGATACACGTACTTTGCTAGGGCCAAAATGCTTGATACATTTTTGAAATATCAAAGCATCTTGAGTCTGAATGTTTTTTACATGACAATGTTCTTCACGGAACGTCTTCTGTAAGAAGTTGACATTGAGCAATGTCCAGCCCAGGTCGGAAAGGGTACTTGTCCAACGCAGAGCCCGGCACCTGGCACATGTCCAAATTAAAAATCACACTATCACACTAGGGCTGGAGGACTGCTGGACTTGAATTGGATTGGTGGACCTGGCTTGGCACAAAACAAAGGAGGGCAGACCTTGAACTCTCGAAGAACACCTTTTCTTTCCGGTGGCCTTGCCAAAGTGGGAAGCCATGAAATATACAGCATCGAATTCAACTAAGACTCACCATACCAAAGTTTCTTAGTCATGGGCTGGCCTCCAACAAGCAACTTTAGCTGCCACATCCAAGCTCCTCAATTTGGTGTAGATGTACCTGTGCCACCAAACACGGGGATAAAACAGGCAGTGGCTGCTCAGAAGCTACCGGGCGCACTAGCTATCAGCAAGTAAAGTGTCGACATAGAGAAACCTGCGTTGGGGCAGGATGTTCAATTGTAAACATGCTTGTACGTTGAACACCGTGCAGGCCCATAAGCGCCTACCTCATTTTTAAACTCCTGCTGCTATGCCATGGGAAATCAGTTGAGGTCAACTTCTTATGAGCTGGCGGTGTCCGGCTGCGTGGCCGGGATTTCAGTTTCACCAGCTCCCGGGGTCATCTCTTCGCGCAGCTTGTCACCTAGGACAAGGACATTAGCACGAAAGCCAAACATTGATAATCTATAGTCATACCATGCCATAACGAAACATTACTTTACTTCGTGTGATCCCCACCATGACATTTATCGATTTGTTACTGGCAAATCTTCTGGCATTCTATCTGACATATCTTCTGGCATTCTATCTGACACATCTTCTGGCATTCGATCTGGCATATCTTCTGGCATTCTACCTGGCATATCTTCTGGCATATGTTCATTATGTTCTGGCATATCTTCTGGCATTCTATCTGGCATTCTTTCTGGCATATCTTCTGGCATTCTACCTGGCATATCTTCTGGCATATGTTCTGGCAAATCTTCTGGCATTCTATCTGGCAAACATTCTGGCACTTTATCTGGCATACCTTCTGGCATTCTATCTGACATTCTATCTGGCATACCTTCTGGCATTCTATCTGGCATATTTTCTGGCATATGTTCTGGCATATCTTCTGGCATTCTATCTGGCATATTTGCTGGCATATCTTCTGATATCCTATCTGGCATTCTATCTGGCAAATCTTCTGGCATTCTATCTGGCAAACATTCTGGCACTTTATCTGGCATTCTATCTGGCATATCTTCTGGCATTTTATCTCAGCGGTGCTCACTGACCTCGGAAGATCCCAGGTTGAGGTCCAGCGGTGCTCACTGAGCTCGGCTGAGGTCCAGCGGTGCTCACTGAGCTCGGAAGGTCCCAGGTTGAGGTCCAGCGGTGCTCACTGAGCTCGGCAGGTCCCAGGTTGAGGTCCAGCGGTGCTCACTGAGCTCGGCGGGTCCCAGGTTGAGGTCCAGCGGTGCTCACTGAGCTCGGCGGGTCCCAGGTTGAGGTCCAGCGGTGCTCACTGAACTCGGCAGGTCCCAGGTTGAGGTCCAGCAGCGCCCACTGCGTGCGGAAGTTGGCGAAGAGCTTGGCGAAGAGTTGGCAAGGCGGAGGTGGACATGGAAGTGGAGGCAGAGGTGGTGGAGGAGAAGGAGGAGGAGAAGAAGAAGGAGGAGGAGAAGAACAACTCTGATAAAATCTAACAACCCTCACCTGGCAGGTGGGGAATTAAATGTTTGAAATCTTTTTCATATGAGACAGGTTGCATTCAGCTTTCCACTGCCAATAAAATTCATGAAGGGTGAAGACGGCACCCTTAGCAGCAAAATTGTCCACCAGCACCTTGGCCTTGTTGACATCCAAAGGATCCTGAGACATGCGCTCTGGGTTCCCGTGGGTTTCCTCATTCTAGGCGGGAATGACAACTGCCTGGACTGTGGCTTGTACTTGGGTCTTTGCGGAAAAGAATCATTTGCTTCGCTCAGTGGCCACAGCGCACGCCGGGCCTCCTTGAAGAAACCGTCCGGCATTTTGGACAAACCTCCCAGGATAACCATCTATAATCTATACAGCTAGTGTAGTATAGGAACTTGATATCACATCCTTGCTCTAGTCAGCAGTCTCATCAAGCTTGCCTGCATCATCCAAAATCTTGTGGACTTCCGGATCCATTTTGAAAATGAAATGAGAGATCGAGGGATGATGCAGCCAAAAATGCTGCGAGCAAGCTGAAGATTGAATACTGCAAAGCAAATTTCTCAAATGCAGGCATTGGTCACTGGCAGGGAGGGGGCGTACCATTGAAGACTTCAGTAGATGGGCCATCAACCCATCAACCCTGATTGAACCCTAGAACTGCAGAAACGCCTGCAAGTTATGAAAAACGCCCTGGGGCATTTTTATCGCCTCGATGTGTTCAAAGTCGCTTTTTTCAAAACTGGCAAAAATAAAAGGTCATTTGGAGTTTGCAGGTATGCTCTTTCAATCGTTTCAATCTTTTGATTTTTCCAACTGAAGATGGTCACATGCGGTATCTCAACATATCTCAGCAATTTGGTTTGTGCGCCCCAGGAAGGCGTCGCCCCAGACAATGCCTGGGGTCCTCCCGGTGGTGGTGATCGGAACCTCAAGAAGCGGGAGAACCTGTCGGTGGTGAAACAAACCCTGCCGCCCAAGTCGCAGGCGAGCCGAGAGCCACAAGAGATCCCTGGCTGTGCATTGGTCCGGTTTCCAATGGTTGGAAATTGCCCATGTCACACGGCCATAAACATATAGTTTACGTTTACAGTATTTCCATGTATTTCCCGTAGTGTTTTAACAGTATCTTATCTGTGTATATGCCCTCTCACCTGAAAGTCATCACAGCCAAGGATCAGCGAGATCCTTGGTGAGCCACAAGCCTCCCTGGAGCGTTTGTTACGCGAAAGCATCGCACCCGAGGGTTCAAAAAAAGAAGTGGAGGCCATATCTGCGGAGAAGATTCAGAAGGGTGGAAACACCTATTACGACACATGGAGTTTTATGATGTTTTATGATGTTTTATGTGTTGTTTATTTTTTTGGGCCCAGTTGATTGTGGTATGTCTGGTATGTCTAGTGCTCCAAAATGCTCCAAATATCCTATGAGGGTGTCTGGTCCCCAGAAACATCCAAATACCAACCCCAAATACAGTCTCAGAAGATGTTTGGAGCAGTAGTAGCATGTTTTTTTGTTGATAGATTTTGGGTCTCTTTAGTAGGACACGAACATTGCCAAAGTGCGGATGTATGAGAAGCAAGAAATGAGAAATTGAAATTCTAAGCCGCCTCCACCTGCTTGGTCACAACATCAAGTGAGGGATCTTGGCCAGTGGACTGTGAATGAATAGTCTTTTGATATTTGCACCCCCTTAGTTTGTGTTTCTAGTTTTGAACGGGCAGAACTGAGTTGTTGCAATGATCAGCTGCAGTGCAGCGGCCAAGGAATATCAATGGAAGACCACTTTCCCATCAGGTGTAGCGCTTCGAAGCTGCTCGCCGTGGTCGAAAATTGCCGTTTTTGGCCCCATGGTCCATGTAGAAACCAGGTTGCATGACAATGGGAAATCCTCTGCAAATGTGAAAATCGTCATATTTAGTGGGGATTGGGCGTTTTTCGCAGCATAAGACAGCCCGATATCCTCATGAGATTCGCAGTGCAAAGCCCCAGCCTCTAAGCCTTGGTTCAAGGCTACCTTTTCCTCACAGCTGAAGTTCCAAGTTTCTTTACCCCCAGAATCCTTTCAGCTACTCTGCTGGTTAGTGTGTCTCAGGTCATGCTTACTTTCAATCCCCAAGGAAAAATGCAGAATGATTTGATCGTATTTATGCTTGTTGCCCTGCAGTGCCTTCTCCACAGATGAAGCCCCACAGGTTACAGCAGCTGCAGCTTGGGGCTTCCGGATGCCAATGGCAATCGGAATCTCTTCACTCTGACGCTGGTGATACCTGAGGAGGACGCTGAAGCCCTGACAGGCACGGCCCAGTTGGCGCCTGCCATCATCCAGGGCTTCCAAGTGGGAGCCCCCTAGGCCGTGATGGCCGCTTCGCTTTGAAAAAGGGGAGGCTTGGAATGGAAGTTCAAATTGGAGATTCAATCCGGTTGAAATCAAGGCATGTACTTTTTACTTGACTTTCAGAGTGCTCAGCATACAAGATATTTGTCTTGATAGTATAAGTAAACTGTAGTAAAATTATATGCATGTATCGATGCATTTGAGTAGATGAGCGTCAAAGTCAAAGGTGGTAGTTTGTCAATCCAAGTGGTATTTGCTAACCTGCACCAGGTTTACCATTTCCGTTGAGCAATCGCTGCCAAGTTGCAGCTGCCATTGGGTTTGATATGGTTTGATCATCTCAATGGCCCATAGCCCTGCAGCTGTGCCGGGACAGTTCACTAGCAATGAAAGCAGGGTTCAGCCATTCGAGTGAATCACTTGGATCCACCTCTAGGAGAAGATTACCATTGAAAATGAGGAGGTTTGCATGCCCATCTAGTTCTTTCAAGCTGAAAGATTGCATCAAATTGGGTTCCATGATCAAGCATAAACACATCTCATACCACTGTTAAGTAGTGCAATTTTTTGATTTTCTCCTCCATATTTCCTGTTGTTTGGACCCCAGGCAGGCCCCATGATTCCAGTTTTTTTTACCTTCAGATTAGCTGCCCATCACTGCCATGAAGATGTTGTCGGCGGTCGGTCGTACCATTGCTACCCCGAGGGCACGACTGGGGCGGGCTCTGCAGTTGAGGGAATTTGGGATTCGATTTTCATGGATTGCAATGCTTACAGTGTTTTACCTTCAGTTTAAGAAGGGACTTTCGGTAAATTTGGCTGTTATTGTTCCTGTGGTGGCGGTCATCGTTCTGTAAGAAGATTTGCGACGAGGGGTGATCAGACAAAGACCAGGACGATGGATTTATCAAAGGAAGTTAGGTTCGAAAACTTCCGAGTTGCGGACGATTGTCAGGGGCAGCATTCTCACCATCATGTCAACCACATCATCGTCATGTCACCATGATGTCAACCACATCATCATGCCAACTACATCTACAATCATCTACATCATCATCATCATCATCATCATCATCATCATCATCATCATCATCATCATCATCATCATCATCATCATGTAGTTGGGAAGTGTAACAGGTCGGGAGCGCGTGAATTCAGGTGCGCGAAACCCTTTGTTTTTTTTGGTAAAGTGGCCGTCCTTGGTCGCCGAAGTAGGGTCTTTGTTTCTGCGGTTTCGCGGCTCGATCGGGGAAAGTGATCGACAAAAAGTGCACCAGACTGTAGCACGTAGGGAGAGCTCAATTTCCACTTGAAAATGTTCAAATAACTGTCACGTTCAGAGCACTTTTGGAATATAGGCCAACAAAATGTGCACGAGACTGTACTGGGTCAGGGTGGTAACTTGTGTCGCGGTTGTCTTCTTGTGCCGCAAACGGTGTGCCGTTGGGAAGTCCATGATATACATGCCATTCTTATTGGATGAATCAAGTGTTTGTGGCATTGATTTTTCTAACACTTTGCGGGGGCACACATGTCTTTGAGACATATTCGTTTTGAGATAGAAACTCACGGGGATGGCTTCTCAATAGCTTGACTCAGACAGAGAAGAGAACAGTAGAAGAGAAGAGTAGAGTAGAAGAGACTATATACAGAAGAGAAGAGAAGAGAATCGAAGGGAAGAGTAGAAAGGATCCCTGCCGCCTTGCCCTGCTGCCTTGCCTTGCAAAATCCCGATCTCGTAAAGACCTCGTAAGGATCTCGTAAAAATCACGCTGTCAAGCAGTACCTTGAATATCTCAGTGCCATTGTGCTGTGTTGTTCAGTGCTGGAATGTTCCTGGCGTGCCGCTGAGAAAAGCGTTTTTTGAGTATATACGTTTCCCAGGGTAGGAATGAGAGTCCGCCAATGAGAGTGACATGTAGAACTCCTGGTCTTCTAGAGTCAAGTTGATGGTGCGCCATGCGGTTTACAACGCTTTGTGTCAGGTTTAGGATAGATAAAAAAACCGTACAAAGCGTTGCAGTCCGCATAGGATTTTCATGAAAACAATGTGCACATATATGGAGAGGTGTTGGTGTGCCGTGGTGATTTGGCTATGGCACAAAAAACCGTACAAAGCGTTGCAGTCCGCATAGGAATTTAATGAAAACAATGTGCACATATATGGATAGGTGTTGGTGTGCTGTGGTGATTTGGCTATGGCACAAATTCTTTAGGTTGTGGGGTTAGCTGCGTGCCATGCGGTGGAGTAAGATTATAGGTTGTGGCCTAAGTTACCACCCGTACTCGTAGCAAGAGCTCGATTTCACATAAAAATCACAAAAACAAACCGTCACAGTCGGATCGCTTTTGAAGATGAGGTCGGCAAAAGGTGCACGAGACTGTAGCGAGAGCTCGATTTCATATGTCATGGCTAGCCGCCGCACCATCATGGCACCCACAACCTCATCATCATAGTTGGGGTGTGTAACAGGTCGGGAACGCGTGAATTCAGGTGCGCGAAATCCTGTGTTTTTTTGGGTAAAGTGGCCGTCCTTGGTCGCCGAAGTAGGGTCTCTGTTTCTGCGGTTTTGCGGCTCGATCGGGGAAAGTTGCCGACAAAAGTGCACAAAACTGTAGCCAGAGCTCGGTTCCCACATGAAAATGTTAAAAAACTGTCACGTTCGCAGCACTTTGGGAAGATGAGCCCGACAAAATGTGTGCAAGACTGTAGCGTGAGCTCGATTTCACATAAAAAAGCTGAGAGAAAACGCACATGTTTTGAGCGGCTTTTTCTTGTGTGGTCGTGTTCGCAGGGCAAAATGGGCACGAGACTGGAGCGAGAGCTCGACTTCACATAAAATATTCAAAAACTGAGGGTTTCAGTGCTTTTGGAACATGAGGTCGGCAAATTTCATTGATTCATTCATTCATTCGTTCATCCATTCATCCATTCATCCATTCACTCCCTCACTCGCTCGCTCACTCACTCACTCACTTATTCATTCATTCGTTCGTTCGTTCATTCAGTCATTCAGTCATTCAGTCATTCATTCATTCATTCATTCATTCATTCATTCCTCCATTCATCCATTCATCCATTCATCCATTCATCCATTCATCCATTCATCCGTTCATCCGTTCATCCGTTCATCCGTTCATCCGTTCATTCACTTCATTCATTGCATTCATTATTTTTCTTCAATTCGTTCATTTCAATTCACTTCTTTCCAGCTCACCAACAAATCCTATAAGCAAACTGGTTCCTATAGTCCTGTCCTATTTAAGCGCTTACGCGCGACAGCCGGCCAGGGGCCCATGTTGAGGTGATAGGGGTCGAGCAGGGAGCAAGAGCTCAAGGCTATGTTGCCCCATCGGGAGGCTATGTAGGTCCAGCTTGGGGCTATCGGGGGGTAGCTTGGGACTAGGTGGGCGGCGGTTGCAGGGGTCTTTGGGGCGGCCTGGGTTGTGGCTGGCGTTGTGGTTATTATTGCTGTGGAGGTCGTTGTTGTTGTTGTTGTTGTTGTTGCTGTTGTTGTTGTTGTTGTTGCTGTTGTTGCTGTTGTTGTTGTTGTTGTTGTTGCTGTTGCTGTTGCTGTTGCTGTTGTTGCTGTTGTTGTCGTTGTTGTCGTTGTTGTCGTTGTTGTTGTTGTTGTTGTTGTCGGTGTTGTCGTTGTTCTGGTTGTTGTGTGTGGTTTGTGGTTTGGGGTTTGGGGTTTGAGGGTTCTGGTTTGTGGTTCGTGGTTTGTTGTCAACGGCTTGGGGCTATATGGGCCCATCTTGGGGCTATGTTGGCCTATCTTGGCCCATCTTGGTGCTATGTTGGCCTATCTTGAGGGCAATTTGGGCCCATCTTAGGGCTATGTTGGCCCATCTTGGGGCTATGTTGGCCCATCTTGGACCCATCTTAGGGCTAGGTTGGCCCATCTTGGGGCTATGTTGGCCCATCTTGTGGCCTATGTTGGCCCATGTTGACCCATCTTAGGCCACAAGAGTCGAAAAATGGGAACAGCAAAAAACACCGTAAAACGCGGCACTTTTTGATGGTACGCGGTGGTCGGCGGCAGGGGGCGCGGCCCCTCTCTCCTTCGGAGAGGAGAGAATGCCTCCGGCATGGACACGGCCAGCTCCGGGCCCCGCGGGCCCCTAGCGGGATTTTTGAAACTTCCGCCCCGGCGCCTGCCGGGCACTACCTGGTATAGTGAGTTTTCTTGCTTGCTGCTCATTTTGTGACTGATTTTTGGCTTGGGACTTGTCCCGGCTGAAAATCGAGCTATCGTTTTACGTGCTGATTCATAATTATAGAATATTATAGATATATAGTCATAGAGTGCACGGTAAGGATTTACCCATCTATATGACACAGCACGCATATATATATATATTTATTTAATATATCACTCAGAGGGGTGCCCGCTTAAACAATGTAAATAGATGACATCGGATCTTTTGAACATGTTGTCCGCAACCCTATACATAACAGAGACAATTCTGTGTTGCTGGGAATTTGCGAATCCAAGCAAGGCCAAGGGGGAAAATTAGGCCACGGTGGCATGTGAAAGAATCCTTGAACACAGTTATCTTCATGAGGAAGCAATATCACCTGATCACGGATCACCACGAGGGATCAAAATCCGCCACCCTCTATGACCAATATGTTGAATCGGGTAATTACATCAACATTATCTTCATGAGGGAACAAAATCCGCCACCCCCTATGACCAATATGCTGGACGGGCTAACAAAATCAACTTTATCTTCATGAGGGATCAAAATTCGCCACCTCCTCAGAACAATATGTCGATTGGGGAAATAACATCAACTTTATCTTCATGAGGGATCAAATCCACCCCCTCTGAACAATATGTTGATTGCGGGACATCAACTCCGGGCAAACGTCCAGATTGCAGCGAACATGTTCAGTAGGCAGTCTTGCGCCAAAAATCAAAATATTGCAGCAGGATGGCCCAAACATATTGGCCCCCGTGTTGGAAAGCTTAAAGACACATCATGACCAATGTGTGATTTTGTTTCCCTTTGATACCAAAAGTTTGAGCAATCTCCTTTTATCAACCAGAATATGTCATCATGCAGTTGAAAATCATGCGCAACAATCCAACTCACCTGAACCATTAGAAATACCCCTTTTGATAGTCTATTCTAGAGGGTTGCGCCACCTGGTTTATTTATCTACCTGGTTTATCTACCTGGTTTATTGATGTTTATTGGGGACCATGATAAACAACAATAGGGATAGCTGCGGATAGCTATTTACCAACCTGACCTGCTCCTCGACAGGTGTTGCCAGTGGAAAAGAAAATTTCTTTGCCGGTGGAAAAACGGATTCCCGGCAGCCCCAAGGGCTCGGAAAGCAAGACCGACAGTACCTGGGTGGGATGGTGCCTGTCATGGGTATCTGGCCGAAAATGAGGGCCCAACTCAACCACAGAGTTGAAAACAAAATAATATTTATTTTCATCATGTTCTCCTTCAACATGCGCCTGAAGGACGTTCGACTTTAACATTCTCGCGGTAGCAGATTGCTCACCCCGTACGCCCACTTCGCGTCGGCACAGCTTGCAGGATCCGCTGGGGGTGGTGTTGCGTTCACAGGCAGCGGCCCAAAGATAAGATATAAACGGATTTAACATGATTTAACATGATTTGGCCACCCAAAATGATGATATTTCATGGTAATGGCAACACCGGATTAATAACCCCTCCCACAAGGTCAGATGGACCTTGTAAGGTCTTTCGTAGTTTCCCCCCTAAATAAATGCCCCCTTGGAAGGGGTTGATTAATAAGGGGAACCCTCTGGTTACTATTAAATGGGGGACATGTGCTCATGGGGGGTACCCTTTGGGAGAACAATTCAATTAGAAATCGATCATTTGGGGAATAGTTGTTTTTTTTTCAAAATTTCAATGATCAGCAGTGATGGATTCTGGTGTTCATGAGGTTTCAACTTAAGTATGGAATAAGGAAACCATTTGAAAATAAAGAGAGTTGGAAAATAAAAAATGGATTTCAGCACTGGAGGTTGATTAATCGGGCGGGGTTGATTAATCCTGACTGGACATTAATTAAGAATGAGAACCATTGTCTACAAGCAAGGAACCTGCTCTAAGGTTTCACTGGTTTTCTAGATTGGCTGAAACCAGCAACCGGGTCACACTTGCACGAAATATTTTCTTTCACGCCACCCTGGAGGTTGGCGTTCCTCAAGTTTCCTTTGCACTGGACGGAAATCTATGTTGCATGACTCTATCAACGGTTAAGAACATTTGAGAGAACCTGATTGAAAGCGGTCACCTGTACCGTCGCCACCACAAACCCATCCTGGCGCTTCGATCCTATACTTGACAAATCAGGACGGCATTTTTTTCCCCACATCTTTGTGTGGGGTTCTTGTTTTTGATTCTGTACCACCCCGCTCCTCCTCCTCCTCCTTCTTCTCCTCCTCCGCCGCCCGTCTGCTCACTCACACACACAACTTTGTCACACACCATCTTTCACACACAACTTTGTCACACACCATTTTTCACACACCACTTTGTCACACACACCATCTTTCACACACCACTTTGTCACCCACCATCTTTAAACACACAACTTTGTCACACCCTCTTTCACACCCAACTTTGTCACACACCATCTTTCACACACCACTTTGTCACACACCATCTTTCACACACCACTTTGTCACACACCATCTTTCACCCACTACTTTGTCACACACCATCTTTCACCCACCATCTTTCACACACAACTTTGGCATGGCAGGCATGGCACTTGGTGACATCCACCTTCGTTTCGCGTGGCAAGCGCGGCACTTGGTCACATCCACCTTCGTTTTGCGTGGCAGGCGTGGCACTTATGGCACTGGGCTGGCTCTGGTGGCGCGCTTGGGCCCGTTTTAGTCGCCGGTGACGGGTCTGACGCCGCGGCACTTTGCGTGGCAGGCGTGGCACTTGGTGACATCCACCTTCATTTCGCGTGGCAGGCGTGGCACTTGGTCACATCCACCTTCGTTTTGCGTGGCAAGCGCGGCACTTGGTCACATCCACCTTCGTTTTGCGTGGCAGGCGTGGCACTTATGGCACTGGGCTGGCTCTGGTGGCGCGCTTGGGCCCGTTTTAGTCGCCGGTGACGGGTCTGACGCCGCGGCACTTTGCGTGGCAGGCGTGGCACTTGGTGACATCCACCTTCATTTCGCGTGGCAGGCGTGGCACTTGGTCACATCCACCTTCGTTTTGCGTGACAGGCGTGGCACTTTTGGAACTGGGCTGGCTCTGGTGGCGCGCTTGGGCCCCTTTTTGTCGCCGGTGACGTTTCGCGTGGCAGGCGTGGCATTTATGGCACTGGGCTGGCCCTGGTGTCACACGCCATCTTTGTCACACACCATCTTTCACACACACCACTTTGTCACACACCATCTTTCACCCACCATCTTTGACACACCATCTTTGTCACACACCATCTTTCACACACCACTTTGTCACCCACCATCTTTCACACACAACTTTGTCACACACCATCTTTCACCCACCATCTTGCACCCACCATCTTTCACGCACAACTTTCACACACCACCTTTCACACACAACTTTGTCACACACCACTTTGTCACACACCATCTTTGACACACCCTCTTTCACACACCATCTTTGTCCATTACCATCTTTGACACACGACTTTGTCACACACCATCTTTCACACACCATGTTTGACACACCCTCTTTCACACACCATCGTTGTCACACACCATGGTTCACACAGCATCTTTCACACACCATCTTTCACACCCAACTTTGTCAGACACCATCTTTCACACACCATCTTTCACACACCACTTTGTCACACGCCATCTTTCACACACCATCTTTGACACACACCATCTTTGACACACCATCTGTCACACCACTTTGTCACACACCATTTTTCACACCCCTACAGACCATCTTTCACACACCACTTTGTCTCACACCATCTTTCACAACACAATCCTTCACACACCACTTTGTCACACACCATCTTTCACCACACCATCTTTCGCACGCAACTTTGTCACACACCATCTTTCGCCACAACGTCTTTCGCCACACCATCTTTCACACACTACTTTGTCACACGAAAAGGAGTGGATTCCAGTACGCAATTAAAATTAAATCACGATCTAAACCGTTACCATCAGATACACTTCAACCTGTCCCTGCCAGGTGTGAACTCAAACTTTGTGGTAAGCATGACGCCACCCGATATCATCAGCAAAGAAATTTGGGGACCCAAAGTCACAATCAGTTTGATGATGGACAAGCACTACGACGCTACGGTGCTGGCTTAACTGCCTGTCTTCTCACTGAAAAAAATCTGTGGCTGCTGCGTGGACGTTGCCGTTCAGTCGAGAGGCCAATGGTTTCACAAGGCTACACCCTCGAAGATAATCATGAAGAAGATAGAGAGCAACCAGAGAGTTGAACAGAGCACAGAGGATCCAAGCCAATATAAAAGAATTAACTCAAGATTTAATTCCCTCAAAAGAGATCCTATATCATAACTATTACAGTTAAACTTCCGGCAAGTACACTTAGAGACACTACATGAAAAGAGTAGAGAAGAGAAAAGGAAAGAATCAGAAGGATGGAGAAGGTAAAGGAGAAACAAACAAGTTGAAAAGAGAAGGGAAGAATAAATACAAGCAGAGTAGAGAAGAAGAGGGAAGAAAGAACAGGAGGTATCAGAGCCAATATGAACACAATTAACTCAAGATTTAATTCCCTCAAAAGAGATCCTTCCTCAACTGTTGCAGTTAAACTTCGGGCAATTGCACTTAAAGAGACTACATGAAAAGAGTAGAGTTATGAGAATCTTTGAGCCACAGAATGGGGTCAGAATTAAAGGTTTGTTTATCATTTGTTTATCCTTTTGCCCTTGACCTGGATATCCTTTTTTTATCCTCCTCTGATTTTTCCTCAATTTTGTATATCCTTTTTTTTTAAATCATTTTTGTTAATCATTTTTTATCATTTTGTTTATCCTTTTGTCCTTGACCTGGATATCCTTTTTTTATCCTCATTTGAATTTTCATCAATTTTGGATATCTTTTTGTTTTTATCATTGTTTTGTCCTTGTTTTTATCCTCCTAGTTAGTAGTAGTTAGTAGTAATTAGTACTGCTTATTAGTAGTTAGTAGTAGGAAGTAGTAAGAAGCCAATTTTGGTCCATTTTGCAGCTAGGAGGATAAAAAAGGATAAGGAAAGGATAAAACCCTACACTTTTCAGCCCTTTGCGTTTTGTACCTGGGGAAGCCAATAATTTTGATCCATTTTGCAGCTAGGATGTTAAAGAAAGGATAAAAAAGGATAAAAAAAGGATAACATCCTACACTTTTCCTCAGCCCTTTGCCTTTTGTACCTAGAGAAGCCAATTTTGATCCATTTTGCAGCTAGGATGATAAAACACGGATTTAAAAAAAAATAAAAAAAGGATAAAAAAGGATAAAACCCTACACTTTTCCTCAGCCCTTTGCCTTTTGTACCTGGGGAAGCCAATTTTGATCCATTTTGCAGCTAGGAGGATAAAACAAGGATAAAAAAAGGATAAAAAAATGTTTTAAAAAAGGACAAAAAAAGATAAAACCCTACACTTTTCCTCAGCCCTTTGCCTTTTGTACCTGGAGAAGCCAATTTTGATCCATTTTGCAGCTAGGAGGATTAAAAAAGGATAAACAAAAGATAAAACCATGATGAAAACAAAGATAAACCAAAAACACCAAAATCAAGGAGGACAAAAAAAGGATAAACAAATGATGAAAAAGGATAAACAAAAAAAACACCAAAATCAAGGAGGATAAAACCATGATTAAAAAATGATCAAAAAAAGGATCAACAAAAAAACACCAAAATGAAGGAGGATAAAAAAAGGATAAAACAAGGATATCCCAGAAAATTCAAATAGGATAAAAAAAGGATAAAAAAAGCCTTTAAAGGATTTTCCAATCTCTGGCTGCCAAAGAATCTCATAAGAGTAGAGAAGAGAAAGGGAAAGAATCAGAAGGATGGAGAAGGTACAGGAGAAACAAAAAGGTTGAAAAGAGAAGGGAAGATTATATACATGCAGAGAAGGGAAGAAGAGGGAAGAAAGAGCAGGAGGTATCAGAGTCAATATGAACGGAATGAACTCAAGATTTCATGTCCTTCTCAAAAGAGATCCTATACCAACTGAAAGAGCAGGAGGTATCAGAGCCAATATGAACACAATTAACTCAAGATTTAATTCCCTCAAAAGAGATCCTTCCTCAACTGTTGCAGTTAAACTTCGGGCAATTGCACTTAAAGAGACTACATGAAAAGAGTAGAGAAGAGAAAGGGGAAGAATCAGAAGGATGGAGAAGGTACAGGAGAAACATCCTATATCAACTATTACAATTAAACTTCGGGCAATTGCACTTAAAGAGACTACATGAAAAGAGTAGAGAAGAGAAAGGGAAAGAATCAGAAGGATGGAGGAAGTAAAGGAGAAACAAACAAGTTGAAAAGAGAAGGGAAGAATCAATACAAGCAGAGTAGAGAAGAAGAGGGAAGAAAGAGCCGGAGGTATCAGAGCCAATATGAACAGAATTAGCTCAAGATTTAATTCCCTCAAAAGAGATCCTTCCTCAACTGTTGCAGTTAAACTTCGGGCAACTGCACTTAAAGAGACTACATGAAAAGAGTAGAGAAGAGAAAGGGAAAGAATCAGAAGGATGGAGAAGGTACAGGAGAAACAAAAGAGTTGAAAGGAGAAGGGAAGATTATATACATGCAGAGAAGGGAAGAAGAGGGAAGAAAGAGCAGGAGGTATCAGAGCCAATATGAACGGAATGAACTCAAGATTTCATGTCCTTCTCAAAAGAGATATCAACTATTACACTTAAACTTCGGGCAAGTGCACTTAGAGACACTACATGAAACGAGTAGAGAAGAGAAAAAGAAAGAATCAGAAGGATGGAGGGGGTAAAGGAGAAACAAATAAGTTGAAAAGAGAAGGGAAGAATCAATACAAGCAGAGTAGGGAAGAAGAAGGAAGACAGAGCAGGAGGTATCAGAGCCAATATGAACAGAATGAACTCAAGATTTTAATTCCCTCAAAAGAGATCCTATATCAACTATTACAGTTAAACTTCGGGCAAGTGCACTTAAAGAGACTACATGAAAAGAGTAGAGAAGAGAAAGGGCGAGAATCAGAAGGATGGAGAAGGTAGAGGAGAAACAAAAGAGTTGAGAAGAGAAGGGAAGATTATATTCAAGCAGAGAAGGGAAGAAGAGGGAAGAAAGAGCAGGAGGTATCAGAGTCAATAAGAACAGAATTAACTCAAGATTTTAATTCCCTCAAAAGAGATCCTATATCAACTATTACAGTTAAACTTCGGGCAATTGCACTTAAAGAGACTACATGAAAAGAGTAGAGAAGAGAAAGGGAAAGAATCAGAAGGATGGAGAAGGTAGAGGAGAAACAAAGTTGAAAAGAAAAGAGTAGAGGAGAAAGAGCAGGAGGTATCAGAGTCAATAAGAACAGAATTAACTCAAGATTTAATTCCTTCTACAAGAGATCCTATACCAACTGAAAGAGCAGGAGGTATCAGAGCCAATATGAACAGAATGAACTCAAGATTTCATGTCCTTCTCAAAAGAGATCCTATATCAACTATTACAGTTAAACTTCGGGCAATTGCACTTAAAGAGACTACGTGAAAAGAGTAGAGAAGAGAAAGGGAAAGAATCAGAAGGATGGAGAAGGTAGAGGAGAAACAAAAGAGTTGAAAAGAGAAGAAAAGATTATATACAAGAGAGAAGGGAAGAAGAGGGAAGAAAGAGCAGGAGGTATCAGAGTCAATAAGAACAGAATTAACTCAAGATTTAATTCCTTCTCAAGAGATCCTATACCAACTGAAAGAGCAGGAGGTATCAGAGCCAATATGAACAGAATGAACTCAAGATTTCATGTCCTTCTCAAAAGAGATCCTATATCAACTATTACAGTTAAACTTCGGGCAATTGCACTTAAAGAGACTACGTGAAAAGAGTAGAGAAGAGAAAGGGCGAGAATCAGAAGGATGGAGAAGGTAGAGGAGAAACAAAAGAGTTGAGAAGAGAAGGGAAGATTATATTCAAGCAGAGAAGGGAAGAAGAGGGAAGAAAGAGCAGGAGGTATCAGAGTCAATAAGAACAGAAATAACTCAAGATTTTAATTCCCTCAAAAGAGATCCTATATCAACTATTACTACAGTTAAACTTCGGGCAATTGCACTTAAAGAGACTACATGAAAAGAGTAGAGAAGAGAAAGGGAAAGAATCAGAAGGATGGAGAAGGTACAGGAGAAACAAAAGAGTTGAAAGGAGAAGGGAAGATTATATACATGCAGAGAAGGGAAGAAGAGGGAAGAAAGAGCAGGAGGTATCAGAGTCAATATGAACGGAATGAACTATGAACGGAATGAACTCAAGATTTCATGTCCTTCTCAAAAGAGATCCTATACCAACTGAAAGAGCAGGAGGTATCAGGGCCAATATGGACAGAATTAGCTTAAGATTTAATTCCCTCAAAAGAGATCCTTCCTCAACTGTTGCAGTTAAACTTCGGGCAAGTGCACTTAGAGACACTACATGAAACGAGTAGAGAAGAGAAAAGGAAAGAATCAGAAGGATGGAGGGGTTAAAGGAGAAACAAACAAGTTGAAAAGAGAAGGGAAGAATCAATACAAGCAGAGTAGAAGAGAAGAGGGAAGAAAGAGCAGGAGGTATCAGAGCCAATATGAACAGAATTAACTCAAGATTTAATTCCCTCAAAAGATATTGTTCTAGGCCTCAAAGGTAGAGAATTAACTCTCGAGTTAAGCCGTGCATCATTGACCTGGAAACGCAAACAGATCATGAAGCATTGACACACGATTTGATCTTAATTAAATCTTGAATTCATTCCCTTCCTTTGTCACACACACACCATCTTTCTTTGTACCATCTTTCACATACAACTTTGTCACACTCAACTTTGTTTTACTTCTCGATCCTCCACCAGCTCCTTTGTCTTTCCTTCCTGCCCCGTCCCCGCTACAACATTTGGTGCTCATTATTGGAAAAAGTTGCATTGTGGGGTTATCCGGTCCTTTAATTTTTACATCCAAGCTTCATAGACATCCTGTTTTCTATTTAAGCAAAAAACATTTGTTTCATATGCATGTCATTGCATGTCAGTATATCCACAATATTTAAATTGCCAATGATTCGGCTATCGAGATAATCCCAGCACTGGCGTTGTCCGCCAGGGAGATCAGTCAGTAACCAGCGTCGCAAGTCTGAAGGCGCCGCGGGTTTTTGTTGCAATCCCTGGATGCCTTCATGTGTATATCTATATATATATATAGATATATGTGGGGTGACATATGATATATGTATATATATATATATATATGTGTGTGTATGTTTTTTCATCATCATACATATACATATATATATACACATATATTATATAATATGTGTTTTTCCCCACCTGCCAGGTGAGGGTTGTTAGATTTTATCTAAATTGCCTGCTCCTCCTCCTCCTCTCCTCCTCCTCTCGTCGTCCTCCTCCTCTCGTTGTCCTCTTCCTCTCGTTGTCCTCCTCGTCTCGTTGTCCTCCTCGTCCTCCTGCTCAACTGCGACTCGCGATCCACAGTGTTCGCTGCCGGACCTCAACCACGACCATCCACGCCCAGTGTTCCCTGCCGGACCTCAACCACGACCAGCCACGCCCAGTGTTCCCTGCCGGACCTCAACCACGACCAGCCACGCCCAGTGTTCCCTGCCGGACCTCATCTGCGAGTATCCATGCCAAGTGTTCCCTGTCGGACCTCATGTAGGAAGATATGGGACAAAGAGAATGCCAGAAGATATGCCAGATAAAATGCCATGAGATATGCCAGATAGAATGCCAGAAGGTATGCCAGATAGAATGCCAAATAGAATGCCAGATAAAATGTCAGATAGAATGCCAGAAGGTATGCCAAATAGAATGCCAGATAAAATGTCAGATAGAATGCCACAAAATATGCCAGATAGAATCCCAGAAGATTTGCCAGAAGATATGCCAGATAGATCCAGATAGAATGCCAGAAAGAATGTCAGAAAGAATGTCAGAAGATATGAACAGAATCAGAAGATATGCCAGAAAGAATGTCAGAAGATATGCCCTGACAAGATATGCCAGAAGATATGCCAGAAGATATGAGATATGCCAGAAGATATGCCAGATAGAGATATGCCAGAAGATATGCCCAGATAGAATGCCAGAAGATATGTCAGATAGAATGCCAGAAGATATGCCAGATAGAATGCCAGAAGATATGTCAGATAGAATGCCAGAAGATATGCCAGATAGAATGCCAGAAGATTTGCCAGATAGAATGCCAGAAGATATGACAGAAGATATGCCAGATAGAATGCCAAATAGAATGTCAGAAGATATGTCAGATAGAATGCCAGAAGATTTGCCAGTAAGAAAATGTATAAATGTCATGGTGGGGATCACACGAAGTAAAGTGATTTATTTATAACATATAAGTATGAAACACATATAATATTTAATATATATATACCATAGGATTATATATTATATATATACATAGTTTGTTGCAACATAGTGTCGGTCCCGAGATGCGAGTTTTGATTTATCGTATTTTCTCCCTTGATGATCCTCCAAGGACTCACTTTTTTTGGGGATGAAACCACGGACAAGGCAAATATCGACCAGTGTTGATTGCTATTTGTTGATATACCTCAAGCGCTGAGACAGTTTTACCATCCGTCCTACTGACAGCAGAGCAGTTACACACTTGAAAACCCCAAACAACCCAAAGAAGCGCAGCTGTTTGCAGAATATACTCATCCCTTCATATATTTTGCATATCTTGCATACTTGATCATTAATTATTTTTTGTACACGCGTACATGTATGATATGTATATACTATAGGGTCATGTGTGCCAATATGTCGTGCCTTAACGGCGTGGCCATTTGGCATTTGGCCATCATCTTGTGACAGACGCCACGGGTGCGGAAACGACCTTCCATGGTCTCGCAGAGTAGCAGCGTGAGCCAGCAAGGCGCGCACCGAACGGGCACCAGTTGGATCATGTTGGATCAGGGTGCAGCTGCCAAGTTCTTCAGATACTTGGGGAGTGGTCAAAACTTCATTCAACTCTCAGTTGTTTGCATCTACTCCAGTGTGAACCATGCAAGCTTTCGGTTTCTCCGTGGTTTTCCCATGGTTTTCGAGCGATTTTTTGCGCGCAAATCCTGGCAGGTCAGGATGATAGGCAAGTGGATGCACTGGTTAGGCGAGGACCCCGCATGGGGACAATGGAGATACAATTCAATGAATATGATTGTATCAATCATTGAATAGGTAGATGTTATTATATACTTGTTATTAGTGCTATTATGAATTAAACAATTACCAGTCGTACTGTACCGCACAAGGCGGTGGCGGAAGTTTCAAAAATAGGAACCTATAGGAGAGAGTGGTTGCTGTGAATCACGGATGGCAGAGCGAATCCACTGATGGACCGAAAGGTGCTTGAGGTCTCCTCTCTTTCTCTCTCTTTCTCTGACTATCTACCCACCTACCAACCTATCTTCTATTTGTCTATCTATCTATCTATCTTTTTGTCTGTCTGTCTACCTGTCTACCTGCCTATCTGTCTATCTATCTATCTGTCTGTCTATCTGTTTACCTGTCTATCTGTGGTGCAGTGTCATTCAGTGTAGTGGAGTGTAGTGTAGTGTAGTGTAATTAGTGTAGTGTAGTGTAGCGTAGTGTAATTAGTGTAGCGTAGCGTAGCGTAGTGTAAATTGTAGTATTGTTGTAGTTGGAGTTGTAGTTGGAGTTGTAGTTGTAGTTGTAGTTAGTGTAGTGTAGTGTAGTGGAATGTAGTGTAGTTTAGTGAATGTAGTGTAGTGTAGTGTAATTGAGTGTAGTGTAGTGGAGTGTAGTGGAATGTAGTGGAGTGTAGTGTAGTGTAGTGTCATTGAGTGTAGTGGAGTGTAGTGGAGTGTAGTGTAGTGTAGCGGAATGTAGTGTAGTGTAGTTGTAGCGTAGTGGAGTGTAGTGTGGTGTAATGTAGTGTAGCGTAGTGGAAGTTAGTGTAATGTAGTGTAGTGTAGTGTAATGCAGTGTAGTGTAGTGTAGTGGAGTGTGTAGTGTCATGTAGTGTAGTGTAGTGGAATGTAGTGTAGTGTAGTGTAGCGTAGTGTAGCGTAATTGAGTGTAATTGAGTGTAGTGGAGTGTAGTGTAGTGGAATTTAGTGAAGGTGTAGTTGTAGTTGTAGTGTAGTGTGGTGTAGTGGGTTGTAGTTGAAAATGCTACAAAACCCTCACCTTTTTTTGCTCACTTTTGACAAGGTGCACAATCCCTTGTGCCTGCCACGCGTAACGATATCTCAACGTCCAAAAGTGGTCCCCACCCCTGCTTCGAAATGTGCTTCGTGCCGCAACGGCGTGCATTTGTTCGACATCTCAACTTCCAAAAGTGGTCCGAGAATGGTGTGCTTTGTACATTTTGACTTGGAAATGTTCTTCGCGCCACAACTGCGTGCACTTTTTCGACATCTCAACTTCCAAAAGTGGTCCGAGAATGGCGTGTTTTATTTTGACTTGGAAATGTGCTTCGCGCCACAACGGCGTGCACTCTTTCGACATCTCGAACATGGTGTTTTTTGTGCATTTTGACTTGGACATGTGCTTCGCGCCTAACAGCGTGCTATTTTTCATCTCTCATCTGGCCAGCTGGCTCCGCACCCGCCGCTTTAGCGAGACCCGCCGGAGCCACAAATCAGTGCAAAAACACGGTGTTTCGCGACTTTCCTACCTTTTCGCGCACTTGCATCTTCTTTCCTCTGACTCTTTCTCTTCTTTGATCTTCTCTCTTCTGCTCTTCTCTCTTCTACTCTTCTCTTCTCTCTGACTCTTCTCATCTCTGCTTTTCATTTGTCCATATTGTCGGAAGTTTGACTTCCAAACTTCCTTCGATAAATTTCATATAATGTATCATTTAAATTATATAAGTATATAAGTGTATATATATATATAAATGGACGTTTGAATCAGGATTACATATGCATAGGCCCCGGATAAAGTAAGATAAGTAAGACCATGGGGCAGATACCCAACAGAAACTTTGATGTTTCTGTATGGAGGCTAGCCATGCCTAAGCCTAAATTTTGGGACGGCTCAACGACCAACCAGAACCAACATGGAAACAGTTTCCAATCTCCCAACCTCTCTGTCTTGGACTGGCGCATGCTGGCGCAAAAACAATCGACCTCTCGCTGAGTTGGCAGAGGTACGTTCAGTTTAAAACCACAATATCAAGATAGCCATTTCCATGTGCAACGTGTTGGGTCTGACATGAAATTGCTGCCGCCAGTGCGGGTGTTGGCTCTTGGGCTGGAAGCCAAGTGTCTCGGCTTGGTGCTTCAGATACCAATGGGGTCAATGGGCACGTTGAAAACAATGGTAAAGAGTAATTAATATCAATATACTTACATACATATACTTATACAATAAACATTAGTAAGAGGTAATAAATGGTAATAATAGATAATCATAGATAGTACTCACAGTGACAATGAGGATAATGACAATAACATAATCCCATATATTCCGCTTCAAGGTAAGTTTCGTACCGAAAAGGTAGGCTTGCAAAGCAACATGGGGCTACATGGCAAAACATACACCGTATGTGATCCGCGGAATCCAGGGTTTATGAATATCTATTCAGAATAATCCGCAAAACAAGTTGAATAACTAGCAGGTTACATCCATACTTCAAAACTTGAGGCTATTTGAGACCGTTTCATCCACAACAGAGCCAAAGTGAGGTAAGAGTCATAATGAAGTACCACGAAAACAGGGTTGATGATGTAATATTGATGCAACAAAATGTAATTCAATTCGGCAAACCCCAAGTCGAACCATGGGGATTGCCCAGGCAGTTGGCTCTCTCAAGACTGGTGCTGAAGGTGAGGGGGCAAAAGTTGGCGGATGCCCATTTCAACATAGTTCAACTTTGCTTGCTGGCTCAACGGTACCCGAATTTTACCCTTAGCAATTGGTCGCGAGCTGCGCATTTGCCAAGCAGTACCACTCCCATCCTGGGGGATGATCCCCATTGGGTCCTGGTCATGAAAAGCTCGCCGCATCAAATTGCATTAGAATTACTTGGCCTTGTGCATGAGGGTCACATAGGGTCACCCTCCCTTTTCCGGATTTGGGTCTGATTTTTTTGTTTCAAAGTTGGAAGAGTTTTTGCCATCCAACTCTATCTGTGGCGATAGTTCCAAGGGACCAATCACGGCCGGTTGCCGGGCCATGATGTGCCGGCAGGCATAGTAGAACCAGAAGAGTTGTTGACAGGCAGGCAGCTGGCCGCCGCGAACAGTGATGGTTAAGGAAGCAGAGTTGCAGCATAAAAGTCCAGAAGATAGCACATCTCCAGATTGTTCAGATTCATTCAGATTAAGATTTAGATTCACGAATTGTCTCGCTCCATTTCATTCCATTTCTCTTCAGATTAAGATTCAGAGTCATTCATCCATCAGAATATCATTCAGATTCATCAATATAGTTGTATTGGTCCATATTCTTTCATCCATTGGTCGGTGTTTTGTCGCAGGCTTATGCCCTCGCAGTGATCAGCCTCAGTGTGGCAACATCAAAGAAGCTCATCTCAGAGAGGCGCCATTCTTTTTCTATGGGCTGGGCATGCCCAGATATAGGGCACATCAGTTTTTGATGATTATTTATGATATGTATTTGTATATAACTATCTGTTTATTTGTTTTTGTAGTTAGCTATATATATATACATTTAACATGCTGTAGGAGATGTTTCGGAAATTGATGTCAAGCTCTTTCTGCTCACATGTAGACATATGGATATGTTTAATAACATATGGTTACAATATATATATATATATATATATACATATATATATATAGATACATATGTATATATATATACATAATATATACATATAATTACATATATATATGTATACATATGAATATATATATATATTATGTATTACCACGTTTGGAGGATTTCTTCCCTTCGATCCACGCGTAGGTCGAAAATGTGGTGGTTGACTGTGCAGCTCGGCCAGCCAGTGATTGGCCAACAGCCTCCAACTTATACATTCCTTCAAGCATTGCCAACAATTTTTGAGTTTGTAGTAGTAGTAGTATTCCATTTGTATAATATACAGTTTTATTTAACACATAAACCCTACCAGGTTACCATGTTCCATAATTTCTTTCAACCCTCTTTTTTGGCCGTAATCGGTTCCTTGGTTGCAATGTTCACATTTCCGAGGAAGGCTTGCTCTTCAACGTTCAGGAATCGGACGGCCCAAAGTCCTGTTCAGAGAACTACGTGCGAAAGAACGTTTCTAGGTCCTAGTATGTCGTAGTGCGATTTGGCAGTAAGCTACCCTGGGTAGGCTGGGTTTCTCCAACCTGTATGTGAATCATATCCAGAAGGGAAGACATTTGTGATTTGCCACGTAATTTACCTCCCTTGTATCGGGTGTATTTGCGGCATTGGGAGCAACCCTGGTAGTTGCCGGAAACCAAGGCTTACCCCGACCGTCATGCGCGCACACACACACAAGGATGGAGACGCACATGGGGACTAATTACAGTCGGAAAGTGATGGTAGTGGCCAGAAAGGACCTAAGGATATGATATTAGTGAAGTGGCGGTGCACTTGTTCGCTGAAATGACTCAGGTTGAGTTCTTGAACGCTCTGGCAGAAACTTGGCAGTGAATGTACCCATTTTTCTTACCATAGTGAACCTAGCTATTTGCATACCATCATTCACATTCAGAATAAGTTTGCATCTTCTGTTGCGGCTGCCTTCCTTGTAGGAAACGTGACTTAATGTGATGAAAAGGATGGATGAAGTTTCGCGGATGTGAAACTGCCGGAAAACTCCTTTCCACACCCTCCCCAGATTGATGTCTATGTATAGGGACCCCAAATGGTGGAAGTTTTGAATAGGCATAGGGGTACCATCATAATTAGTCGATGAGTGGTCCCGATAGACAGCCCCGTGAGGACGCAGGGAAGCGCTTGGTCTTTTGCGACAGTGCCAATTTGCAGGTGACGAGGCCATTGCGGCCATTTTCAGGCAAAAATCAACCAATGCATGGTGAATGGGGGGAAGTATCCGCAAATAGATTGATATATATATAATATTGTTTAATAATATATATATATATTCTTATGTCAGCTTTGTGAATTATTGAATGATGAGAAGTTTGGATAGATAGATTTATCATAATTTATCCAGATGATCAACCCAGAGTCTTCACCGCTTTTTCTTTGCAGACGGGAAGTCGTGGCTTTCAGCAGTCACGTTGGCGCCAGGGAGCGGTTCCTTGAACAGCTGCAGAGTAAAGGAATCAAGAAGGACAGGTGCCAGGTGGGATCTGCAGTTTCACATATCCAAATAAATGACACCCCGGCCATTTCTGTAGCCAATTCCTGGCAGGTCTGGACTCCTGCCTGCACTGCAGCCTGGTATCTGAAATTGCAAGGACCGGGGGCAACATCAGGCGACAATGAGCAGGTGACATCAGGTGACACGTCCAGAACCGAAACCATAACAAGAACATCAAGAACATGCATGCAAGAACAATGCAGATTCAACCACCGCTGGATCTGGCTGACGATGTCATTGGCTACTTTATCTACTTTGCAATCCGTATCCGTACGATGGTCAAACACGATCGACCTATTTCTGGTGAGTTAAAACCATCAAAGGCACATCACTACATTGCCGTGGAATTAAGAACATTGTTCCCCACATCTTTGTGTGGGGTTCTTGTTTTTGGTATTTTTTGGTTGTGCACTTCCGCCTGCCCGCTCCCACCTGCCATCGCCCGCCCGGTACCGTTCCTTACACACAACATGTTCACACACAACATGTTCACACACAACTTGCTCACACACAACTTAATCACCACACAACTTAATCACCACACAACTTGCTCACACACAACTTGCTCACACACACAACTTACTCACCACACAACTTACTCACCACACAACTTGCTCACCACACAACTTGCTCACCACACAGCTTGCTCACACACAACTTGCTCACACACAACTTACTCACACACATCATGTTCACACACAACTTGCTCACACACACAACATGTTCACGCACAACTTGCTCACACACAACATGTTCACACACAATTGCTGACACACAGCTTACTCACACACAACTTACTCACGCACAACTTGCTCACACACACACACAACTTACTCACACACAACTTACTCACCGTGATCACACACAACATGTTCACACACAATTGCTGACACACAACTTACTCACACACACACACACACAACTTGCTCACACACAGCTTACTCACCACACAACTTGCTCACCACACAACTTGCTCACACACAACTTGCTCACACACAACTTACTCACCACACAACTTGCTCACCACACAGCTTGCTCACACACAACTTGCTCACACACAACTTACTCACACACAACTTGCTCACTCACACACAACTTACTCACACACAACTTGTCCACACACAACTTACTCGCAAAGTGGCAGGCGTGGCACTTACGGCACTGGGCTGGCTCTGGTGGCGCGCTTGGGTCTGAGTTGACGCCGTGGGTGCCGCGGCCGTTTGCGTGGCAGGCGTGGCACTTGGCGACATGGACCGTTACTTTGCCTGGCAGGTGTGGCACTTGGCGACATGGACGTGCACTTTGCGTGGCAGGCGTGGCGGCGCTGGGCTTTCTCTGGTGGCGCGCTTGGGTCTGAGTTGACGCCGTGGGCGCCGCGGCCATTTGCGTGGCAGGTGTGGCGCTTGGCGACATGGACCGTCACTTTGCCTGGCAGGCGTGGCACTTGGCGACATGCACCGTCGCTTTGCGTAGCAGGCGTGGCACTTACGGCACTGGGCTGGCTCTGGTGGCGTGCTTGGGTCTGAGTTGACGCCGTGGGTGCCGCGGCCGTTTGCGTGGCAGGCGTGGCACTTGGCGACATGGACCGTTACTTTGCCTGGCAAGCGTGGCACTTGGCGACATGGACGTGGACTTTGCGTGGCAGGCGTGGCACTTGGGGACACGCATCGTCACTTTTCGCGGCAAGCGTGGCACTTGGCGGCGACATGGACCGTTACTTTGCCTGGCAGGTGTGGCACTTATGGCACTGGGCTGGCTCTGGTGGCGCGCTTGGGTCTGAGTTGACGCCGTGGGCGCCGCGGCCGTTTGCGTGGCAGGTGTGGCACTTGGCGACATGGACCGTCACTTTGCCTGGCAGGCGTGGCACTTGGCGACATGGACCGTCGCTTTGCGTGGCAGGCGTGGCACTTACGGCACTGGGCTGGCTCTGGTGGCGTGCTTGGGTTGGCTCTGGTGGCGTGCTTGGGTCTGAGTTGACGCCGGCGCCGCGACCGTTTCATTGTTGCACACGCCGATCCTTCACCATCTCTTTTCTCTTTCCTGCATTTCCCATCCCATCTTTTTACCTTTCTTTTGCTGCTTATTGGAAGAAGTTGACATGTGGGGTTATCCGATCCTTTAATTGTTGTTTTTGTTGCTCCTCTCTCAGAGCGATAGACACGGGCGGGAAACGATTAATAACTACATATGACTATATATCACCTAGATTTCCAGTGCCATTCTTATCACTAGTAGCTGACTGTATCTGATTGTTTAGATTGGTAGATCTTAGACATATTTCGCTTGATAAGATCTCAGGCATATAGATAGATTCATGGATGGATAGATGGATAGAGGGATAGATGGATCGAGGGATGGAGGGATAGATCGATGGATAGACAAACACAGTAGCATATAGACAGAGAGATAGATAGGAGATAGATTGGGTCATAGATAGCATTAATCAGTGTATAATATGTCTATGCCATAAAAATATTACACACAGATCCCGAGGTTTGCCCAAGCCCAGAATAGCGTAAATACCAGGGAATTCTGTACAATGTCAAATAACGGGAAGGATTTCATGTTCGATTATGTTGCTGGGGTGTTAACCAGAACATGATTCTTCTACATATCATATAACCAGAACATGTCGCTTGTACATACCATTTATCAAATGGAATTAACCATACAGTCATGGGGTTGCTTATAGGGTTTCAGGAAGATATCAAAATCCCCTGGCCCATGGAACAATTAACCGTACAATCATTAGGGTTTCTTTTAGGGTTTCAAGAATATATAAAAATCCCCTGGCCCCATGGAACAATTATCCGTACAATCATCAAGGTTTCTTTTAGGGTTTCAAGAGGATGTCAAAATCATCATCATCATCATCAATCATCCAATCATCCAATCATCCAATCATCCAATCATCCAATCATCATCATCATCATCACCATCATCATCATCATCATCCTCGTCATCCTCGTCATCCTCGTCATCCTCGTCATCCTCATCGTCATCGTCATCGTCATCTTGGCTTGCCCGGGCGCTCGCTGCGAGGCCAGGCAAACCTCAGGGTCTCGCCGTAATATTATTATGTATGATGATAGTTTGCATCAAAATACTTTGCATGAGTTAGAGGCATACATATTTACTGGTATGTGGATTCTGGATCCTTCGGACTCTTGCGCTCCCTGCAGGATCAGTTAAGCCATTGATCGTTTCAACGCAGGTGCCCATCGAATTGTGTGATGGGTCGCGGGGGTAGCAGACCTTTGTTCCTTTTGGCCTTCAGTTTCATGGAAAGGGTCACGCCTGTTCCAGGCTGCTTTCGTGCAGGAAGTGCCTTGGTATGAAACATATTCTCTTGGTGAATAGTGCTGGTACCACGCAGAAGTTCAAGATGGCACGTTGGAACTGATGGTTGTCGGATGCTTGTAACATGCAGCGTGAAACATGTGATTTCCCTCGGAATCGGTCCGTCTCTTGAGACTTCCATAGTGATTTTACTGATAGTTGGCAAGCAGTGAGGGTGTTGGGCCTGAACATTTGTTTTGTGGAGTGGGGTTTACGGAAACCTGGGGGTCTGCCCTCAAGTAGAAATAGAGTCATATAGAGATGGAAAAGGAAAACCGTAGCCGGATTTATACTATGTAAACCAATCATTCCTCAGGATGTGTTCGGAGTGTCATACCACAAAGACCCATATATATATATATATTTATATTTAAATATTTATCATATACAGTACTTGCCACAGCCAGCACCAAGATGAAAGACCTTGGCTTCAAGGATTGCCTCAGCATTTTGGAGGACCTGCCCCCCAAACGAATGGTGGATTTTCATGTACAAAGTCTTGTATGAAAACAGGGTACCTCTAGATCCGTTGATTCATCATGGTTCATCATGGTTCATCATGGTTCATCATGATTTTCTCTAATTATCAAAAGAACCATTTGGGGGCAACGCACCATTTCAAACAGACCCACGAGCTTCGAATTTTTCAGACCACCAAAGCCACCAGTGGATCCCCCAACGCATCTTCAACGAATCCAGCAGGAGAGCGAACTCATAGAAGAGCTGAGCGTCCCAGATACAACAGCAGGCGTGGGGAAACGGGGAAATGTTTACAGGCCACTATTACATAGATAATTAACATGTGTGTAAAGCCCAAAAATGTGAAACTATGAGAATGATAATGTTATCATATGTTATCTATGTATATCTATGTTGTGATTTGGAATTTTTAATACGCTGGTTCATTATATATGTAAAGCTATGTTAACAGTTTTTAAACCCCAGAGTAAAACCTAATAACCAACCATCTCCAATAAGAACTCGGTAAATTAAACCCTATAGTAAACCATCCTCAATTTTACCGAAAATAGATGGTCGAAACCATCCTGAAATAGGACAGTTATCATTGGGCTCACCACATTATTTGAATGTGTTTGTGGATTCTATCATTCTGTATCTACATGTCGGTTCGTATACAATGCGCATATGAAATATGCGCATCCAATAATGGTCACTAGAACTCAGCAAACCTTTTTTGGTAGAGGTTCAAAGTGTGGAACACCAGCATGTTTGAGGGTGAACAGATGTGGACTGTCTGAAGATGTGTTTGGCATTTTGTCCAGACTGGCTGAGCTTTGAGTGGATATTGGATCTAACTTACAAAACAGGTTGATAGGCAGGAGGAATCTCCCAAGTTTCACACATCAAGGAGTTCTGTGTTGACCTTTGTTCAAAGACTCTTTTGACCGGTGATTTCAAAGCAATGCTGCTTTTTATAATAGTATGGTAGCCCAACCAGTACCGATGACAATTTTCCAAATGAATCCACATGACCATTATTTCAGCACCACCCGCATTGCGACGATTATCAACAACTTATTGATTGCACCCCCCTAAAAATGCCTATAGACGTGTGCCACCAGGATGTCAAATCCATAATATTTACTTTCGATTTCCAGGTGTCCAAGGTAATTTCCGTCGGGTTGCTCACCTGCTAGGAGAAGATCATTTAGAGGCAGCCCTGAAGCGTTTGGGACGTGCTGATGCAGTAGTAGCGCAGCTCAGGTTTTGTCAGGGGTGCCCCGAAATAATATAGCAACTCCCAGATCTACAGGGTAAATTCATGTCGACTAAATATTTGGTACAATTTGGTAAATGACTTTTCTGTCCTTTTTTGGGGGGCCACTGCTGTAGGAACAGATTATATAAATTGCAAATTCGGGGGCGCACAAATGCATTTGTAGAAATGGACAGAGGGTTGTGGGAGATTTGTGGCTGCGGATACAATTATAAATCCAGAACGTATTGTGGCAAATTCATGAGTTCATGACAAGTGATTTAGACTTGGGCGAGCACAGACAGAATAAGTTGAGGTGAAGTTTGCCGTCTTTGACGTGTGCGCTCGAAAGCGTCATCTCCAGAGTCACAATCCTCCAAATCCACTGATGCCTTCTCAAAGAGGTTTGATTTTTTTTTTTAAGACGCACATGGGTTGTTTGAACATTGGCTACCCCTCAATCTATTAGTCAATGATCATGCCTATTAAACGCCAATGTAGAGGGGCATATCATGGCCCCGATGATGCCCGGTTTTCAGACATGGGACGTTGGATGCCTTCGCTGAGGTCATTGGTCCTCTGAAGGACTCGGAAAATGTGTGTTTTTGACATGTTGGGCTTCCATATTATTCTAAGTGTCAACTATTATTTCTTACTGATTATATATATATAATATTTGATTATTATTTATCATTATTTATTAGAGTTTCACAATTCTTTACTGTTATTTATATGTCTTACTATTATTCACTGTTTTTGCTTATTATGTATTGTTATTGTTTATTATTATTAATTAATGATTATTAATTAGGTTTTGGGTAAAAACACTTGCTGAGCCACTTGAAACGGAATGAGTTGTTTGAGTTGTTCCGGCAGAGCAGTCTCCACAGTGGCCTAAGTTTTGACATGCTTTGCACTTGCCATGAGCTGAGCCTGCAGAAACTGCTGTTCCCCCAAAGCTTAGCATACGATGCACATTCACACTTTCAAATAGAAGCACGATCAAATATGTGTTTATTGACCCTTGCAGCCGACGGTGCATACACGAGCAGCACTACAAGTCGCAATTTGCAGTGTGTAAGAATTGTGAGTTGGTTGGTGGCTTCAACTCCTATCCATCCTTACCCACCACTATCCATCATGATCCATCATTGTTCATCCCAATGTTTGTGTAGTTTAATCATACGGACTGCGAACTACGAATGGGTATCATTCGGGGATTGGTGCTTGGATCAGGACATGTCGGCCCTGATGACAGCCCTGATCGACAGCATACTGGACGTAGTCTCAGCGCAATCCACGTGGCCCATGCTAGTCAGGTCCCCAGATGATATTGGGCATCAATGGGCCCAAATTGCCATTTTGAAGAACCACCCCTTTTTTTTGCGTCGTCGGCCAGCATCCCTATTTTTTGTTCTCTGAATCGGTCCAAAGGCAGGCAGATTTTCCACATTTGGGACTCCCTTTGGTTGGTTGGTAGTGACATGTAGTGGTACTGTGACTATGTGATGTTGTGAGGGTATACATCTAAAATGGTGCTTTCCATAAATAGGGGATCCAATTTAAACTGGTTGGTTTAGACTGGACAATCCTATCTAAATGATCTAAATGGATTAATTATTTATGATGATTTATGGGGTACCACTTTTGGATGCCCCATGGCATGGAGGCACACCATGTCGTGGTTGAAAACCCCTAGGTGTGCTGCTGCCCTCCACGGACACGGAAAAAAATGAAGATCATGAGGCAAGTTCTATGCTTTGCCATGAAGTTTTTGGGTTATTTCTATGGCTATACCTGGTATATCCTGGTATAGCTTAGTGGTTCTAACATGTTCCAGTTTATAATTTGTAAGCTCCAGAAATTGGGATCTAAACCTTGTAGAACCATATGGTTATATGATGTTATTTGCTCACATGGGACTAGCTGGACCATGACCGGTGGTTCACTATACAGTACAAATGACGGTAAATGGCCTTAAACAAGAATAAATCCAGCACAAGAGCAGATGGCGGGGTTGACCAACCACTGGTGAATATCACGAATACACGACTTGGTTGGTGATTCCAGCTGTGTACGTTCAACCTTTAATGAGGTGTAACATAATTCGAAGATATTCGAAGTATCTATCAACCTATCAATCATTCAATTAACCAATCAGTCTATAATTATATCTATTATATATTGATATTATATGATATTATATGATATTATATGATATTATATGATATTATATGATATTATATAACATGCGTTTGTTTATCATTTGTTCACAATCTACTGTGCATGAAAAAAAAGCTGCTGTGGGACGGTCACCTGGCGAGCTTCAGGAGCTCCGTGGCTGGACAGCGCTTGTTGCGGGGGGTGCTTCACGAGGTGCCCTCTTGGGTGAGCGGTTTTCCACCGCTAATTTAGCACATTTAGCACACATATATGTATAATATATATAATATATATATATATACTGGTTGGTGGTTTGGAGCATTTTTTTCGATATATTGGGCATTTGAAAAACCCAACTGACTAATATGTGTCAGAGGGGTTGAAACCACCAACCAGTATAGATATGGATATATATATATATATAGAGATAGATATAGATATGCGAAAAAGAGAAGGCAGGCATGTCACGTCACGTTCATATGTGTATGTGGCAAGGAATCACGCTGCGGGTAGCCAAGCTATGTGTCCAGCCGGGCCCGCCAGGAATTTATCGATGCGCAATGGCCATCCATCATGCTGTCAGCCGCATTGTGTGACACACAGCGCTTCAAACCGGGTGAAACTTTGATGATTGGAAGGTGCGGTTGGGGCAAAACAAAGGTGAGCAACACATCCCATCAGCATCCCATCAGCTTTGAGAGTGGTTGTGCCTATGTTGTGCCTTAGTATTTAAATCCTTCAGCGATTTGCAGCCTCATTGTATGGTCCCTCCAGCTGTTTCTCTCCAGGAGCTTCGAAAAAACTGCAAGGCAGGTGGTCGTAGGGGAGATACGTGAGCTAGCCTGCGAATATGTGTAAATCACAAAGGATGAGAAAGCGGTTTGAAATGGTGTTGTTAGTTTGTTTACCTGTAACATGCTTGGGTTTCCAGTAATAAGGGAATCCACAGGTTTAAAAAAGTGTCGGAGCCCAAGTGCAGTAGTTGGCAGTGGTTACAGTCTTTGGAAAGGCCTTTGACAAATGGGTCCTGCAAAGGTGGTTCAAGGCCTTTCCTATAAGCCAGGCGATGAAATAAATCAGACAGAAACAGATGCGTTTTCCAACGTCTTGTTGTTCAAGTTCCGTTTCTATTTCTTCACGACTCGGATCAAATTCCAAAGTTGCTGCAATATCGACAGGTTTGCGTACAGGGCTGGCATGTCATGCCTCCTGGTTTTGGAGCCTTGGAAAGTCGACGTTTTGACCACCTCAAGTCTCATGACAACATGTCCAGAAGGAATCTATAAGAAATGGCTTGAAAATATGTTGAAAATTGCTGAATCCTCAACATATTTTCCAACAACTTGTTGATGTCCCAAATTCCATGGATTTCCATTGCTGAAAACTCATGTTCCTGAGCCAACTTTACCATTCTTGCCAATCTGAGGACACCCTCGAGGGCCAACTTCAGTTGACCAAGGTGGAATGACATATGATAGAGATATGCATATTATAATTTATATACTGTATTATATACATCATGTAAATTCAACATGTTCGCCCCAACCCGGACGTTGCTCCACACCTCTATAAACAACATGCTGATTGTGGTAAAAATCAACTATATCTCCATGAGGGATCAAGATTTGCCATCCCCTATCTTCATGATGGATCAAAAAATCGCCACCCCCTATGAACAGCATGTTGATTGGGGCAATAACATCAACTTTATCTTCATAAGGGATAAACAAATGTCACCCCCTATGAACAAGATGTTACTTGGGGTAATAACATCAACTTTATCTTCAGGAATCAAAATTCGCCACCTCCTATGAACAAGATGTTACTTGGGGTAATAACATCAACTTTATCTTCATAAGGGATAAAACAAAACCGCCACCCCCTATGAACAAGATGTTACTTGGGGTAATAACATCAACTTTATCTTCAGGAATCAACATTTGCCACCCCCTATGAACAAGATGTTGCTTGGGGTAATAACATCAACTTTATCTTCATAAGGAATCCAAATTCGCCACCCCCTATGAACAAGATGTTGATTGGGGTAATAGCACTACCCTTATCTTCATATCTACCTGAAGTCAGACGCGGCGCAACGTCAGGGTTGCAGCGAACATGTTTAAACACTCTAAGGGTGCATATGTGCATACAGATGCATATAGAATCTTATGGAATCTATTTAATGTTTACAAAGATATACGCATGCATTTCAACGGGGTGTGATGGTGTGTGAATATTTTGTCTCTATCTCCGTATCTCCGTACTGTATCTCTATCTCCCTCTATGTGAGTTTATTTACAGTACATATATACAAACAAAGTCTTGAGAGCGCACATTTCGAACGAAAAGCACTTGCCTCAACTAATGTTGTTGGGGTACATGCCCCTCTGGCAGGAACTCCAAACGTTTGACATCCTCGGGTTTCAGAGGGCCCCTTCTCCAACCAGTTGCATGACACATGTTTGAGATATATACACCATTCGCTTCAATTCACTATGATTTAGTTTGATGTTGAAAATTCTCCAGTGATTTTTTGATGTTTGTTCTGTGTAATGCCGAATCACCTTTTCAGCAGGAGATGCGCAGGGAATGTGTGCCTGACTATGTCGCTCCCAGTCTCGGGCATGTCATGGGCATCGACTGAGATCTTCCGACGTTTTGAATTTTTAGATGGCTTTTTGAAGATCATGCGCCCGTAGGCCGTAGGACGAACATGATCAAGATATGGAGCTTGAGAACGACTATTGACTATTCTGAGCGGCGGTTGAAGTATGTTGAAGATTTGAAATAGTGGGATGGAGGTAGGGATGAACTATGATAATTTGCCGGAGGGCTTCAAATTCGGCTTCAAGGTTCAAATATGTGTGTTCCTTTTTTGGTAGCCATAGTTAGTGCTGTTGAAGCAGCTGGGTTGTGAAAGAATGCTCATTTGAAAGATGAGTTTGCATAAAGTTTGCATTGTCATTGTCAGAACCCTTCACAACAATCATAATTGTCGGCCCCTTCCTCCACAACGCCCCGATCACCCTCATCAGACGTATTTGTTCATCCAGCCCACTTAGTCAAAGCGTATTCCTTACTCCATGTCTTGATCCTCGCCACAATGTTCCCAAAGGTTTTTTATTGCATTTTCTCAGGCTGACCCCACTGGCAGATACCACTTGGAAAAGAAAAGACCATGGACGCAAGTGAAGCAGGCGACAGCTGCAAAAGCGGCTTTGCATTTTTCGTATCAAATATGGTGACATGATAATGAATCCGACGGTTTTGTCCCAGAAATTTCAAAGGGACTCCCTGAATTTGACGTGAACAAACTACAGTTTCCCGATGTTTTTTTGTGAGTTTGCTGCTATTCAACCATTTATATATATATATATATATCCATGTATATAACAATTTTATTAAACCATTTGAGTCGGCAACTAAATCGTGTATATTTATATAAGTATGGTTGTTTCCCAGCATATTGTAATGTTGATACATCCCAATGTTTGTTGTTTTTTTCCAAAAACCACCGCCATGGCCAGTGACAAACAGACGGAGATCAGATCAGTGGAGTGAGCTCCGGAGGACCAATGGAGGATTCCCTGGTCCCCACCGCCGGCTGACACAGCCAGCAACATCCAGCAACCACACGAGATGAAAATATGGTGAAAAACATCGGTATAGACATGTAAGATAAAATTCCAATATATAGTGCCATGCAATTTCACTTTTTTTATTGTAAAGGTGTATGGAAAGATATGATGATATGATATGTCGTAAAATGTATATAAACATGATGATACCGTGCTTCTCCATGGATTGTTTTGGTACTAGGTTTAATACATTCCACATGAATATGTACATTCTTGAAAAGATACATACATATTATATAATAATTCTAAGCAGTGATCCGGGAGCCAGGGACGACACTATTTAATTACAGATTGGGTCATGGCTTTTGGAACCTGAGCAATTGGAATATATGATGAACACCGCCTCACTTGCTAATAGATGGTTTACCATGGTTTACCTATATTGAAGATAGTTTATAATGGGTAAAACATGCATAGACACATTCATCATAGATAGATGATTTACCCTATAAGTGATTTGCTCCGTCTCACATAGCTTGGACTGTGTCGCGGCCGCGTGTGCTGGGGATTCGTTTCCTCTCGACCCGGCCACGGAATGGCAATGGCAGCACCCACCTCTGGTGGAACCATGGGAGGCCTGTTAGTTTTCACAGGCAGGTCATGATGTTCCACTACGGTCCATTTCCAGATTCTATGTTCGCCATGTAAAACTCCCGGCATACCCACAACATCCCACAACATTGTAACAGCCTTTGCTGCTAGTGCCGGAATAACTGCTGGAATGGAATCATTTGATGCCTGATAGTGGGCCCACGCAAAGCGTGGCCCCACTTGAATCGCCAATAAGGGTCACTCCCTGGGGCGTGTCTGGGAACTTTGAGAATCTACAGCATCCCAAAATTCTGAGCTTTAGCTTGCCAATTTTGTCATGTTGATGCGTGAGTGGGGGACCCACTCAGATGTTTGACCCTTGCCAGATCGTAACTCTGGCCATGCAACCGGGAACTCGGAAACTCATCGGCCAGACAGCCAAGAGCTGTGAAATGGAGAGAGAGAGAGAGAGAGTGCCACGGTTGTGTGAAGGTTTACAGGGGGGGCGGTTATGAGTTATGACGTTAGGCTTTTTAGCCACCATGTGCAATGCAGTAGCAGCTCAGTAGTGGTCTAATTGTATCGAAGGTATGTGTGCCTGGTCACTCTCTCATGAAAACATGATAGAAGTATCAATCACGATCCCTTTTGACATGCCCTCATGACTTTGGAATTTATGAGTTCATGAGGGTTTTCGTTGCTACATCATGATTGAACGAGACTGCTTACGCCGCTGCGACGAGCCAAGAAGATGGAAGCAAAACAGTGGAGACAAGGAGACACAGGTTGCTGAGTCGTCAGCTCTTGACGCAACTTCTCCAAAACTGAGGGCATATGAGAATATTATGAGAATAAGTTAGCACATTTGTTTAGCCTGATCACATCATTTCCGGCGAATCTTATCAGCCACATTTCAAGCATCAGCTCGCCGGTGGCTTCCTAAGCTTCAGTACAGTGTCAGATTCCGCAGCGCGTTGGTGCCCCATGTCAGACCCAGTTGCTGCACCCGCTGATGATGTGGCTGGAAGGTGAGAATGCGGCCGTTGAATATGCTTTTCACATCTTTTCAGGGCATAATTGGATCATTGGATCCATGTTTGGGAAAATCTATCAAAATCTCATAACCACTTGGGAACCACTTGGGATTAATATATTTAATATGGGTTAATTTAATAGGAAATACAGATTCAAGTCCAGTCCTAACTTTGGAGTTGAACAATTGAGCATGAACCCAGATGCCAGATGGTGTCACAAAAAAAACACCGGAATCTCTCCAGTCTCTTCAGGAAGTCGACAGATTCTTCAGCATCTATCCCAAGGCCAAAGGAGAAGCTATGTCAAGCGGGTTGGTTTTGGTTTCTTGTTTCACTTGCCGAAGCAAATGACTCCATTGAAACAATTGACTACAAGTGGTTGGTGCATGTTAGTAATCACACCAATGATGTGGGCCAAATCTCCGCCGTGTGTCACTGGGTGGAGTCTTTCTGGTTCTGAGCGGCCCTGGCTCTATCACAAGTTGGATGATGATCTCTAATGTGCCAAGAACGTCCACTTGTTGGAGTTGTTGCTGCTTCACCTCCCCTTCCGACTCTGCAATCTTAAACTTTCATAAACTGTCCACTGCTTTTGTTGGACCCCAGAGCCAGATGGTACTGTACCACATGTAGGCCAGCTACATGACCAGATCCCATTCCAGAAATTCCAGGAGCCAGAAGAGATGACAGCAGAGGAACGCTCCGCCTTTGCCGAGAAATGCAAAGGAATTGGCAATCGCGGTTTTCAGGTGGTGGCCAAGCCCTGGTGTAGGGGATATCATCACCACAGCCTTCAAGATACCAATAGATATTAGATTATTCACAATGGACAGATGGACATGGAGATTTTGGGATGATTTGGGTATATGTTCCTTGCAGATGCTAGCAGCTATGGTGATACAAATAGGGATTGGAAAATCTTGGGCAATCTTCCTGCCAACTCATTGGAATGTGAGTCTCAGGCAGGGGATTGGGACTATGCAGTTGTGGCCTACCAGGAAGGCATCAGATATTTAGTGCCTCGCTGAGGGATACTGAGCGGATGGGACCGCACAAGGGAGACGTGTAGCGGTGAAGAGACCTCCTGGATTCGACCCATACCATGTGACAGTGTTGGGGGGTGTCGGGGTATGCCTAGATTGTTGGACGCCTTGATACAGTGACAGTGGCCAGAACCTATACAGACACAACATGACTTCAGTTTTGGAAGATGATCCCCAACAGCGTAAACTGCCTTCAGAGCTGCCCAGCCACCTACGCCGCTTAGGAGTTTGTAGCCCATGACCAGCAGATGCAGCCGTTGCCATCCGACCATGGAGGCGCGCAGCGTTTAGAGAAAGATATGGCGCTGGCAGTGACGATTTTCAGCAATTTGGCCGCCACCATGCTGCTACTTGGCCTGGGATGCTGGTGCACTGGTTGGAGATGAGCAACTGAGAGGAGGGTTGCTGGGTTGCTGAAGGTGTTGGTGTGAGCCAGCAGAAGCAAAATGTGGAATATGATATCAAATGGTCAATAGGGCCTTTATGCGTTTAATGATTTTGGATGAGCATTGAGCATGGACCATTTGTCTAATTGTTCAAGACTCATGATTTTGATTTGTCATGTGGAGATCATTATCATTCCTATTGGAATCACGAGATCAATTTCCCAAATATCCATGGCTGCAAGTATTTAACTGGGGTGCCCTCCAGATTTGCCATTGAAGGGAGATTCCCTGTGAATTACCATTGCGGCACATCGCGTATACAACTCAGAATCTATAGCTTTTGACTCCACCCACCCATGACCTAGCATCACCTACCATCACCTACCATCACCTACCATATCCTATCATCTACCCTCTGGTAAACTAACATAGCTATGGAAAATCACCATGTTTAATGGGTAAATCCACTATAAATGGCCATTTTCAATAGCTTTTTGTATGTTTACCAGAGGGTAGTACTCCACTGATGTGGGATCGCTGCAACCGAGTCGAAGCCAAGGAAGATGGATGAGCCCAGCGAGGCGCTGGGCTATGCGGAGAAAGCCTTGCGCTTTGATCCGAAACATGCGACTTGGCACCAAGATGCGGTGGACATTTCTGGAAAGCTCACTACATTCCATTCACTTTTGGGACTACCGTGTATATATATATATATATATGTGTGATTAATTATATGTAAATTTAATATAAAATAAACATATACATACATATATCGATCTTATATATATTACATATACAACTATAAAATATTATAAAGTAATACAATAGGCAGTTCATGTAACACAGATATATATATATATATATTATACATATAATTATGAATATATATATATATATATGTATGTATATGTATATGTAACATATATTTGGACATATTTGTATTCATATGCATGCATCCATTTCTGGTACTTATTTCAATGCTTCATGGACTTTTTGGGGCCAAGCACCGCATTTGAGGTGAAATCGCTCTTCCGGATGGGTCAAGCCCATCTAGCACTGGGCAACTTTGATGCGGTGCACCTGACGCTTGCCTGTTCTGCTTGGCGGTTGCTGTGGCTTTCCTGACGGCACTGACTGTGGTTCAAACCGTTTTTGGATTTTGAATGTGTTTTTTTTGCGTGTGATCAAATTCAAACATAGCAAGGATCGCAGTGTCATTCCTCTGTAACTTGAGAGGACGCCAAGCTAAAGGTGGCATGATGCTTGTAAAAGTCAAGGAGTTGTGCAACCACGATAGCGCACACCGTCCTTAGGACTGCGAAGGAACTGGAAGAGCAGGAGCAAGAGGAAGCAGCGATGCTCAGTCCAGTTGAGCAGCCCAAAACCCACAAGGGGATGTGGTTTGACGGACAACCAAAAAGGTTTGGGACATGCCTATCTTACACCCGCGCACTGTTGCGACAAAACAGGGCAGTACATGAATGATAACATGGCAACCTTGATCATGGCAGACTGCTGGCGAGTTTCAACATTAATTACTTGGCGCATTTGACCAGAGAAGGACATCAGCTTATTGATTCCCGAAACTCTGCCGTATGTTGGGTCGCCATTAAGGTCTACTGAAAGACACTGACTGGGCACCCATTTCCGTTGTATAATATTTTTTATTTGCCATTTACGAGCCTTTATGCCTGTTTTTCCGTCCACTATTTGTTGAAGCAAAGTGGCCACAGGTCCTTGGCTCCATCTGCGGTCTTGCATTTGTGGCTGATGCTCACTATCCGGTCTTGTGTGTTTCGTTTGGTGCTTTGTTTGGTTGTGTTTGTTTGTTTGGTTGCTTGCGTGTGCCTCCCTTTGTTGGATAGTATGTGCATCCAGCCCCTTCTGGCTGCAAGTCTGCCGCGTCTCCTTTTGCTGCTGCTTTGGGGCCTGATGGGGCCTGCCTACAACAGCCTCTCTCCTGGCCAGTTTTTGTTTTTTTCCGTCCTTCCAAGAAGTACGTTTTTTTTTTTCTCCTGGCCAGACCAGTGTAGTGAACAACTCCCAGCAAGCGCCATTATGCTGTCCCCATGTCTTGCAGCCATATAAATGTGAGCTTCTTGATGAGTTTGATATCCTCTCATCAACAAAAGAACAAGTGATATGATATATGTAATTGACGTCATGTAATGCAATAATATACAGTTTGTGATTTTTGAACCAAAGGGTAACCATACACATTTCCCAACTGTCCTATTGACTTGCTGCTCCCTCGTGCGGCTTCCCTTGGCCCCCCAGGAAATTGATAAAGATGGCTGAGCATGGCGCCGCAGTCGCCAAGAGGAAGCAGATGCTTGACCACTGGATCCTCCTGAGGGAAGGAAGAACCCTCCCCTTCTCGCCCCAAATACAAAAACTTACGGGCCGTTTTTATTGTGAGGGGGCATAAAGCATTAGAAGCTTCCTCCTAATGATCAAATCAGAACTCAAAACCTTAGATAATTGAAACATTACCCACCCTTGTACCTGGGTGTTAGGAGCAACCCTGAAACTGATGCCAAAAACAGGATTTTGAAGCTTCCTCCTAATATCAAATCAAAACCTGAATGACATGCACTAAAATTTCAGTTCAAAATCGATCAAAATCCTTTTTAAAATCTAATCAACATATTGCCAAAAATTGGATTTCGAAGCTTTCCTTCAATGAAAATAATCAAATCAAAACCTCAACAACTAAAAGCGACTACAGTTTTGTCAGGGTCCCTAATGAACCGCCCCGCACCAACTGGTCATTATTAATGGGTAAAACCTTCCGGGACCTGAATTTTCAAATTCGTGTCCAGTGTGGGGCCCGTGGGGACCAGTTTTTCAATCAAATTGACCAACCTGGAAGTTTCCAAAGGGAAGAGGAGATTGGGATAGCCGACCTAAGCAGATTCAATGATAGGGCGTCAACAAAAAACATGTCAATGAGCCCAAGGGGGGAACCCATCATAGTGAGGCTAATAAATCCCAACAAACCAATTGTTAGTAGCTGAGTTGAAACCAGCGGTGAAACAGTTCACCCATTTCCCTTGCACCAAGGAAGGCGCTCTTTACAAAGATGATGAGCTCATGAGGGCAACCCGGCAACCCGTGCGGTTGAAGAAAGACTTTAAAAGACCAGCAGACAAGGTGGAAAAATAGAAGACCATCAGCAATTGTGGTGGGGTTCAAGGTGTGCTTGGATGTAGTGTAGTTGTGCATGTACCCAGGATAAATTCAGGAATTGGCTGTTTGGATACTTTGGATGTTTGCACATCACCCGCGTGTTTGCATCATCCAGACGCACTGCCGGGAGAAGGCTCAGATACCTTAGTGAACCCTGAAAAAGATGGAAGAAAACCGACATGGGTTGTTGAAGGGGGTAGTGGAGGGTGGAGAATAAATGCAATTTCGCATCATTTCTCTGGTGGGAGCACTCCTGGAATTTCCTTTTGCTTCCTTTCGCTTCATCCTGCCATGGTGTCTGTGGACCTTACCCTGTACAGCGTGCTGCGTGTGAGTCGCCATGCCACTGATGCGCAAATCCGTGGAGCGTATCGTCTACGGGCCCTGGCGACGCATCCGGACAAAGGTGGCAATGAAGAGGAGTTTTTGAAGGCAGGGAACTGCAGACCTTGGAGTGGTAATGAGTGGTAGGAGTTTTTTGGGTAATTTGCGGCCACAAATGGGGGAATTGAGATGTCTCATGATGTTTCATTCTTTCTAATGCTCGGACACACGACCTCGTAGATCAATGACTGCTACCACCTCATATGGCAAAGTCAGAACAACTCCAACGATTCGATCGTTGAGACGAACAAGGAACAACAATTGATGGTGCTGTTTCAACATGTCATAGCTTTGTCAACCTGTGTCATATCATATTGCTTGTGGACCCGCCATAGGGTAAAGTCTTTTTGCAGGTGCCAGCATTGCTTCCCATCGTTAGTGTTGATCGGGTTTCCTCATACCCTATTTTATGCTGAGAAAAATCATGTCGCTCAGAGTGTCCTGGGGGGTTTCTGCCAAAGGTCGTAGAAGCATTCGAGATTCTGTCCGACCTCCGTAAACGACAGAAGCACCTCGACCCTCACTGCAACAAATGGTGCTGTACCTGCTACATCTACTGAGGATCTGGCGTGTTTGCATCACATATTCAGACATATTCTATGACCCATAGGATCCATGTATGGTATATATGCTAACATTGGGGGTATATTGATGGTAAATGTTACCATATATAGCATACATGGATCCTATTGGTGATGCTTCAAAAATCCGAAATCTAAAATCCCAACTTTGGAGTCTCAAGCCCTTGGATCGCACACTTTGGCCGAGAGTTCAGGATTTTTTCCGCCGTTTCTCCAATCGCCGTTGGCCTGTTTGGGATAGGAAATCAATGCTGGTGTGCTCAGGTATGATGAGGATTTGCAACGAACTGGCAGTCAAGATGGACGGCACCAGGATACTCTCGTGAACGTAGCCTGGTGAACATCAAAACCATCAACTAAATGGCTGGCAAATGGATGTTCCTTTCCCAAAGGTTGGTTGGTTGATTTTGACTCATGCCCATATCAGTCAAAGTCTGAATTTCGTTGAGTTTCTTTGAGCGCTTCAATTGAATGATCACTTCAACTGAATCCCCATCCCCTGCTAAGACACCATCAGTCTACTCAGATATGTCCAAATTGTAAAGAGTTGGATCCAGGCTCAAAAATTCTATCAAACTCCTCACCTCCATCAGCAGCTGCAGGAGAGTCAAGCTGCTGCCGCAGCAGCTGCTGCGGACACCTTTGGTCTTCCTGACTTAGGCTGGGGGCTGAGAATTGTTCTCAGTGTCATGAAACTCTTTATGCCACCCCAAAGCCCTTCTAATTGATTAACAAAAAACATATGTACAACCCCTCGCAGCTGCAGCATCTTGTGATATCTTGTGCCTAAAACGTCCTAAAAAATTAGAATTTCGAACTATGCAGTTTTTTGGTTTATTCCTGAAGTTCGATGATTTCCATTGATTTCCCCACATTGGAACGTCCCAGGCAAAACAGAGCCCAACCAGCAGCCCGTGGAGGGTTGGAGTTCCACCGAAGAGACCCAACGCGCCAAAGCTCTGTGGCTGGAGCTCTTGGAGAAGCCAATCCCGGAACGAAAGGCGTGGCCAGGGCCAAGTGGATGGCTTGAGAGCGGGGTGTTGGATATGAGTTGGATATGAGTTGGATATCACAACAATGATGGCCTAAGGATGGCGTGATCATATTGTCGTATATTGATGTTTTTCTTGCGGTTCCAGAAGTTCTGAATGGATTTCTTTGGCTACTTCAGAGATCTTTAGAGATTGTATGAAATTATTTTGAACATGTTTGACGAAGTTTGAGGAGAACATCTCGAGCGTCAAGAAAACAGAGACTTTTGATGAATTTCTTGTGACTTCATGCATTTTTTTCATGGTACAGCTTGTTACTGTTTCCTCTGGTTGCTCCGGAATGATGCTCGTAGATCGAGCCAGTTTTCAGAGTTGGTAGAGATGTGTGATAGTCGATGTCAATGACTCCATTGTGACTCCACTTTTTGGATGTATCAATTTACTCTCTAACAAGACGTGAGTGGGACATTAATTGCATCGTGTTTCAGGATGTGACTGAAATTCCATGAAAAGCATCAGGGAACCACACCATGTTTCAAGACTTGACTGCAACCGTACAGAAAACATCAAGAAGCTACAGTATATATAAATGTATATATATATATAATGTTTGGGTGCTGCTTTTAAATTTCAAACCATTTCACGATCCCAGAATCGTTGTTTCCGTCAAAATTTGCACGACCTTCCCCGCATTTCAATACAGACACCGTGGTTTCTTGCAAGTGCTCCCGGAAACATCAGCTGCTCCCAGACTTGGGATAACGTATGATGAAGGGAACAGTTACACACTACAGACATCCATTTGTATTTTGGTGTATAGAAATGTACTTTTATACCACAACAACAACAACAAGAACAAGAACAACAACAACAACCACAAGAACAAGAACAAGAACAAGAACAAAAACAAGAACAACAACGGCAACAACAACAACAAGAAGAAGAACAAGAAGAACAAGAACAAGAACAACAACAACAACAACAACAATAACAAGAACAATAACAAGAACACTAACAAGAACAACAACAGCAGCAGCAACAACATTAACGGAAACAAGAACAACAACAGCGGCAACAATAACAGCAAGAACAAGAGCAACAGCAAAGGCAACACAAACAGCAACGGAAACAGCAACAATAGTTTTTTGTTGGCTTTTTACCGGTATTTAAACACAACAACCCCCCTGGCTGAACCATGATCATTCCATGATCCACATCATCTATCCTGGCCAGGAGCACTTAAGGACCCTCAGCTGTCGCACTGCAGAGGTCCTTTTGATCTTTGCGAAAGCTCAGTTCCGAGGTGCCCCTGTGGTGGCGGGGCCTGGTGCTCCACAGGCCGGGGATGGCCGGTTGCCGAAGCCGGGTGGCTGGTGGTGGATGTGGATTGTTCGCAAAACCCCCATGGAGGTAGCAGCAAACATCAGCAAACTATTGGTTGAACATGTTTGAAAACTGTGAGCATGCTATTTTTTGTTCGATGTTTTTTTTTGGGTTTCCCAGTTTTGGAAACTACATGATGAGATGTGACGTACTGAGAAATATTATGAAATGATGATGTATCAATTGTCAGATGGCAGTTTCTTATGGCAATCAAGGGTCTCGAGTTGGTGTTGAATGGCATGGCAGAGAATGAGTCATGTGGTCAGAGGATGGTGTGCCGAAAAAATGCGCCCAGATGGGCACAATATGGCAGAATATTTAGATAGTGAAGCTAACTAACAATAATCCAAAACCGATGGCACGCTGATGTCACTTCAGATGGCTGCCAGGATTGTGGAAATGCCTTGCTGGCAGCTACTCCAGAGGCACCGCTAGTTTCCACAGGTGGTCCATGCCAGGAGTGGAAAATGGATAGATGATGATAGATGACTATATATATAAATAGATTCCATAAGAAAATGTCATAATCCCATACACATTGCATGGCATGAACATATGTACATGCAACCGCCACATATATAATATGTTATTCAGACATATTAAGTGATTCAGACGACACATTTGCCCAGGTTCCAGATGCGAAACGTGCCAAGTTGGACGGGCCTAGAGGGTGCCGCTGGGGGGCTGAGTGCCAGACACCGGCTGAAAATACCGGCTGAAAATGGCGGCTGAAAAGGGAATCAAATACGATTTGATACTTCGGCAAAGGACAATGAACCATTTAGATTATATATGATTGTATGGATGATTTTCTGATGAAAAAACCTCCATTGTATAGGGATTTCCCATGATTTCCCTATTGCCGCGTTTGATTACCAGAGGGTAATCTTGACCTGATGAATTGTTAGGTTTGACGTAAATTGCCAGCGTGAAATGCAGTTGTTCCACTTTCAGTGTTTTGAATGGGACGGAAAGACAACATTTAGGCAACATATATAAGGACAGTTTGGATATGTTTGGACGCTGGCTGCAGGTTTTTGAGTGATGCCACTTTGTTGTGACGGTTGGAGCGCGCGATGCAGGTGCTTCGCCAGAGGTTCTCGTGCACATGTGTGCTTGCAGCGCCTGAAGGTGTGCACGGGCGCTTCTGAAGATTTGTCGGAAGCCATCAATTGGCATATCCTCCTGGTGAGAGTGAAGCAACTGCTCCCTGGCTGCAGAACATGGCATGGCATCACTGGAGGAGTTGATAGCGAAGGAGGTTGAAGGATGTTGAAAGGAAGAACTGGAGCAGTGGAGGGAAGCACTGCTGATAATTACCGTGAGTTTATGAACATCCCCCATTAAGCAATAGTGTATATATATAGTTACCTTTCAACTTCGTCGTCTCACCATGCGCTTGCATACAGGTAAGCTGCGACCAGAATTGGAGCCATGTACTGTGCACTAGGGGCTCATTTAGTCTCTGGAATTTTATGTAATTTGAGCCCCCTGCCTGCGAGGAAGGAGTGCGTGGGGTTGCACCGCTTCAAATTATTTCTGTTTGATGTTTCATTGCATTTCATCACTCTTGCCTGAGTGGTGGCAGGTTTGACGAGCAGATTGCTTGTGGCAAGACCTTTCCCTCAGCTGTGCGGCACAGCGTTCAGACTGCCCTAGCAGAGGCTAGCGGCCTCTTGGCCTTTGCCAAAGTGATACTCTTGAGATTTTTGATTTGGCGACTGTTTGTTTGCCTTTTTTCGAGAACAATGTCGTACATGCAGCAGTTTGTGATCCCTTGCTAAGTAAGATTGTTTGTGCCTGCCTGATTTCGTTTCCCTGAAATGAGTCTCATGGAACCCACAAAGCATCACACAACGTGTTTTTTTTCATTTTAGAACATTACTTTCCCAATGGACATCGTTTTTTTCTGGCTTCCATGTCCACGTACTTTCCTGCAAAATGTTCAGGAATCTTATAGGTCCCTTCCCTCTTCTTGATAATTTCAATTTTCCAGGGTTGTCTCTAATTCCTCCCCCCTAATATTATAAATACCCCCAAATGAAACCATGGTTTTTAGTAGGGAATTTCATACAATTTCGACATAATTGGGACCGTTTAAAGGGGTGTTTAATATGAACGGGGGATGACATCCCCGAAGCGAGGTCAAAGCGATCCACGACTTCGTTTCGTCACGGAGTGCACTGTGGAGGATGAGGTGTTGCACCTCGCCTGGATCCGCGTGAACGGAAGGGAATCTCATGGGAAATGCTGATTTTTCGCTGATTTAATCCGATTTTACCATCTAACATGGTGATTTAATGGACATGGATGGGAATAGAATGGGACAAATAAAAACAACATGAACCAATCATATATATATATATATATAGGCATCATGCTGATTCAATCACCCCCCTCAAAGGTGACTCCCCCTCTTGGGCTTCTCAACCACCAACCACGAAGGGTTTATTCATGTTTATCCACGATCTATTCCAGATTATTGAACAAATCTTGGAACATTTGGGACCTTTCGAGGGGTTGCGGGCATGTTGGAAGTTTGTCCAATTCATTTTTGCATGTATATCCTGGATGCCTCAGATTAGTTGGATGTAATGTAGTTAGATGTAGTTAGTAGTTGTTGATTGGTAGCCATGTTGCACTGTTGCATCTGTGATGTTCCAGGGGTTTGTTGAATAGATGTTGGAACCAAGCACATCTAGTGGTAATTGGATGTAGTTAGTGTGTGCAACTTTTGCGAGAGACGCAGGTGAGGGGTGTCAGTTGATGTCAATTAGAGATCATTGAATTGTACCTGTTATATGTATTATATATGAAATTATATGATGGTTATAAGTTCCACTATAATATCCCATTGAATTCGTGCTGTAGACCTCGCCTTGGGTCGAGGTTTACACCGGTGAGCTGGGACTTGGAAGTGGCGCTACGACAGAACCAGGAGTCCCTTGGAGCTGGCAGGTCTCCATGTTGCGGGAACCAAAAAACAGCAGTCAATCTCAGTACGTCTCGATTACTTTGATTCCAAAATGATGCTCTTCCCAACAGATTTCAATGAGATTTCTACCACAACTACTGGATGAAGCCCAGGTTATCGAACCTGTTGGAGCAGGGCGCTGCAAGGAGCAAGTTGCTGGAAGCCATTGGGCACATGGTGGCGGCTTCTCAGGCGACCTGCATTTTGCCCATTGTGTTCTTCCTCAACTAATGGAAATATCTACAGGCCCTGGAGTACAATGTTTGCTCGGACCGCGTCTTGGCATCAGGCTGTTGAATGGATTTGAATGGAGAGACCATTGAAAACAATTCTCCCTATTTCTTGAACATCATTTCCCTTCACCCATGACATTCATGCAACCAGCAGGTAAACCCTAACAAATACTGGGTAGATTTGCTCCCCAGAGCCCTCTGGGACGTTGGGACGTGACTACCTACCGTGTGCCGCGGAGGCAGCTGAAGTTGAGCAGAGGGCGCTGATAGACGAGCTGGACGGGTTCCAACTCAGCTGGCGGCTGGTTCTTCAAGCTGGGCGGCCCATAATTTCACTGTTCTAAAAGAATCAGCAGATCCCGAATTCCTACAGGAATGATTTGACATGGTACCTGCCGCATACCATGTAACATGTGACATCTCATGTTTTTGTTTCTGTCAGTGCTGTGCCAGAATTGTGCCAACAAAATCCAGCAGCTCAGTAAACGCACAAACAGTGAACAAACTCAGCATGATGAAGTGGCAAGTTTTGCTCGTTGAAATCTCCAGGAGCAGCACATCTTTACCTTCCGCAAGCTGCTCCGCTGGCGAAGTGGTAGCCGCCCAGCTGGCGTGAATGCCAGCCTTAGCCACTCAGCTGCTGCTGGGACCGCGCGTGCGAGAGAGAGAGAGAGAGAGGTCCATGAAATCCGGAGCCGACAGGATTCCAGCTAGAAAACTTGGAAAACCTAAAGACATTCCAAAGACTATATAGTAACTATATGTGGTGAACATTGTGGAGTATATGGTATACTTATATACGGTATACATATGTAATGTGGTTACAATATGTTACAATCATAAACCATCCCCCAGTCACCATTGTTATAGGAATAAATAAACCATTCCCAGTCATGGGTGGTTTATGGCATTGTTTTTACCCAGGGGCCCAGAGGTTGATCTCTCCCAGGTCAAGTGGTTGGTCCCAGCTTTTGGGGTGACAAAGGTGCGCTGGGGAATGGCATGGCATCGTCGTGGAAGATGGGTTTTCTGGTTGTGACAAGCTACAAGACATGGTGATTCCCAATTACAAATTCATGTTCGATATCTTCAATCATCCCCATTCAATCAGTGATATATCAGTGATTATATAGTAATAGTATCCAGTGATTATATATATATAATATCCCCATGACATAAGCCATGGTTTTCTACCCTCAAAAGATTCTCAGGGCCGGGGGATCAACCATGTTCAACCGGCCGCATCTCAGGCGCTCCCTCAAGCACTGTGTCTGCCCTGTGCTATGCCGAGCTATGGCACCAAAAGGTCGTCCTCGCGTGTTTGAAAATGGGGTGGAATTATCCAGAAACACAGCCATTTTCATAGGGAAAACTTGGGAAAACAACATGTAAAAACAAAAATGATTTGAACAGATCTCAACCAGGAAAAAATCACGAGGTCTAGAATCTAGGCTGAAGATGACTGAAGGTAAAGTCAGCATAGAATGAGGCAATGGTTTACTTTTGAACATGTTTGAACCTGTTACTTGTTGATGTTAGGAAATTTCTATTGTGTACCCTGAGACATCAAGGGATCACTGGCAGGCTGCTGGCTTGGAGCCTTTGTGTCGGGGTCCACGGCGACGGCGTCAGGATGAGGAGCCATGATTTGATGGTTCCAATCACTGGTGAAGGGTGGTTAACCATTAAATCAAGGGGATGCTTATAGATTTTGTCATATTTTGACCACAAAAATTTGGATTGAAACGCGAAGAATCATAGGACATTTTTAAGAAGGGTTCAATTTACACTATCAAACATTGGCACTAAAACAATCAAGTACAATGTTTGGCTGGGTAGGTTTCTACGTTTGCTTGGCCATAAATTGGACAACTGTGGATTAGACAGGTATTGACATTGAGGTCCGGCTTCTCTGAAACGATTGAGCAACCCATGAGGTCAGATGTCTTAATGGAGAATTACTTGTCAATCCTTGATGGGATGGGGATCTCCTTTATGACGGGAAGCAAGGGGTTGAAGGATCAGCAGAAGGCCCTTCCGGCCAGGCTCTGAAAGACCTGGAAACACTGCAGGCCTTCCAGTGTGTTCTTCGCGTCGGGCCTTGTTTTGTTGGAAGATGCCAGGAACTTCCAAATCCGATGATGACAATCAAAGAAAATTTGCAAAGCCGGGCTTAGACCGTGATTTATATTATCGATTATCATATGCGATTCTGTCTGAAGATGTTTAAAATGGGGTAACTACACAAAATTATGATGGTGATGCTATTTTAATTGCCCACACCAGGGGTATACCCCATCAAAAGTGCTATGGAATGCCATCGGGCAATCGTTGCCGGGCAATGATGCAGGTGGCCCAATCGAAGGGTGGCGATGCGGCAGCACGCGCCGAAGCCAAACGGTGCCGTGGTCATCAATCCATTTTCATAGGGGGTGACAGTAATATAGCCGTAGCCGTAGCATGCCGTAGTACAATGAGGAGTTCCATTCCATGATGGTTTGATGACCATATCAAAATTTCATGTAACTTGGACCATGGCACATTTCGTCTGAGTACCATGTCCCGCTGGAAAGTATGATGTGATGTACTCGTACAGTTTTGCGGGGACCCAAGACCCAAGAGCATCCAACGCTAGCGGCGTTTAGCTGCAGGAAAATGTGATCCAGGAGGCAGGTGATAAACTGTTTCTGTTGGGGGGCTCCTGGGGTCCCACAGCATCACTATTAACTCCCAGTGTCCCACTCGGGTCATGGCTGTTGTTTGTTGCACCGTGTCTTTGCCTTCCCTTGGCAAGACATACAGCGGCGGGGCTGAGGCTCTACGAAGAGTCCCTCCGGTCTTCCATGCTGTCCTGAGATGGCCAAGCTCCTGGGTGGGTGCCATCTCGAAGCGGAGATCGCCGAGGGTGTCGCTGCAATGGCCATCTCCTTGGCTTTGAAGTGGTGGGAAGTGGTGGGAAGTGGTGGGAAGTGGCAAAGGTCGAGATATGTCGAGATCTTGAAGGAGAAAGGTCGGGTTGTCCGCAGGCGGCTTCAAGGATGAAGGGAGACTTCGACGTGGTAAAAGCGGCGTCCAGAAACAGTGTGGCTGAACTATGCTGAACTCAAGGGACGTATTTCTCTGGACCGAGGTTAATCTGATCAGTAGATTTCAGTAGCAAAACTGCTGGTGATTGGCAACAAAGCCTTCATTTTGCAACATGCAACAAGATGCTACAAGCAGTTGTTCAAAGCTCATGGATTTGCATTGCCCATTTTTATATCGTTTGTTTTTACAATGTTTTATATATGATTTAACTTGTCATGCCACAGAAAGTGGTAACTCAAATGTCATGGTCACCCGCAGCTGTGCATGTTACCTCCTGTACTTCACCGGTCTGCCAGTGCACAGATGACCACGCCCAAATCCTGCAGATGATACTGACATCCGACACGAAGAGCAACACTTCTCCACATTTCTTAGAGGTTTTAGAGGTTTGGGTCCTTGACCCTAGGATAAAATATGGTCAAATCGTAATGGCTTACCATTCGGCCATGGCCATATTAGGCTTTCACCATGTGAAGACATGGATCCCGGCCATGGCCATGGCGTTGACCGCGCGGAGGGGCACCGCCAGCGTGGCGCCCTATGTGTCGCAGTCGCCAGCGTCCCGAGGGGCAGATGGCCTGGCTGTGCGGAGGCCACGTGTGGAGCCTTTTGCCAAGTTGCCACCGGTACCGGTGAGTGAGACTTGATTTGGAAATATTTGGATATGTGGTTTGGTGGGAAAAACATAGGAGGCAGATAGTGACAAAATGATAGATGTACAACGGACCTATTGATTGGTGAATGTAAAATTATAAATATAGGGAGAGAGAGGGAGAGAGATAAATTAATACATAAAGGAATAATAAGAAATAAAGGCAAATATAGTATAGGTAGACAGATAAGTTTTACAGAGTTTTGCAGAGTTGTGCGTGGTTTCATCAACAAATCAGCTGTATTTGACCTCCATCAATTCGGAAGATTCACCAAGATATGTTCATACATTTTCTAAATCTTAACCTTGCGTTCTAAGAGGGCTCATGAGGGTTTCATGGTGGGGATCATAGCGGTCATAGCTGGTGAAGATAATCATCATGTCACACGTTAGAGTAAGTGTAGGGGGGGCCAGCTGGGCTAGTTCAGCCGCACTGATTGGTGGTTTAAAATAGAGTTAGTTTAAACTCATAGTTGTCGTGTCCATCCTTAGTTGGGGATGATGGCATGATGTTTTTAAAACCAGCTCTGACACCATCTGACTAACATTTGTTGAAGGATATTGAATCCAATAACTACAGAGTCTTAGACTATATGCTTAATTGATTAAGATAGTTACTTAACTACTTACTAGTATATAGTAGGTACTATCTCTCTACATTATATATATATGTTTATATATATATATATACATATAGGTACTTACCAAGAGAATCCAAAGCTATGAAAACGTAGGTCCGAGAAAAAAGCCGGGGTTTTGGTGGAAACTCCGAGGTTTTGGATTCTCCTGGTTTAAGGGATGTTGATAACGTTGAACCGATGCCCACCTCAGCAGCGTGTCTCGCACTTACACGCACATGGAATGTAGAACATGCCTCTCACAACAGAATAAAGATGCCAACAACATCAGCGCAAAGAAGCTTTAAATTCACAATCCTATTTTCAGCATCATCCACAGGCCTGCTAAATGTGGCTCTTATTTTCTCAAGTTTTGATGAAGCCCTCTTTGCGCCAATGTTTATAGGTTGCTTGGAGAGAACGCTGGAGAACTCGTGTAATAACTTGGCGTGGAGCCGTTCTGCGGGAGATCGCGGGGTTCTCCCTACAAAGTCTTCTGCGATTTGAACAGAATGACTCCATTCAGAATGACGGAGCGGGTTCAGGAAATGCTGCGCGCTTTCCTGCAGACCCAATGATGTAGCAATGGTGCTGTTGTCACCTCACTTCAAATAATGAAAACCAGAAACAATTTCAAAATGAGATCCCTTACTTTTTTGAGGGTGATATTCCCACTTCAGGGTCCACCATTGTGGCTCCTTTGAGCCACCCCAGCGTTCCTGGCTGCGGGCCTGCGAAGGTCACTGGGACCTTGGCAACAAAATTTGGAATGATAAAAGTGCTATAAATAGGGCCTATACACAGGAAAATATAGGAATATTGGGAGAAGCGGTTTTTTTTCATCAAAAACCAGGGTTTTTGGTGCTATCAGATGGAAAAGCCGATGTCTTCCAACAGGGCCTGCATTTTTATAGGTTTTTGATTCCTTAGGTATTAGTTTCTGTTACTACATTGTTTTGAGAGGTACGGAGGTCAACAGCCAGCCTTTCTGGCTCCGGGCCAAGGAGACCTTGGTGGAAAGCCGTCGGAAGCTGTGGCACTTGCTGGGCAGAGCTCAAGCGCAAAGGATGTATGAGACTGATACCGAGGACCATTGCTGTGGGGTTGTTGTTTCTCCTACGAAACTAGGGGATGAGACGTTTAGATATATCATGATAATTCATGATGTATTTGCCGTTAAAATGGTGATATTTGGACATACTTTGATAATATGAAATATATGTACAAGTTTTCACCGTAAACAAAATAAACAATGTAGGTGAAACAGGGTGAAACCACTAACTTGGTACTCAAATGAAGCCATAGCATTGATTGAACAAACGCAGTGGATGCCACTTGATGCGGAAAATGAAGCTTAATAAGATACAATTACCAACAGGAAAAGAATTGCCCCCACCAATCATGGGGGCAGTTGTCAAGCAAGATATGCTTCAAAATGCTGCGAACCGCTGAAGCTCGGCCCAACGCCAAGCCTTGGCTGTGTGTTCATAATCGAGCTAGTTCACGAATCAGGTGGGTTTATGCTTTATACGTTGCAGGTCTGCAGTTCTGAGATTCAGTCTTTTCCTACACGTGTGATTTGAGATGTTGTTTGTCAAATCGCTCCATATTTTGACTTCACTAGTAATTCAAGGCGTTGGGCAGTGAGCCTTTGGACCCTCCAAGTCAAAGTCGACATCTAAGAATGTCCTAAAGAAACATCATGAATGTGGCATGCGGAATGCGTCGTAATTCTCCGATCTCAGTGCCCTTCCAAACATGTTCCACATGCAAAGATTTGTTTCTTTCGGAGCGATTTTGAACGATGCGCTCGGCTTAGGTGTATAAGACACCCCGCCGCTTTTAGGGTCTTTAATAGGTTATAGTGATCGTCGTGTTCTATGATGAACCCATCCATGTTGATCAATCCCCATTTCCGGATCCCATCCTCAGGATGGCGAAGACCGCATCTTTGGTTCCAAGGAGTTGAGCAAAACCTTGGTGCTGGCAGCAGACCTGGGTTCGGACAAAGAACTGCAGAAAGATGCATGGAACAACACATTGGATGCTCAGCAGATTGGTTCCTTTGAAAGGGGGAGCGACAACATGTACGTTACAACATATTACAACCAAAAAAGATGGAACTGCAAAATCATCCTGAAATACTGGTAGGTTACTTTTCTGTTTTCTTGTGTTAGTTTGTATACATACATGTTTTAAAGACAGATGGAACTGTTGGTTGTCGCTTGGCAAGGTTGGAGACAAAATACGTCAACTAGGGAAAACCTGTTTTTTCCTCTTCTGAAACGTATCCCACCAACGGATGCTATCCTGATACCAAAATAACACGCAGATGTAGAATAGCATAGAAGATCCCCAAGACAGAAAATGATTTTTTTCTATACTTTGAGTGGTTTTTGGTTGCTTTAGTTGCTTTGGCAAAGACAATTCAAGGAATTTGCGGGTGGAATCTTTACCCAGCACACCATGTCATGGAATCTCCAAACTGGATTTGAGACCGAGATTCTCAGCAGGGCAGAGTCACCCATTCTACAGCGAAAGAATCTAAAAATATGCCAATGATGCCCGAAAAACTGAATCTGTAGTGCTTGACCCTCGTAGAACTGGTGGGTTGCTCCAAGATGCCGGCATTTGTTCTTGGAGGAAGAACGGGTGTACAACCCTCCTTTCCAAAACATTTTCCTTTCAGGCTGAGATGTTTCAACTGGCAAAGATTGGCGCTTTGGACAATGTGGCCCTCTTCATGGCTGCACAAAGTTTGTACCGCTTGCGCAACACAGAGTTCTCAGCCTCCTGTCATCCAGGATCGCTTCGACTCTTTGTCCTGGTCTCTTGGAGCCACTATACTTGGTGTCAACTTTGGGAATACATGGGTCATTGGACCACATGTATACATGTAAAAATAAACATCCCAATGCAGCAAAGAATAAGACACTATATTTATTCCAGAAGCCTGTGAGGTTCTGCAGACGGCCTTGGGAAGGACCAGCACAGCTTCCATGCGTCACCTTGCCAACGTCACCCACTGGCTGGCCCGCTGCTTGCCTTCGACATGGTGGACGGTAAGAGCTTGAGGTGATGTCGGTGTCAAAGCAAGGTTGCGAAGCTTGCTGCTGTGCCGGAAACAGCGTAAAAACATGTAAAAACATGTTTGAAACCCTACACATCCAGAAAATGCGGAGTCCCCATCTCATCATTTTTCTACAACTCCTCTGGCTTTGACATCTTTTCTATACCTCAATTGTCAATTGTCCTTTATTTCTGTAGGTTTTGTCCACCAACCCCGCATGGTGAACCATGGCCCTTGGCCCCGAGGTTCCGCCGAGATGGTGGCGGGACACCCTGCCTTGCAGCAACAGATTGGACAGCTGACCATTCGCGCGGCAGAGGAACTCCTGGTGCGACAGCACGCAGGGTCAGCAGCTGGGCGCGGGAAAGTCGCCGGTGGGGTTGGTGATGGATGTTTGTTGCTGCTTTTCTATTTCTGGTTTCCGGATGTTGGGATTTGTTGGATTTAAGTTGGTTTATAAGATGGTTGTTGTGGTGGCGGTGGGAGTGGATTTTGAAGGGTTATTTGTTTGATTCAAACTCCAACCATGGTTTGTTTGCTTGGAACCCTCACGTGTTTTGGGGCATGTTTTTTTCCAATGATTCGCTCCTTGCAGACTCATACAGAGTGAGCAAACCCTGAGGCTGTAAGTGGCCGCGAAGTTGGTGCAATCTGCGAAGCTGTCCGTTTCTTGGTCTTAATGATGTTTTTTCTTCCAATATGTTTTGAATTGATTTGATATATTTTCCCATTGGTTAATCCGCCACTTGGGCAATCTACCTCTGGGTTTGTTTCCCCAAAAAGGCCCTCCGCAGAGAATCCAAGGTTTACTCGGCCTGCGCAATGATTTGTTTCTCACATACTTGCGGCGTTTGCTGAGGAAAGACTGGGACACTGGGCTGCATTGCTTGGATCCAGGAAGATCGTGTATGCGGTGTGATGTTGAAGACTCCTTGTCATCAAACCACTAAACAATCTATAGATCAGTTGCGAGTCATGTAAACATAGCATAACATAGCATAACATAGCTATAGAATTCAGACATTCTTAGCGCCAATGTGAAACTGTAAGCTGGCCAAAGTTGTGCTCCCTTTATAGTGCCCAAGTCAATTAGTCGTCACTTTACTTCACCAGACTTCCGGGTATGCATCAACATGACCCGGAGACCCACAAGTTTTAATTTCAGTATCAACATATCGTCAAACATGAAGCAAGGTACATGTTTATCTCTTATTTGTTGGCTAGAAAGAACTACCCCACTCCGCATTCCATAATTTCGATAATAATGTATCATTAACAATTCATAACATACATATTATCCATCATAGATTTATAAATCATCCTGAAGTAGAAAGAATATGGTATGTTCTGATTCAAACGTATTCCCATTTGAGTCAGGTTTTTTGAATTGTCAATTTTTGTTCAATACTACTCCAGGATGATTATGTTAATAAATCTATAGAATATTCTATAGAATTCTATATTTAATAATAATAAATCATAATAAATCTATAGAATTCTATATTTAATCCATTATTTCATATTATATTAACATATGTTTTCTCCATTTCATGCCTTCATGCCATCCGATCCCATGGCGTCCCTTCCGTTACCACCGGTGAGGAGATGATCTGGACACCCAAAGCGCTGATCGACGCGGCCACGTGTTTGGTGCACTTTGAGCAGAAGGATGTCAGAGCCTGGCAGGCCTTGGCCTATCGAATCGCGCCTGGGATTGAATTCCATGGAGATTAAAAAACGGGGATAGAAAGGGGGGAAGTCAAACACGGATGGAAAGGGGGGAAGTTGACTTGTAATCAAACCCGAACTACATAAATGAGCATTGATACCTGGATAATCCACCTATATGCAAAATTATCGCTCGAAATCCGAAACAACAATAATTGTTGCCGGTTGCCTAAAATATCGCCGTTTCCAGTTGTTGTTCGCTGTTTCAGTCTTCACATTTTGGGTTCTTGTTTTTTTCGCCGTTTCGTCGGGTTTTTTCGCTGTTTCGTTTGGTTTGTTCGCCGTTTCAACACCGGCAAACATGTGCAAATGGAGAAAAATACAAAACTTGCTCACAGGCGGAAAAACATGTCCCCGGCAATAATTCCTGACAAGGCAATAATTTTACATACATTGGAAGATGCAGGTATATGCATTATAATCATTTCTAAATGGGGAGATGTCCATGGCAATGTTTGATATGTTTGATTGCCGGAGGGTAATGCTGGCTTTGTTCGAGGATTTGTTCGAATGTTTTGGGAAGGATTTTTGATGGATGCAAGGGATGTCCCAAATTGGGACGGGATGTTTTCCACAATTCTTAGGGGCGTGGGGCGTTTTTGATCGTGGCCACTAATCACGAATATTAGCGAATCTAAATTGATCATGTACCTGTTGCATGGATTTGTGGCCGTGTTTGATGTAGATTGATTTTGCGCTGACATTTTGGATTTGCTACCAGTCCCAGGTTGTACCTTGAAAATTTCCTCAGCACCCCTGCAGCTGTGCCTTTCCCATGATAGTCTATCAGGAATCCCTACACTTGGAGAGGCTTCAAATCCAAACTTTGAAACCAGAACATAAATCTCAAAACAACGATTCTTGCAGGTCAAATCCCGTTTATTAGATTCACAATGTGATCACTTTTGGATGCTTGTCCCTTTGGAAATGAAAACACATGTTCAGGCCGCAACCCAACGATCAGTTTTTTCAAGATCATGAAATCATAATCCAAATTGTCAAGAAACCTGAAACCATAGGCCACTACTGTGTATACATTCCATTTTTGGATAGTTTTCCACGTTCTAAAAAACTTTTATGAAAAACAACCCCATTAAATTCCATGTGTTAGATATATAGATTTAATCTTCAATTCTTCCACTAGATGTTTCAGTTTGGATATTTCATGATATTTCCCCATGTTTCTCCAAAGTCGTTAAAACTCCACGGCTTTCCTCCGTGAGTTGCACCATTTTGATCCCCGGTTGCGCCGTTGCACAGGAGTCGGAGCTGCCCGTGCTGTCACCCAGCGCCCTGACGGAGGTCTGCTCCGCCTTCGTGGCCGCGTCGCTGCGCGGTGTGGAGCCGAAGATGGCGCGGCGACTGACAGAGGTTGCCAGCAGTTTGAACGCCAAGGACCTCAGTAGTGCCTGGATGGCCGGTGATGATGTTGTTTTTGAATGTCTTGATAGCTTGGAATGTGGGTAATGGTGTTTCTGAAAAAAAAAGTGAATTAATCCCTCTATTACTAAAACGCCCCCCCCTCCCCAACTGGAAAACACCGTGATCTATGTTTATTATTTGCTGGTATTTTGTACTAGGGTGCCCCTGATATTCCAGTGAAAACCCTAACAATAAAGATAACAAAACGATTTCAAATTTGATTCAATCCCTCTTAATAATCGATATAACATATTGCCAAAAACTGGATTTCGAAGCTTTCCCCAATATTCCAATGACAACCTGAATAATAAAAACAAGAAACTCAGTTTCAAATTTGATTAAATCCCTCATTAAAATATATTCATAAAAAAATATTGCCAAAAGCTCGATTTCAAAGCTTTCCCCTAATATTCCAATGAACACCTTAATAATAATAAAAAAACAATAAAGCTTGTGAGATGGGACCCTAATAAAAAACCTCCAGGTGGCAATCTATTTTTATTAATAGGGGGTTGAACCCATTGTTTCACCATCTTGTTCTCCTATTATTAGTATTGATTCTCAAATACCACAATTAACAATCCATTGGTGTCCAACCAAAAAAAGGGAAGTGCCACACCAATCCTAGTTTTTTTTGGGTGGGGAGGTTTAGTTATAGGAATAAGGGATTACCCCCCAAGCCCCCCAAACGGTGATTTAGTGGTGTGAATGGCTTAATGGTGATGTTATGTGATGTTCTTCCTTTTGTTGGTACAAGTTTTGAGGGACACGCATGGAAATGAGTAGATCTATGTTTGAAATATATATTGTTTGACTATCCCCGAATGGTGGTCTCAAATTCCATGGGCTGTAGCTCCTTGCAAGTGGATAGAATCAAAAGCCTGACAGCTAAACTCGGGGTTAGGCCCTTGAATTTATCAAAGAGGATGGATTAGTTTTATCCAATCAATGGTGCAATGTTGGGGGAACCAATGGGCTATATGCAGGGTGAATCCTGAACTCAAAACATCCGAATGCTAACCTCAGACCCCCGGTTTTATCCATTCAGATGTGCACCCTAGTGGGTTAGACTCCCCAAAACTCCATCCTGGTGGCTAGCCTTTTTGAGGATCACTCCACCCTTGCCATTGTCCAACAGGGATTTTCACGCATGGTGAGTTTGATGGTAATATTTGAAACTCCTTTTGCTGAAACCGGATTTTTCCTCGTGACTGCTGAGATGGTGATTTTATATAATCATGTTTTTTGGAGGACATCCACCAATTTCGCTGATTTTTCGGTCCGTGGCCTGGGTGACATTGCTGGGGATGGGCAACTGCAAATCTCATGAAAAAACCAGATCCTCACCATAGAAAGCACGCGTGCCAAGGGCTTTGTTCCGCCTTAGCCGCGTTGCCGGATGCCTTCGGAGGACCAGAACTTGAGGCTCAGCTGGCAGAGGCTAGCCTGGCCTGGGGAAGGAGTTGGCCAGGCTAATCTGCTGATGGTTTCAATTATGTTGGACCTTCCCCATTCTGGGCAAGATGAACCCGAGCAACCCTTGATTTCTTTGTCACTGCGCTGCCACGATGATCTCAATTGCGAATATGGCGCAGTTTCCCAGGATATCCACATACAAAAGGTTCCAAAGTTCCTACTAGTAATTAATCCAGAGTGAATACTCACATCCCCACCAAGAACATCACCATCATTCCAATCATGTCCCTTCAAACAAGTTAAGAAAGATGAAACACGGGCGAAACCCGCTAGAATTTCCCCAGTTCCTCCAAAATAAAAGACATTTCCAATTTTTCCCAATTTTTATCCAATTTTCCCTCAAAAATCACCTGTTCTTTTCGCTTGGAGGCCTTGGTCAAGGCCATCCCCCGCCGCGCCGGCGACCTCGGCAGCCGCGGCCTGGGCGCCGTCTGCGGCGTCCTGGCGGGCTGGCGCACGGCCTCGGTGCCGCTGCTGGCGGCGCTGGCGAAGTCGGTCAGCGCGGTGGAACCCGGGGAAGTGGAGCCTGGGACCCTACAGGGACCGTGGTGTTCCCTAAAAAACCATAAAAAATGCTGGCTAATGGATGGTTATTCCAGGTTATTCCCTTCAAATATGCTGATAATAGGTTTCCCCGAATGCGTAGCAAGGGTTCCCGTTTCACTCTGGGGGTCTGGGGGTTGAGGGTGTGTTCGCTCGACGTTGCGTTCACGGTCGCAACCGTTCGCAACCGTCCGCAACCGTTCGTACGAACTCCGTATGGCCGTGCCTATGGGAAGTTCTGCAGAGGTGGTCATTTTTGGAGGTTTCAGACGTGTCGTTGCTTCGTTTCGCGTGGCAGGCGTGGCACTTCGTGACATTCAGACGTGTTCTGCAACGTGTCGAAAGTCGTTTTGCGTGGCAGGCGCAATAACTTTTGTGACGTTTTCAGAAGATGTGTTGCAGTTTTCGTGGCAGGCGCAGCACTTTGGACGTGTCCATCGTCATTTTTCGTGGCAGGCGCAGCACCTTCGACGTGTCGTGCTGCGTGTTTTTTGCAAATTGCATTGGCAGGGCTGCGTCAAGTGGCGACAAGGTGCAAATTCCGTGGCAGGCGTGGCATTTTGTGCGATGTGGTGAAAATTGACGGAAGCCTCGCACGAAACATCGATTTTGAGGTTGCAAATTTTCAGGTTCTAAGGAAAACTCGTAGGAAAACGTCGATTTTGCAGCTACAAAGTGTGAAAATTGCACGAAGTCTCGCACGAAATGCTCGTTTTGGTGTTCCCACCTGTCTCGTCTCGCGTGTCTGGTTTTCCCGTGGCCTCGCCGTGTCTATGGGGGAAGCTGCAAAACTTGTCCTTTTGTCATGTTGCCACCTGTGAAAATTGCCGGAAGTCTCGCACAAAATGCTGGTTTTTCTGCATCCACGTGTTCTGTCGCGAGTCTCTGGTTTTCCTGTGGCGTCGCCGTGTCTATGGGGGAAGCTGGCAAACCTGTCCTTTTCGAATGTTTCCACGCAGGTTGTCATGTCGTTTTGCGTGGCAGGCGTGGCACTTTGTGACATTCCAACCTGTTTGATGATGTTCACAAAATTTCAAAATTGGAGGAAGTCTCGCACGAAATGCTCGTTTTTTTGCACCCACGTGTCTCGTTTCGAGTCTCTGGTTGTCCTGTGGCGTCGCCGTGTCTATGGGGGAAGCCGCAAAACCTCTCCTTTTCGAATGTTTCCACGCAGGTTGTCATGTCGTTTTGCGTGGCAGGCGTGGCACTTTGTGACATTCCAATCTGTTTGATAACGTGTCGAAAATATCAAAATTGGAGGAAATCTCGCACGAAATGCTCGTTTTTTTGCACCCACGTGTCTCGTCTCGAGTCTCTGGTTTTCCTGTGGCGTCGCCGTGTCTATGGGGGAAGCTGGAAAACCTGTCCTTTTCGAATGTTTCCAAGCAAGGTTGTCATGTTGTTTTGCGTGGCAGACGTGGCACTTTCTGACATTCCAACCTGTTTGATGATGCTCACACAATTTCAAAATTGGAGGAATTCTCGTAGGAAATGCTGGTTTTTCTGCATCCAGGAGTCGTGTCGCGAGTCTCTCGTTTTCCTGTGGCGTCGCCGTGTCTATGGGGGAAGCTGGAAAACATGTCCTATTTGAATGTGTCCAAGCAGGTTGTCATGTCGTTTTGCTCCGCACTCCACACTCTACACTTTACACTCCACACTCCACAATTTACACTTTAGACTCCACACTCTACACTTTACACTCCACACTTTACACTTTGCACTTTACACTCCTCACTCCTCACCTGAGACTTTACACTCCACACTCCACACTTTACACTACACTCTACACTTTCCACTCCTGGCTCCTCACTCTAACACTTTACGCTCCACACACTACACTTTACACTCCACACTCCACACTTTACACTCCACACTCCTTACTTTACACTCCACACTTTACACTCCTCACTTTACACTCCACACTTCACACTTTACACTCCACACTCCACACTCTACACTCCACACTTTACACTCCACACTCCACACTCTACACACCACACCTACACACATCTACACTCTCCACACACTTTACACTCCACACTCAACACTCTACACTTTACACTCTACACTCCACACTTTACACACTCCACACTCCACACTCTACACTCCCCAACTACACTTTCCACACCCACCCCGCACACCACCACTCCACACTACACTCCACTTTATACTTTACACTCCTCACTTTCCATACTTTACACCTACTTTACACTCCTCACTCCACACTCCACACTCCTCACCTCACTACACTCCACACTCCACACTTTACACACCACACTCTACACTTTCCACTCCAGACTCCACACGCTACACTTTACGCTCCACACTCCACACACTACACACCACACTTTACACTTTCCACTCCACATTTCACACTCCACACTCTACACTCTACACTCCACACTCCACACTCTACACTTTCCACTCCACACTCCACACTTTACACTCCACACTCCACACTTTACGCTCCTTACTCCACACTTTACACTCCACACTTTACACTCCACACTTTACACTCCACACTCCACACTCTAGACTTTACACTCCACACTTTGCACTCCACACTCTACACTTTACACTCTACACTAAACACTCTACACTCCACACTTTACACTTTACACTCCACGCTTTCCACTTTACACTCCTCACTCCACACTACACTTTCCACTCCACACTCCAGACTCCACACTCCACACTACACACCCCTTACTTTACACTCCACACTTTACAGTCCACACTTTACATTCCACACTTTACACTCTACACTCTACACTCTGCACTGTACACTCCACACTTCACACTCCACACTTCACACTCCACAGTTCACACTGTACACTTTACACTCTACACTCCACACTTTACATTTTACGCTTTACATTCCACACTGCGCACTCCACACTTTACACTTTACACTCCTCACTTTACAGTCCACACATCACACTCCACACTTTACACCCCACACTTTACAATTTACACTTTGCAATCCACACTCTACACTTTACACACTCTACACTACACTTTACACTTTACTCTCCACACTCTACACTTTACACTCCACACTCCACACTCTACACTCCACACTTCACACTCCACACTCCACACTCTACACACCACACTCTACACTTTCCACTCCACACTCCACACGCTACACTCTACACTCCACACTCTACACTTTACACTCTACACTTTACACTCTACACTTCGCACTCTACAATTTACAAACTCCACACTCCTCACTCCACACTTTACACTCCTCACCTTACACTCCACACTCCTCACTCCACACTTCACACTCCTCACTTTACACTCCACACTCCACACTCCACACTTTGCACTTTACACTCCTCACTCCACACTCTACACTCCACACTCCACACTCTACACTCCAAACTCTACACTTTACACTCCATACTCCCCACACTACACTTTACACTCCGCATTCTACACTTTACACACTCTACACTCCCCACTCTACACTTTACACTCCACACTCCTTACTTTACACTCCACACTCCACACTCTACACTTTCCACTCCACACTGCAGACTGGTAACAAGGGAAGCATGTACAAGACTGTTCAAATAAACTATTGCAGAAAGGTATTGTGCGTGACTGCATAACCATGTGTATTGACATCTGTAATACCATTAACATACGTGTGAGCATTCGGGTTCGTGGGCTTCATCTTGTTTTTGGTTTTAACCCATCTCCATTTAATGAGTTTCATGGTTACTGTATCCAATATGTTTCATTTGTTGTTTGGGCTATGATGCATGGTATGGGAAGCGTTGTTTGATGCTTTGCATGGTTCGGGTGAGTGGTAGTTGTGTTTTTGTTCCCCTGTTCTTTCGGTGACAGGTTGATCTCAATGGGGTCGATCAATGTTTTGCCGTGTTTTGGCGCTTATACTTGTGAATATAGTAACGTGGTCAGCACTATAAACCACCATTTTCTGATGTTGATTCGAAAGCAAGGTTCAAAATTCGGCTTGAATTGTGTGCTAATCTTATTTAGTTCGCACACAGTGTTCTGGCCTTGCAAGAGTTCACATCCTGTATGATTTTGTAGTTTCCTAAGGTTTGCCATATGCAGAGCCTACAAAAGTTAGGGCCTTAGGGCATTCTGCGGTAAAATGGGCTACGAGTGGATGTCGAGCTAAACGGGTACAACACCGTTGTCGGGGACTTGCCTAGGGGTTTGGGGCTGAATGGGGTTGTGTGTGTGCGCGGGGCACTTTGTAGGGAAGGGTTTAAGGCGAACGCCGACAGGAAATCCGAGTGTACAGTGTACAAGATTATGGTAAAGGCGTTCTGTACATAATGCGGTAAGCCCAATAATAAAGAAACAAACCATTTGGGGATGGTTTTTACATGTTTTTACCATTCAGTTATGGTCATGATGTGGGTTTGAACATGGTTTACCATATCTTAACATTTCCCTTCAACCAACTGTCAGAAAAGTGACCATCGGCTACTGGACCACTGAGGAAGTGATGATCCACGCCCTGTTGCAGCTGGGCGGACATGAGGCCAGCTTAAAAGATTTAAAACCCAAGATCGGTTGTCACAGATGCCGAAACTGAGCCAACCTCATGGCAGGAATTGCCCTTGCTTTACACATAACAAGATCAATCACCGATCGCCAAACAAATGCTGGGAATCCGGTTCACATCCCATCTCTCGGATTTCTCGGGCTCAGTTTGGGTTCCCGCCAGGTACTGGGAAGCTGCCCTGCCCTGCTTCAAGGCTTCCTTGGCAGCTGCCGCGCTGCCGCTCAGCTGCCTGGTGGCCCTGGGGATCTGTCAAGCTGTGTGGCGGTGCTGCAGCACGTGGCATTGGCGCGGCTGCAGGATGTGGAACTTTGCCATGCAGCGACCATGGCGTGGATGCGGAGAGATCCTTGGGACTGGTTGGTGATGGCTGGTGATTTCTTAGACTTAGATTTTAGATGTGCAAGTTGGTCTGTTGTCATGTTCGAAATGATTCAAAATGGATGATCCGCACGGACTCGTTCTTTTCAAGACTTGTAGAGGGTACGGTACTCATAGGTTGAAACTTGAAACCACTAAATTTATCCAAATTTAAACAGACATGAGCACACGATTTGGAACCAAAGATGCTATAGGTCAGTGCTTCATTTGACTGGAATGCGAGATGCCCGCCACTGAGGATTTAGATGCTGATGCTCCCCGCAGTTTGTTGACTGGCATGCGTTTGGTGGCACTCTGCGGCGGCGCCGGAGCCACCTCCCTTTTGCCGCAGTTGCTGATGACGCTGCCTGAACGGCTACTGATGCATCCTGAGGGACTTCCACAGGACTTGTGACGTGGGCCATCCACAATCCTCCCGGAGGGGTGTTAGTTCAACGTGAGTTTCTACCGTTTTTTCCCAGATTCATTTTCAAATACACGTAGTTCTTCTGTTTCTACCAAAAAATCAGATCCCACATTTTGGGTTTCAATGTTCCGAAACCTACGTTTGAAGCCGACAAAGCACGACGCCCTTTCATCAGTCTTTCGCCAACGTTTGAGCCGTCAGTGATCACAAGGTGCCATGGTGGGAATTTTACCTACGGTAGTAGGACACCATGACCCATCCCTTAAACAATTATTCCAGGGTATCAACTAAGTTATGGAATATGTTTTTTTTTGAATAATTTTCCTGGAATAATTTCTTCAAGGGGTAGGTATACGATGGCGCATGTTGGAGCCTTCAAAAGCATGAAACTCCCCCCTCAACATACCCCGGAAAAATTAGGTTTTGGAATAATTTTCTATAACTTAAAACATCTTAATACATTTCGAAACAGCCTAAACCTTCCTATACCTGGCCTGGCCCTTCCAAAAGCCATTCCTAGCTTGTCGGTGTTTGCCCGAAAGCCTTTTGCAGGAAATGCAAATGCAGTTGTTTGAGGCATCATGCAGTTTGGGCAATGCTGCCAACCCTTTTTTTGCAGCGTACTTGCAAGCACAACTAGAGTCCAAGGGACCACCGTTCTCTCACAGTACTTTCTCGAGAGTTTTGGATGGCAATGAAGGGAATATGGAAGAAATAGGGGGATGCACGCAAGGTGAGGAAAATGTCTAGGAGAGGGCCAGGTTGAGTGCCATTTTGTAGGCTTTCCCCAGGGGAGAAATTATTCGGATGCCTGGCACCCCTCAAAAACCAAAGTGGGCAGCTGCCACAATCACCAAACTAGCCCAGAACCTGGCAAGAATTGTCAACAAGCAATGAAAACCAAACATTTCCCCCTTTCCCACTCATTCCCACTATGGCCAACGAAGGTTCTTTGGATTACAATGAAAGGAATATGGAAGAAATAGGGGGACGAAACGCAAGGCTGGGAAAATTTCCAGGAGAGAGCCAGGTTGAGTGCCATTTTGTGGGCTTTCCAGGGGAGAAATTATTCTAGGGGTATTCGAGATGCCTGGCACCCCTCAAAAACCCAAGTGGGGAGCTGCTACAATCACAAAGCTCCAGAAATTGGCAAAAAAAAAAACAGTGAAAACCAAACATGTTTTTTCTCACTCATTCCCATTATGGCCACAACCACCAAACTAGCCCACCTGCAAGTCCAAGTGAAATATGAACGTTATTGCCCAACCCCACCCCATGATAGCGTAGCGCATCTCCGTGGCAAATCTCCACCGTGGCATCAACTGCATGTGCAAGTTAATATGAACCTTGTTGTCCCACCTCACCTCACTCCACCCCATCTTCCGTTAAAGTGTGCAAGTTACTGTAAACGGTAAAACCAGGAAAAAAACGCGCATTCTGTTTTCCCCCGCCAGCACAATCATCCATACATTTGCGAGGTCAAGTTTTGGCAACAAAAAATATGTTTGGACACGGAGAAAGCCATAACTTTGTACATAACCTGGGTTTATTGATGGATCTATTCATTTTCTGGAGCCATTTAAGGGACTTTATAGTACAGTTTGATATAGACCCTGAAATCTGCAGAAACTTATACAATGAAACTCATGGCTATATATATATATATTTATATCCCCATTGATGTAAGAAACTCATGGGTATCCCCACATATTAAACCTCCAATTTTGATGATTAAACCGTCAATTGTTGTCAGGAACCCTCATCCCATCATGGCTAAAAGTATATATTTATATAATTCTTACCCTTTAACAAATTCAATACCTCCCAGAAACCATGCTTTTGTAGGGGATGAAACCACATTTGGGATAATTTTTGGGTGCTCAATATGAACAAGGGACAGGATGATTAAGTACTTTTTCGATTGCTGTACCAGCGTTATTCTTCTTATTATAAAACTAAAACTGATAATTATTTATTACTAAGTATGATGACTATTATTTATTACTACAATCATAATCAGTATTATTCGTATCGATTTCTTTCAATATTCTTACGGTATCATTATTATATCACAGTTATCAGCCCATTCTGTCACCATCCCCAGGACCACGTCGCTGGCGCCTTTGCTCTGGCCCTGAAGTCCTTGGCCTTGTACCGCTTCCAACCACCCTATGGCTGGCGAAGGGCGGCGCAGAAGATGTTAGAGACTGGCGTTTCGGCCTGGTTGGGGACCAGTGGGGGAAGGATTGGATGGAGTTGATATGGAGGTTTCCTGAAAATGGGGATGCCCAAAATGGATGGTTTATAAGAGAAAATCTCATCAAAAATGATTTAGGGGTACCCCCATTTTAGGAAACCTCCATATGATTTGATGAAGTTCGAAGATCAGATAGTCAAGCACATCAAGGAACATGAGAATAATGGGTGGTTGAACCGCTCCGATTTTTGAAGCAGACACATGCCGCAAAACCCTAGATGTATTCCTAAAAGCGATGGTTTCCGGCCAAAATTTCCCTTAAACTAGCGCAGTGGAACGAGGAGCTTTGTCGGCCCCCACGGCCTTTTCTTTGCTGATGTCTTTGTGGGCATTAGATGAGCTTCGCTCACCGAAGGATGTGATTTCAATTTGTGGAGGTACCTTGATCGTTGTGGTGGGGGAGTAGTGTGAAACAAGGAACTTAACGGGGCTAGGTATAATTAGCATCCTCTTGTAAAAGGTATAATCAGGAATACAATGCAGATATTGGAATCAGAAATGGTATGAAACCGAAGTCGGTAGAAACCATTAGATTCATTAGATGCCACTTTCTTCATGTTTTTCCCCAAGTTCTGTGCCATCAGTGCTGGCCCCATTCCACCTTGAGGCCCTTCTTTCCAAGACCTTTCGGGCTTGTCCTCTGCGGCCAAATTGACGCTGTGCATCGGCTGTGCTTGGCGGATCCCAGCGACGGAACGACTGCAGCTGCAGAGATGGAAAGCGTGGCGGGACGAGTTGAATTTGGAGGATGTACCAGTATCTTGCCTCATAATTATATCTTAAATGCAAAAAACAACTCCAGGTTTGTCAAAAAAATGTGATACCAATTTCAATGGAGATATATCATTAATTTTGTGGCTACCACCTTAATTTATAGAGTTGATTGATCCATGGTTGGCAAATGACCTCAAACTTGGGTCAACTGATGTCAACTGCTTTCTCCAGGCAGTAGACCCCGCAGATTTGGCTGGTTTTTTACGAAGCCCTGCTTCGACTTGGCCTGGCATTCTGCAACTGCTTGAGGCAGCGGCCTGGAAGAAAAACGGGTGCTGGGCGTCTTTTTTGGGTGTTGTTAATCATCATCACATAGTTATCGTTATTGCTGCTACCCTCTGGTAATCAAACATGGCAAAGGAAAATCCTCCGGTTCTTTGTTACTGCCATTTTAGTCCCCAAGTGGTTGCAACTTAGCTGGTGAGTTTCTGCAACAACGGGGCCGACCATACAGGGTTGTGATGATGCTGGAAATCACCACTAGTTCTTTCCCATTCTTGGATTGTAGGCCCCATGTTTGATGTAGTTAAATGTGTTAAATATATTTAAATATTTGGTGATTCAAAAAAGTTAGCATCACTTTGAGTTTCTTCCCTATTCCCCAGTGCAATTTAATGGATTTATGTGGTTTTGTTCATTGTGGGACCCATATATGCCCATATGGGATGATGTTGTGGGGTGTGACATGTGATTTTGCATGTTATATTTTGGGAATGCTACGGCCGAGTGGAAGCCATGTTTTCTCACGATTTGGCTCATGCCCCTGAGGACAGCGACCTTCAATCAGAGAGACTGGCCCCAGTCCGCCCCGATTTCCGGCTGGAAACCTGGTTGCAGCCACGAAAACAGGAACCTCTGTACGTTCTGGTGTGTCCTGACGGTCAGAGGAGGAGATTGTTCGGCAGAAAATGGCGCAGCGGGGAGTTTTCGGTGTTACCATGATTTACCATGATTTACCTTTACAGGCAGAAATCAGATTGTTCAAAATACATCGGAATGCTGATTTCATAGGAGGTGGATTAACACCATAATACATGGTTCAGGCAACAATTCTTGAGAAGTTCGATTTGAGTGCAATGCAAGGAGCGCCAGAAAGTCATACAAAGAAACAGGATGAATCAGGCTGAACCAAGCGAATCAACCATCAGAGAGAGACAATATTATGCAGATGGTACGTGTGAACCATTTTATTTTCAACCTATAAAGTCCACACTGCAACTGTTTTTTTGTGGCCTGGTGACGTGTATGTATATGTAATATATATATATGCATATATATATATATGCATATATATATATATATATGTATTATTGGGTTGCTGATATCAGGTGATTAGTTGGTACTTAGCAACCAGTTATGTCAGTTTAAAGGATAGCTGAGGTTCATGTTAGATATATGAAACTCGATGACGTTTCAGACGTTTCAATAAACCAACAGCTCCACAACTGGCACCACCAACGTGGAAAGGGGTTCAGCTGGTCCCTGCAGCTGTACACATTGGCTCGCAACCGATTTTCCGGGGCCCAAAGATGGTCGGGCTCTCAGAGCCCTGCAACATGCAACTGGTTTATCTCAGCCACAACCAGCTGATTTGACGAATCCTTGTTATTGACTTATGATACTATGTTGTATATGGTTGTTATATAAGGTTAGTGCCAAACTTTAAAACTCCGAAAACCTATATATATATAATATAATTATTCATTTATTTTCATCGGTGAGACACCAAATGCACAGCATCCCTTGGCTTTAGCGGCGGCCCAGGATAATCCTCAGCTGACAGTACAATGTGTTTGGACCCAAGCTGGGTAAAATTTCAACATGTTTCAACACCTGTGGCATTTAAATGACGATGCAGTTATACCAATATATACATAAACGGCATAAACGGTTATAATAGGTGATGAAATGTGTGTAGGTCACTTTGAGCCTTTGTGTTGTGTTCGTGTGTAACCATACTATATATAAAAGTGTATATATATATATATATATGGTCAACTGAGTCAATGTCAGAATTCTGAGGAGAAAGACAATGCTCGTTGCTGCGAGGGATTTCAGCAAACTGAGGTTGGGGCGCTGGTCGTTTTCGTTGCCGCACGTCTTTGTCACCAAGCATTCGTGAAGTCCATCGAGGCGGCGACCAAGTTTTTCTGGATGAAACTTATAAGGACCTTACTTAACCTCGCCAAAGAGAATGGTTAGGAGGATCATCCCAAAAATGAAAAGACAAATTTCATATAGCAAAAGCATTGTGAAATATTGTGAGTTGTATATTATAGATCTTGCTATTATTATAGTTTACCCAGAGAAATGGTGGTTCATTGAAGAGGGGAACCATGAGAACTCACTACACATGGCCTGATGACAGCTGAGCTGCTCGGAACTCATGGATTCCTGAGCATTTTTCACATGGGCCGGGCCCAGGTGTGGTACTCTTCGCCTGCAAATCGGCATTTGTACTTCAAAGCTTTTAAGGACGGCAGTGGTCCTGGCGACGTGGATACAGTAGTCGGGGTGGCAAATGTTGGTAGATGGTTTTGGTGATACTAATCGAGAAACGGAGTTTCAAGACGATCTGATGCCGTTGATTGATTTGACTTGTGCTATTAATGAAAGGTTACAGATGTGAGCGCGCAAATCATGTACCAACCGCCTGCCTTTTAAGGCTCCAACCCTGACGATGCTGTGGCACCTTACCGCCAATCGCCATGGCTTGCCAGGAGCAGTACCAACAGACCGGCAAGGCAGACTTTTCAGCCCGGACGCCCAGCTCATCAAAGCCACCAAGGGTCCTGAGGTGGCTCAAAAATCACCTGCCAGAAAGTAGATCAAAAATACCTGTCTATATATCATAGTAGATGTAAGATATGTAAGTATGTTATGTTTGTTTATTTTGCTTCCGCCTTGAGTTAGATAAATAACTCTTCTAATCTCTGCTGAATCTAAGAGGTCCCTTATTGGCCCATGGGGATGTGCTGGAGGCCTTCATGAAGACCCATCCAGAGACAATCTCCCAGACCTTTGGTGACGAGGCTTTTTGAGAAGTCGAAGGGCCGAAGGGAAGGTGTGTTTTGGTGTCATGAGTTCTGCACATGGAACAACTCGATTTTGATTAGATATATATCCTATACTTAAATATGTGTATACATATATATCTATATATATATATATGTATGTATGTATGTATATATATAGATAGATATATATACCCTGAAAGTCAAAGACTATTGTTTTAATAGTCTTTCGGGGAAGTAGGTTTTTAGTAAGGAAAGTACATTGGCATAATTTATCATACATGTCCACTGAGTGATTTCCTGGCTCAAAGTTGTTCCCAGTGAGTGTCCCTATTAATTACTACTGGTTGGTACATGTTCGAGTGGATTCGTCAAGATATAAACCCTTAGGATAGAGAGCAATCACAATCAAGAACAAGGACAATGATGTTTAATTCAATCATTTTTTAATCATACCTGGGGTACCCCATGGCCTTACTTGATGGCACCACTGCCATCAGCGTTGGCGCTTTGATGGATTTGGTCGAGATTGGATATGGATTTGGTGGATTGGATGAGGGGGGGTGCCTGTGGCTGCAATACCATCAGTTTTACAGCTTACGCATTGGCATCTTAGTTGACATTGCACTTGCACATTCCTCGTATAAGTGGTTTATTAGCGGATCTTAGCTGTTGGTGGCAGCTACCCCCTAGGTGATCCTCCGATATGAGAATCAAGCGAGCATTGAAAAGGAGAGCCTTGATCAGCATTTTGTTTCCCAAGAAACGTCCTTCCTACCACTAAATGTGGGAACCCATGGGGCCTGACTTCCAAACCAAGTCATACTCATCACCCAGATTCTACACATGTCATATATCATTACAAATAGTCACCGCAGCCCAGGACATGCATGCGATGCCAATTTGGAGGACCCTCAGCCACTTCATCCAGGTGCCATCCGCCCCATTGCCCTGCTGGTTGATGAGGGAAGTGGAATACTCTAATGTGGTAAACCCAATAATGAACTATGCATCCCCAATTTTGGTTTATCAGTGGGTTAACCTTAACGATATAGTTTTTTCTTTATTGGGTTTACCACATTATCATCATATGATTTAGGGGAACTATGGATCGATCTATCATACCATGGTTTCTAAAACCCAGTAGATTTTTTGGGGGTTCCAATTTGAGACCTTCGACTTGGTAGGGGTTGAGGTTCAAAAACGGCCATCAGGTCCCATCCGTGGACTGCTTTTTTCCGAGCAATGGCCATGGCCCATGGTGAGGAAAGGGTCATACTCCTGCAGGATTTCTAGCTGCATTCCATCCAAACTTACGGGAGGTGAAATTCATTAAAAAGGATCCATCCCCTGTCAATGTGTAAAAAAAGGTAACATCCAGGATCAGGAAGGGAATGCACATGGACACACCAGCAGCCCAAGGAATTCTTCAAAGATATCTTGGACCAGCCGGACTACATAGTTGAAAGGAGGCATGCCTTAAGGAAGAAGGCTGGTCTCCGTGACAAGGATGGTATGGTTTCCTGGTGGCCAAAAAACATATACCTACATATGATGACCAAGAACTTGGATGCACGCTTTTGCATTGAGCTGTGTCCCATTTCAATGACTATTTCTGAGGTTCCACCTTTCACCTTTGTGGATCGGCTTGTCAAAGGGGATGTGATCCGTGAAGTTGAAGTCTTTTGTCTCAATTAGACTCAACGATTTGTAGAATTGTAGGTGCAACTTTCACGACAATGGTCAGTGAAACATGAAATCACCAGACTGCATTGGGAAAAACCCACCCGGCTCCTCCTCTTTGAGGTAGAGCGCTCCCAAACCAATCAGCAGTTCCTGCAAGAGTTCTTGGGTCAATTCTGCGAAAGACTTCCCAACGACAAAGAGCTGGAGGACCCAACACTTGGAACATGAAGGATACAAGAAGGGATGGGAAGTAATGGGAACATAATAATAGGGAAATGCAATCTAAAAGGAAACAAGGATAATAGAAAACTATTGGGGATTATAAAATGGTGAAATATCAGGGAAATAATAATAGGGACATCAGTGACACTGACATCATTCATTAAAATTGTTAATGAAATACATACTCTAAATTACAATAAATAATTATTTTAGTTATTGTACATCAGATCATGAAACCCAAATTACTCTTTACAAAAGTATGACCCCCTTCTGTACAAACCAAATGATTCTTTACTTCCAGTGATCCCCACTGTGGCGAATTATTTTGTCATAGCTTCTGACAGAATCTCATCTGGAAATGCACATGGAATATATTTACAGACATTCTTTTCCGGCAAGAAACAATGCGCTGTTTGTCAAGGACGCACTTGCATGGACATCCATGGTCTATGGATTAAATCCCCATCTGAAGTGTGAAGCTGATCACAGGGCATCTTGTCAGAAAAGGGTTCGTGGGATGGTGGTGTGCCCTTGGGTCAGTTATGTCTTATTTTTCAATTTGCACAGTACCTTTGAATGTGTTTGGTGAGTTTTAGGGCCCGTTCTTTACCAATCTGGCCAGGCATGGGCTAGTCTTGAATCTGGTGTCCAACGTGCGTTTACCTCATACTGCATGACGCGGTTCCAACGCACTTCCAGATCCCGGAGACTTTACAGAATTAAGGGTGTGTTTGCGGAGGTGTTGGGAACTTCAACCATGATGAACCATGATATTGATCAGTTCGTTCCTGATCAATATTAATATGTTTCAAACATAGTCATGTGGTTGATGAGTGATTATGGACCCTTTTGAGATGATTTGTGTATGCAGCTAAGGGGTGGTCGCGAAGGTATGAGCAAGATCAAAAGCATCATCCATGCCAAGCTTAAGGCTAGGTCATTGACACCAGATATGTTGAAAAAATATGATTTTGATTCTCGCTAGCATCCTTATTTTTGTGTTTCACGATTTTTGCCCCTTTGGCTTTTGAAGCTTGGTAGGCGTGCAACTTACTGACAGCGGCTGGAAAGAAAAGACCATCCAGAGGCCCAAAGGCAAAGCAGGAGAAGGAGGCATCTGCACACATGCATGCATGCGTATGCACATGCATGAAGCCTATTAACAAAAATTGACATATATTATATGACTCATACAATGTATTCCGACCACAACTGTTTAGGAAATTTGAGATACTTCTTCAGTTGCAAGCAAGCACATTGGAAACATCTTTTGGCGGCACTTTGTCGCAATCAATTTCATTTTTTTAACCTGTAAATCTTCTAGGCCCCATTCCAGTGCCACTTCCGGGGATCCAGGCTGACGAAAAAAAATACAAGAAATCGGAGAAGCGCAAAGATGAAGTGAAAGATGGAGAAGGTGAGAAGGATGATAAGGAGCTGAGGAGGCTTGCAAATATCGATGCAGCTGAAACTCTTCCCTACACTCTTGACTCCGACTTTTTGGGGGACACTTCTGAGAAGATTGATGAGGAAGAACTTGAAGTGCAAGAGATCTCTGACACCGAAAGCGAAGAGGATGAAGAGGAAGAAGAAATAGAGGACGAAATTGAAGAGCAGGGGGAAGAGGAGGGGGAAGAGCAGGGGTTGGAAGAAGAAAGCCAAACCACAGCCCCAGAGGAGTCCCAGAAGATGAAAGAAGGCCTAGCCACGGAGGAGTCCCAAAAGATGGAAGAAGAAGGCCCAGCCACGGAGGAGTCTCAAAAGATGGAAGAAGAAGGCCCAGCCACAGAGGAGTCTCAGAAGATGGAAGAAGAAGGCGCAGTTGCAGAGGAGTCTCAGAAGATAGAAGAAGAAGGCGCAGCTGCAGAGGAGTCTCAAAAGATGGAAGAAGAAGAAGAAGGCCCAGCAGAGGAGTCTCAGAAGATGAATGAAGAAGGCCCAGCAAAGGAGTCCCAGCAGATGCAGATGCATGAAGAAGGCTCAGGCCCAGATGATGATGAGGGCATAGCTGCTGAAGCAAAGTTTGATGTTGGAGTCAGCGGGTTTGATAGCGATGATGGTGAGGAAGGAAAAGCAGACCAAACGACATGCTTCAACGACACCAAAGGCCCAATCACAGTGGAGGAGTACGCAAGCCAAGCCTTAGAAGAAAAGGCATCCGAGTTTCTCAAAATTTCCAGGCAAGCTTCGAACAGCAACAATGATGACATTGTGGCTGCCCAGAGAAAGATGAGACAGGCCCTGAAGGATGCAGCTGAGGACGACGACAATGAAGAAGATGACGATAGAAGACTTTGTGAAGCCGAGGAAGAGTCTGAAGACCGCAAGAAACCGAAAGGCAAAGGGCGAGGAAGAGGACGAGGTAGAGGCCGTAAAGCAAAGAAGCAAGAGGATTCCGATGCCGATCGACCAGACCCACCCGCAAAGAGAACCAGAAAGGGCAAAGAAAGCCATGAGAATGCGGAGAAGCCAGGCCAGACGAAAAGAAAAGGGAAACTGGACAAATCCAAAGATCCTGAGCATGAGAAGACTGAGGTTGGGAAAAGGAGGAAGACAAAGGATGACACGACGGATCACATGGAGACAGCTGTGACGAAGGAGGCTGCAGATGAGGAGGAAGCCGATGATCTTTCTGGTTTGAAGGAAGGTCCAATTCCCAAAACCTTTGGGGAACTCGTCAACTCGAGTGATGAAGACATGTCACCTGAAAAGCCTGACAATCAGCTTGGGGACCCTACAATCACTCAAGCACCCTCGTCCTTGTTTGAACACGATGGAGGCAAGGATGAAAAAGAGAATGGAGATGAGAAGGCAGGAAAGGAACCCAAAGATGAGAAGACAGTTGCCAAAGAAAAGAAGCAAGCAAAGACCAAAGCTGCCGTGAAGAGCAAATCCAAGGAGAAGGAGCAGGCAGAAGCTGAGGAGGAGAAGAAGAAGACAAGAGCCACTGAGGATGCAAAGACCAAAACTGAGAAGAAGGAAAATACCAAAGACGATGTGAAGGAGAAGACCACAGCTAAGCAGAAGGGGCAAGCCAAAGCCAAGGAGAAGGAGCAGGCAGAAGCTGAGGAGGAGAAGAAGAAGACAAGAGCCACTGAAAATGCAAAGGC